CCGCTCTCTCCACTGTAACAATGGTTGGCTTTGGCCTGTCCCTCGCCGTCTCTTCAATTGTTCCCAGCGCTGCTCCTTCTGGGCTGGATCTGGTCCAGCGACTGCGGCGGCTTAGTTTACGCCTCGGGCTCCCTTTGGCCGAGCGGGGGCTTGAGAGGCGAGAGTCGATCGATGTTTTCCCCGTCAGGTTATCTTCTGGGCTTGCCAGCCTACTGCTGTGGGTGGATGACCAGATATCATCTTGCTCGCTTGAATCGTCCGACTCGATGACCTGGAACGAGCTATGCTGCTGTGAAGGAGAATCGGAAACCACAACGGTGGAATCTGGTGAAGTCTTGGGATCATTAGATCGCAATTTTCTTATGAGCCCCTTTGTCGTTGCGAGCCCTCTTGGTTTCCGCAGCACCGTGGCATCCTTGCCCGAGGCACCGGTGGCCGGACTCTTTCCCTTGTGCAGAGATCGAAGGCTTTCGCTTGGGGACCAGTCAAGCACGACAGAACCTTGCGAGCCTTCCAACAATCAGCCGCGTGTACAAGATACCCGACCTGGCAAAGCAGATATTCAAGGGCTGGACTTACCAGTGTCATTTCTTCCCTTGACCCCAATCACCTTGCGAAGTTTCTCAGCCCACTGCCTCGAATGTTTCCGATGAAGCTTCAGGATGTCAGATCCTGCAAGACCCTCCCCTCCGTTGAATGGGAGCTGGAAAGGAACGGTGCGGGATTCATTTTGCCCACTCGATGTTGGATCCGGTAATTGATTGTTGCGTCTGACACTGTGATGCTGAGGCAGCATCCTGGTTTGGTGTTTACGCGAAGAGGAGATGCGACGGCCGCAGGGTTCGGGAGCTGAGTCGAAAGGAGGGATGATTGTGAAAATAGAGATGATAAGTTGCTTTCTAGACTGTTGTAAGTGATTAATGAATGAATGACAAGCGTTGTAAGTATGGTGTTGTAGAGACAAGACGAAGACGAGTCCGAAAGAGGTGGAGGAGAACAAATGGCAGATGATGGAATCACTTACGGGAGGAAGTGATGTTGTGGATGGCGTGCTCCTTCCAGATTTACACAAACACTCTGCTGCCTTTTTAAGGAAGGAACAACACATTCAGTACCTATCAGCAGCTGCAATCATCGGGAAGGTACCTGTAGGTATGATATCAGGTGCTGTGCCCTCCAGACTGTTCGCGATAAGGCAAGGTACGTACTACTAGTAGTACTACCTACCTAGGTACCTAGTAGTATGCGAAGAGTCGAGCAGCACAATATGGCTCCTCTTATACAAGGTGAAGAAGCCGTATAGATTTCATCGCCGCCGCATTCACGTCGTGGATTGACGTGTACCATCAATGCTCTGGGGCGGGTGTTAAGAGAAAATTCAGTCTTTGAAAGTGGAAACACCCTTTTGATTCCATGCTATAGACGTCTAAGTCGTCATCCCACACACTTGACCACCTCCCTTTTCATCAACAGTTGCGACTTTTTACATATGACAAGAGTATGCTCAGCCCGAACAGTCCCGATTCCTCGCCTTTGCCAATCCCAAATGCCCATTATGACATGTCAGATCCGAATATCGTACGGCACCGCATGCCCTAGTGCAGGCTTGCTTTACAACAGGCTCCTCGTGGAAACGTTGCGGCGCGTAAAAGGAAACATAACAAGAAGGAGAAGAAGAAACAATACGAACCATGCCCGACTTCCCACGTGGTTAATGCGGACAAAGAATTAATACACGCAACCGTGGAAAGTCATTCAACGCCAGTCCCAAGTTTAACAAGACATGCCCCGCGCTTTATTTGATCTCGAGCAACTTAACATCGAAGGTCAAGGTGCTGTTGGCGGGGATGCCAGGCAGGCTCTTGGAGCCGTAGGCCAGGTGGGCGGGAATCGTCAGGCGGCGCTCGCCACCAATGGCCATGCCGACAATGCCAATGTCCCAGCCCTTGATGACCTGGCCCTTGCCAATCTTGAAGGAAAAGGGCTTGCCCTTCTTGTTGGCTGTGGTTCAAATCACGTTAGCCTCTGCGCCGAGCAAAGTGGCCACGGTGAGTGGGTGAACTTACCATCAAACTGCTGTCCATTCTGGAGCTTGCCAATGTATCGGACGCCAACAGTGTCGCCGTTCTTGACAGTGCGGCCCTTGCCGATGGTGCGGTCATCAATCGTGACGCCCTGGACGTTCCTGACTCCGAGAGATGGCTTGGCCGCCTTCTTGGCGTCCTTAGCTGAGCCGGTAGGACCCTGCTCCAAGTTCTTGGCGAACTGAACCTTCTTGGCATCCTTCTTGGTCTCCTCCTTCTCCTCAGCGGCCACAGCCTCGCCCTTGTTGTTCTTGAGCTTCTTTTGCTGCTTCTTGGAAAGCTTGGAGTCAGCAGACTTAGCCATGAGGTCATCGAGGCCCTCGGCCTCGGCAGCGGAGCGCTTGTTCTTGCCCTTCTTGTTGTCGGTGGCAACCAGCTGGGGAGCCTCGTCCTCGTCGGTCTCGATCTCGGTGACGCGGGGGTCCGCGATATCATCGAGGTCGTCGCTCTCCTCCTCGCTGTCATCCTCGCCCATGGCATACTCCAGCTCATCGGGGGACAGGTCATAGTCATCCTCGCCATCCTCGTCATCCTCCTCCTCGTCATCCATGATGTAGTTGCCGGTCAGGTAAACAGTGTGTGTTCCTGAGACAACAAAGAAGACCTTCTCGCCCTGGTTGACGGTGATGTCGAGAGGCTGCTGGTAGTTCTGGAGTGGGTGTCAGTAAAAACATTGATCAGATGAGTCTTGGTCTGCGAGGAAAGATTGCTTACGCGCTCAGTGTCGAGAGTGCAGAGAACAAAGTTCTCAAGATCGCCCTCCTCCTCATCGTCATAGTCGTCCTCGTCATCCTCATCGTCCTCGTCCTCGTCAACTTCCTGCTCAACGGCCTTGCCCTTGCCCTTGCCCTTGGCGCTCTCCTTCTTGCCCTTCTTGGACTTGACGCCGTTGGTCTCGGCATCCTCCATATCCTCATCCTCGGAGCCCTCGCCGTTGGTGGCCTCGAGAAGTTGCTTGAGAGCAGCAGCCTGCTTCTGCTTCTTAGCCTTGGCAGGGTCGCTGGGGCCACCATTGGCCTCGTCATCCTCGTCGTCAGAGTTGCCGAGAAGGGCCTGGATGTACGAGTCGCTCAGGTCATTCTCATCATCGTCGGCGTCCAGGCCAGGGAAGGCGCGCTTGACGAGGCGCAGAGTTGAGCGAGGGACCTGGTTGGGCTTAGAGTCATCAAGCTCGGCCTCCTCAGTGGGATCAATAGCGGCCATGGTGATGCGGAACTGCGACGAGGGAATTCGGTGGTTAGCATCGATCCTGTGAAACTAGGCCTCGCCCATCACCGGCTGCTGGCAATCCGAGCTGGGACACTCGTAGCAGAAATGCCAGGTGATCCCGTTCGAATTCAGGCAGCATGGCTTGAGCGACGACAGATCATCGACAAGTCGGGACTATGGAAGAGTTGACATTGAAACTTACAGAGGCGGGAAAGTCCAAGTTGGCCGGGATCAGCATCTCTCCAGGCGGGACCTCGAGGCCGTAGACGGGACCAGGAACAGCAGCCATTGTAACTGGAGTATCAAATGACGATGATTGCTTGAGAAATTAGGAGATCAAGAAGAGAACGAAGTCGCGAAGAGAATGGTGTTTTGCTCGTCCGAAGTCGTTGAAGAAATCGCGTCGTGAAGAAGGGGAAAAGAAAGAGGCGAGATGAGAGAAGCTCAAGAGAAAAAAATCTTGGTCTTTTTTTTTTTTTTTTTTCTTCCTTCCGCCGTCAAGCCATCTAGCGGAGTCCCGATTCGCCGCCTTCGGCCAATAGTAATAGCTTGATAAGACACTTATCGAACGGTGGATGTCGCTGGCTAAGCAACTGACCCCGCCGAAGCGGAGCCAATGATGCACGAGGGTGGGCCTCGGCCTTTGAGCCGCCTTTCACCGCCTGCAGATTTGGAGTAGTAGAGCAAGATGCCTTTACGATAGCAAGGATAGGTATAGTAGGTATGATGAGATGGATAGATGCTTTATCGTAAATGCGCTCTAAGAAGTAATGTGTGTCAAGGCTTCACTCTGGTTTTTTGTTCTTCGCTCTCACTTACAGCACCATGCTGGAAGTATATGTGTATTGACTGCAATTGTAGGGAATTTGTAGGTATGAGAATGATAGAGGGGATAACCAGATGCCAACTATAAGTTTGAAGTACACCGCGATGTTAGGTTTGACGAAAAATCAACGCAATGGCGGAATCATGTTCCCTGATAATGAAGTATTGAACCCACAGTGTCTTGAAATCTCACTCTACAAGGTGCATCGGTGCAGCCCTTCTCCCCTATATGGATGGTGAAGCATCTCAACTCAACCACATTCATCACAAATAGTACCTACCCGATAATCCACTGCTTCCGACTCCAATCCATGGAGATAGATACACATTCCCGAACTGACAATCACATAATACATAGAAGATCAAAGGCAAATAGAATGTCCAATCCTAGGTATTCAGGAACACTTGCCACTTGATTGGCTGGAATACCACTTTTTTCCCCGTCAGTCTTCCTTTTCTCCCTACCTATTCTTTCCAATCTGACTCGCCCGCCTGTCTTAGAGGCCCCACCATTCCGTCCATCTGGAAGGATTCGTTATGCCGAGGAGCTTCGGAACGTTGCATTAGTCGCAGCGTCTAATTTAGACTACAATCGTGTGGTTTGTCTCTTACTGTCGCTCATGATGAAGAGAACAAGAAAGACCTGAATCGATGTTATAGAGGGCACTTGGTGTATAGCGCAGGTTTTAAGTACTGGTGACTGGTGTCTAGATGTCATTTGAACAGTGATACATTGTGACGCTTAGCACCTCATCTGGCACCATAGGTAGCATCTGATATCGAGCATTAATAGGTATCATAACGTCCTCTCACATGATCCAATGCCATTCATCATCGGTGGTCAGTATGTATCTATCCCAACTCCGTACCCTCTCGCTTAGGCCTATTCAGTCACTATCAAATCCGTGCAACTCTAGACAGGGTCCTTGTTCAAGATCTCATGGAAAAGAGACGCAGAAGTATGTCTCCATATCCTTCGCTGTCGTATTAATATACCCTGCTTCAATAATTAGTTGAGCCAAGAAGTATGCATCCGATAAATGATACCAAGGTTCGCTATGAGTATATGCACTCCAACAAAAAAAAGAAACGGCGCACAGCGCTCTCAAGCAATATCCTCCACAGTCACAGACTTGGCCCTCTGCCGAAGCGCCTTCTTGCTAACGGCATACTCCAAGTCAGCCGTCCAAAAGTGCGCAATCTCCGCCTGAGCGCAAGGAATCGCGCCATACAAGGGCGCCACCAGGGGCACAAGCAGGTAGTCGACAAAGTTCTTCTTCAGCGAGCGATGCGAGAAGCACATGCCGTCAGCCAGCCCGGCTTGGACCATGTCCTTCTCGCGGGTGCGGACGCAGACTCGGTGGTAACTCTCGTAAAGGAAGATGTAGACGGCCATCTCCATGAAGCCCATGGTCCGGAGAATGTTGCAGGTGGAAAAGATCCAGGCCAGGTCGTTCGGGTCTTCGCCCCCGTCAGTAATCCACGTGTATAGAGAGGACGCAACGACCAGTATCAGCATCTGGAGAGGCAGGAAATGCGCTTCAAACAAACGGTGGCCCATGTAAAAGATGTGTTCCCAATGAGGCTCCTTGAGGGTATCCCTCGTGATATCGGAAAAGACGCCGTTCTCAGTCGGCACCTCCGCGGCATCTTCCAGCTGAGACTCGGGAAAATACGCATCCAGGTTGTCTCCCCGGCATGTGCGGTGCAGGGGACGAAATGCTCTGGAGGTGTATTTCCGGTCCTTCCACATCGCAGCAGCCTTGCGCAATGCAAACCCCGAGTCCAGAGCACCCCACATGTGCCGTAGAGCCTGGCTATAGCGAGCCTTGATGTCGAGATACGCGCCGCGGATGCCGCCTTTGCCGCCGCCGGTGACGTTGGTCTGGCTCACCGGGCTGAGGATGGTGCGGCAGGTGAGGTGGCCGTTGAGAGCAAAGAAGCACTTGATGAACATGTGAAGGTCCTCGCCAATGGCATCCGAATCGCAGTCCCAGCCGCCAACGCGGTCGACAAGCACCAGCGGCAGCGAGTATACAGACGTAGGGGGGGCGATGACGGAGCCCTTGTACAGGCCAGACATGCCGGCGGCGCACCATAGGACGTCGGCAACGCGGACAAGAGCAGTGACGTTGTGGGCATTGCGGTCGAAGATGATGGGAGCAGCGTACAGAGTGGTGGCGGCGGTCTCGGGGTGATTCGTGTGCATGCTGGAGATTTGCGCAAAGTAGCGCGACGAGAGATGGCTGTCAGCTATAGGCACACAGGCAAAGTTAGCATCATACATGTAGTTGTATCCCATACATAGGACATTGGGGATAAATGGCGTAATCTTGATGAAAAGTGTCCAAATCCTGGCTCTCAGTCCCTTTGGAGGGGAGAAACTTGTAAGTCAAAAACATACCGTCGATACCCGTGACGATGACGTTCTTGCGGACCGACATGGGATACTTGGAGCTCAGCTTGCGCGCGGCCCAGGCCATGTTGCTGCCCTTGCCGGCCGCCTCGCCGGGAATGTCGCCCGGATGCAGCGTGTAGTCGATGGATCGGAACCTCTTGACAAACTGCTGGATGAGGCTCAGCGCCTTTGACTCGCCGCCCACTTCGCGTAGCTCCATGCCAAGGTAGACCTGAATTCGGTCGTATGACCTAGATTAGTATCGATCTCACTCTAAATGTGGTGCACAAACGCTGCACGTGCGATATAGTAAGGGGGAGTATCACGGTGGTTGATCTGGTTCAGGAGCTCAAAGGACATGTAGACGACTTACATCGTAGCAGCTCTGGGCCTGGGGATGAGAGGCCAAGACATCTAGAGTCTCGCGGAGTGTGTCAACCTCCTCCTTATAGTTGGGAATGACAATGGCGTGGATGATGGGGCTTTCAGGAACAGCCTTGCCGTCGACATAGAACTCGGGCAGAGAGTCGCTCAACTCCGTGTCCGTCGATGAGACGCCGTTGTAGATGCTCGAAGCGAGCGTCTCGGAGCTGGCCACGGACGACGACGAGCTGTAGCGGCGCAGACCGGCGCCCTTGTACTCCTCAATGGCTCTGCTCTGCGACCCGCGCTTTAGAGACTGCGTGATGCTCCAGATAGACCAGCATGCTCGGATGGGGAACATGGCGACCATGAAGTGTATCAGGAGGCAGTAGTAGGCGAAGACAAAGGTCCAGATGCCGGCACCGACTGTGGTAGTTTTTGACGAGTATGCCGCTCCCTCGGCGCCTGTCCCCTCGATCTTGAAGCCGTGTCGCTCAACCATCGATTCTCGGGATATCACCCAGTAGCAGAGGCCGATGAGCACCAGCATGCTCAAGCCGGTCGCGCACCGGGAACACCAAGTGAGGAACCCCATACTTTCTCAATTGGAGATCAGCCCGAGTGGGAAAGATGAGAGTAAAGGGAGGCGAGGGTTTGTAAGTGGAAGCTGGCTAGAGGAGGTCCAGCCACGAAGTGAGGCTTTCAAGCAGCAATGCTCGACCAGAAGGTGATCGTAGAAACCTGATCAAGCGACAAGACAAAAAGGAAATGCGAGAGACACAGGAGTAAAGAGGGAAAAAGAAGTTGGACATGTAAAAACATGGAGGCAGTGAAGCGAAGAAAGCGGGCCTCGGAGGTAGCTCAAGCCAGGACTAAACGCTGGTTGACACTTACAGAGCTGATCTATGGAAAAGAAGCTTGGATCTTTGGCGCAAGGAATGGGTTTCACACACGTATCGAAGCCTCTCTTGGCTTGTGTTATTATGAGCTACATGGCGGATGGGTCCTTGAGAGAGGAGTAGAAAGGGGAATGTCGTTCCCGGCCACCAGTCAGCGGTACAAGGGAGCGTCTCCTTAGGAGGTTCCCTGCGCAGTTGCAGTTCTCTTTAATCGTAAAAGTGTACATATACTGGCGTGAAGTACCGTTACGTGGTGATGACAAGGCAGCAAGATTCTGTTTCTACTCCCACGATGAGTTGCTAGCGAGTCGATAATCGCAGCACATCGAGGAAGCTAGGGGCGGCTTTGCGAACACGCGTATGCGAGCGAGGAACGGATTCGCTGACAGCTCGAGGACCCTGGACCCTCTTGGTCTGCGCTCATGATCCCAGCAATGCTTCTACTGTACTGGCCTGGAACTCTTACATCATGTGCCGAGTGATTCGCAACCTCTTTGAGACGGACATGCCGTCGTGGGGACGGCGGTGCTGGTGAGTTCATGCTGCTTAGTGTCCACTTCTGTTGCCCTCTCATCCACAGTATAGACATTTTTGTCTCATGATACAAGTCATGAGCTCGAAGAAGGAGTGCGAGATCAAGTCAACAGCTGGTCGATCGCACACAGGGGGTGGAGATGATATTCGCGGCTCTACTCCATCAAGAGTCGGATACAGTCCGCTCTCTCCTAACCAAGCGGTCAGACAAACCACAGTATCAACGACATGCAGTAGCATGCTACCATCTCGACACACACAAACTGATGCAGTGTCCAAGTACCTCCCTATCCCAACACCAACCTCAATCCCCATTTGCCCATCTCAGTCGCACATGTTGGCGATCTCGTCAGGCCCTAGGCTCCGCATTTCATCTCGGCTTGGCATTCAGTGTCCAGTTTTGAGCCCGCTCACCACTTCAGGGATCTTGATATCAGATTAACATCTGGGATAAGGTCGTAGCAGTCGCAAAGCCTTCTGAGCCAACCCAATCGCCACACGGTTCGGCATGTGAAGCCTAGTGGACGAAAGAAAACGACTTGAGATTCGGCTCTGGGGGTCTTGTGTTAGTGCTGGTCTAGCACGAGGCGTGCAGAGCTAACGTTGAACCCATGAGCTTCTTTTCTTCAACCCCTGTTGGCCGCTAAGCGATCGGCATATGGCGACGCTCCTATGAGGATCCGACTTTGACGCATGCATCTCCAGGACCCCAGAAAGGAAGAAAGGGATGTCGAACGGCCTAGCAAAGGGATGGCGAAGTGCCGCGTTACGAGCATCTTTCCACAAGTTGATACGGGTAAAACATGCATTACTAATACTAGGTAGTATGAGGTCTTTAATAGACGAAGAGAAATGGTCGAGAGGATTCATGTTATTCAACAGTACAGATTGCAGGCTGCTAGTATTCCCTCACCTTACATGTATGTTTTGACTGTTGCTGTCCAAGAACCCCTGGAGAGCACTGCCGAGGAGATACGCGTACCTTAAGCGTGTATGGGTGCACCTTGCGTGAGCTGGAGAACTACTAAGTAGGTACCTACCTAGTACCTAACAGTAGAGGCAAATACCTGACTTTGATTGACCAATGTTGAGAAGACATCCAAGGGGCTAAAGCAGCCTCTTCCGAGTCGGTATCCATGCGCCTGTATGTACACGTCTTGTACTTTACCTTTAAGAAGACTACCTGGTAGTGACATACAACAACTGACTTGAGAACCTTGAGTACAACTCCTTCTACAGCAACACAATGAATGTTACATGAAGTGCTCATCATCATGATAATACTGGAAAAAAGAGCAGTCAACTGCGCAATCTCTACTCTATCAGTATCTACTCCATATAGAAGATTGAGGGCCTGGCGCATTTTGGCCAGGAGGGGATTTCCAGGCAAGTCGTCGTCTTTTGGCTTGTGCCTTATCAAGCCTGTTTCGGTCAAGCCTAGCCGTAGCTCGCTGCCCAATCACAGCATGCGATAAGAAGCCAGAATGCCCCACCCACTTTTTTTTCCCTACCCACCTAATCTTTCGCAATCACTTTTACGGCCTCACGAGCGCAGAACCATAATACAAGGCACAGAAAATCCACGAGATCTGATACCAGGTCTCTCAGGTCGACACGATGGGGCTGCTCGCTGAATCACGAACGTAAGGCGTTGGAGCAGGATACTCAGTTGGCTCAAGCGGAAGCGCTAATCTCAAATGCAGGCGCCGGCGAATCCAAAACGACCCCAACAACACAAAATGGACCCGCGACACCACGACGTTTGGCCAGAAGATGCTGAGGTCGCAAGGCTGGGAGCCCGGCCAGTTCCTCGGAGCCAAAGACGCGGCGCACTCCGAGTTCCACACCGCTGCCAATGCGTCGTACATTCGGGTATCGCTCAAGGATGACATGAAGGGCCTCGGGTTCACCAAGTCGAAGGAGGACGAAGTCACTGGCCTCGACGTCTTCTCAGATCTGCTGAGTCGCCTCAACGGAAAGTCCGAGGCGGAAGTGGAAGAGAAGAGACAGGCCAGGCTGGAGGTCAAGATGCATCAATACGTAGAGAACAAATGGGGGCCCATGCGATTCGTGCGCGGAGGCTTGCTGGTCGGCGATGCGATGCAGGAGACTGACGAGTCGAAAGACAGCTCCGAAGAATCAGACAGCTCTTCGGCGGAGGACGAAAAGATACCCACGGTTGCTGAAGAAACGAAGAAGGAAAAGTCCAAGAAGAGAAAGGCTGCAGCTCTAAAGGATGAGGATGATATGTCAGAGGATGACGAAGAAGACGAGAAGAAGAAGAAAAAGCAGCGAAAGGAGGAGCGAAGGGCTAAGAAGTTGGCCAAGGCTGAATCAAGCCAGTCCAGCGATTCAGAAAAGGCCAAGAAGAAGGACAAGAAGAAGGACAAGAAAGAAAAGAAGAAGTCGAGGAAGGACAAGGCTCTGAATGAACAGGAGGCCAGCGAGGATGTCACAGGATCAGAGGATGTGCTGGACAACTCAGCCTCAAACAGCGGTTCCGAAAAGACAAAGCGCTCCAAGAAGGACAAGAAAGAGAAGAAGGACAAGAAGGACAAGAAGGAGAAGAAAGAGAAGAAAAGCAAGGATAAGAAGAAGCGAAAGAACGACGACGTCGGCTCTGACACGGAGATGCCCGACGCTGCCCCTCAGGCTTCATCTTCCGCAGTCTCACGTTCCGGAACGGCCACTCCAGTCACCACAGGCACATCGACACCAACCACAAGAGGCAACTTCATCACGCCCAGATCCCGGTTTATCGCGCAGAAGAAGGCTGCGTTTATGGATGCGTCAGCATTGAAACAGGTATTTTCGCACCTATCTCGTCTCTCACAAGCTTTTTTGCTAACTGGCTTGGATAGATTTTTATGGTGAAAGCGTAATGCATAGCGGCCTAAGCGCGGCGTTACTTGTGAAGATGTTTTGCGGTTTACAGTTTTCCTCGTCTGGCTCAAATGGCTTGAATCAAAAGTTCATACAGGACCTAGACGATAGAAGGTTGCTGATTTTTTGGCAAAGAAAAGGGACATATTGGCGTTGTACGAGCAGGGAATGCATTTGTTTGAGCTTTCACGATAGTACCCATTTAGTGATGTATACACTGGCAAGTCACAGCGGTCATGAGAGTCGAGCCGATATAAGCGAGAGTTGAGCATGCACAAGTGGCCAAGTTGTTGATACACGGCTCTCATCTCGCACCGTGACGATTGTCACGATATTAAGGACCTTGACTGTGACTTAAAGGCACATGTATCATGAGCTAACGCCTCTCAGCAATCTTTGACTCCATGCGATTGTATGGTGACGCTCGAAAATCTTCTTTGTACTTCAGATGCTATCAACTTCAATGTACTCGTACCTTACGGAGGCAAACCAACGGTGGTTGGATGCAAGTACCCACGTACCTCGACGTTGTCCCGCGCTAGACCAAGCTCGCTCACCGCCTACTCTTTCAAGCCCCAGATAGTCAATCCGCCGGCAGAAAACAATAATTTTCCTTCGCTCATCTCCAAACCACCAAAACTTTTGCGACGAGAATCGAACGGAATACAACACAACCCATACGACCTTCTCTTCCTCCCTCCCCCCCCCCCCCCTGCCTCTCGACCACGAACTTTCAACAGTCAGGTTGGACTACAGGATCGAGTCACGCAGTAACTCCTACTTGTTCAATAGTCATTGGGGGGAAGAAAACAGAGAAAACAAAATCGCCCAACATGTCAGGCTCATCGCCTGAATTCCTCCGCTTCACCGGCCACCGGTCCTTCGCCCGCCGCCTGACCATCGCGACCCTCACCGGCCGCCCCATCCACATCTCCAAGATCCGCAGCTCCTCGCCGACGAACCCGGGTCTCGCCCCCCACGAGGTCTCCTTCCTGCGCCTCCTCGAGGCCGTCACCAACGGCTCCTCGATGCAAATCTCCTACAGCGGCACCACCATCTCGTACCACCCGGGCCTCATCACCGGCACAATGGCCGGCCTCGGCGCCGCCACGGACGGCGACGTCATCGAGCACTCCATCCCCGTCACCTGCACCCGCGGCATCACCTACTTCCTCCTCCCGCTGTGCCTCCTCGCGCCCTTCTCAAAGGCCCACATGAACGTCCGCTTCTCCGGCCCCGGCGTCATCACCTCCGCCACCGAGGCCGGCGACGTCTCCGTCGACACCTTCCGCACCGCCATCCTCCCGCTCTTTGGCCTCTTCGGCATCCCCCCCGCCCGCATCGAGCTGCGCGTCCTGCAGCGCTCCTGCGCCGGACCCGGCGGCAAGGGCGGTGGCGGCATCGTCGAGCTGCGCTTCGCCAGCCAGGTCCGCCTGCCCAAGACGCTGCATCTGCACCGCAGCCCCGGCCGCGTCAAGAGGATACGAGGCGTGGCCTACTGCACCGGCGTTTCGGCTTCCAACAACGCCCGCATGATCCATGCCGCTCGAGAGATCCTGAACCCCTTCGTCACCGACATTCACATCGCGGCGCAGTACGACCAGGCGCCACTGGTGCCCACGGGAGACAAGGCAGGCAGCAAGAGAAGGTTGGGTATAGGCTACGGCCTGAGCCTGGTCGCAGAGTCCAACGCCGTCGGCGTGCTCTACTCCGCAGACGTCGTCGTGCTGCCGTCGGGTGGAGAGGTCCCGGAAGATATTGGAAAGAGATGCGCCTATCAACTGCTGGAGACAATCGCAAAGGGAGGCTGCGTGACCCCCGTCTCGGCAGGCACCGTGCTGACCCTAATGGCCATGGGCTCCGAAGACGTCGGCCGGTTGAGGATTGGCAGAGATATTCTCGGCACTGAGGAGATTGTTCAGCTGGCAAGAGATCTCAAGACATTTGGCGCAAGCAGCTGGGGGTTGAGGGACGTTGAGGATGATGATAGCGGCGACATTATAGTCTCTGTCAAGGGCACTGGTGTCGGCAATGTAGGAAGGAAAGTCGCTTAGACGGATTGATTGATGTACTAGGGAGGGAGGTTCTGTCCTTGTTATCCTTTTTGGCGAAATTTACAGCGGCGTAAAAGGGTCTGCGAGGTTTCGGTTGTGCTTGGAAGAGGAAAAAAAGTTGGATTGGGGCTCCATGTAATAGAGACACTATATACCGGCATATAAACACATATTTCAGCCGTTAGGAGGAGCTAATGAGCTCTGCAGAGTCGCGCCCCGGCGTCGACCCTGCATGCTCGCCATGGTGGCTCTGTAGCCGATCGATTGTAGAGACAACGCAGTCGAGCCCCCCGTGTTCATAGCAGCGTTTCTCATCGTGTGGATGATGTGATATTCGTTGAGAACAGCGTTACCGGAACTCATTATGTCGGATAAGTGCGTTCTCGGTGGCTCGTCACCAGAGTCCCCGGCAGCATATCCAGACTGCTCGTTCCGCTCTTCTGGTCCCTCCCCATCTCCCGGTCTGCCAATCTGCTGCAGCTCGATTTCGTCCGTCTCGTTGATCATCAGACCCGGCACGTGCCGAGAAACTCCGCGTTCCTCCGCGTCCAAGTCCTCTGGCGAACGAGCAGCGATGGGCTCCAGAACCATCTCGGATATAAGCGGCCGGAACGTCTTGAGAGCGACACGCAAGCTCTCCCGTTGGTTGTGCATTGTGAGCATCAGACACTGGATGAACAAGATGAATAGGTCTGCCACCAAGTAATACAGCCTATAGGCGGCAGGCATTTGGCCGATGAAGTCGATGATCATCCCCCCATGTTGGTAGCCTCGATGGTACTCGGGTCCGGTGGGCAGCGAGCCAAAGAGATGCAATGCCATGCAGAGCAGGTTAGGCACCACTATCAGGATGACGTGAAGCTGGGTAGCCGGCATCAACAGCGCAAAGGATTCGTCCTTTGGGGTGAGGTACATGTATTGGGGCGCGGCTCGTAGAAAGAATCGAAAAATGGAACATCTACAAAATGAACGTGAAAGTCACCACTGTCAGCTCATATGTTCCGTTAGGAGAGGGAAGGGGGGTTCGCTCGGTTGCCAACGCACTCCATATAGTACAAAGAGCTCAACTCAGCAAAGAAGACGAGGTCGAGCGTCTTGAGCAGGTGTGTGAGAAAGGCGAGCTTCTTAGCCAGGCCCGGATTCTGCTTCTTCTTGCTCCTCCTCCTCCTGCGCTGCCGGCCGTTGCTGGACCTCGAGCGCTGCCGCGATTCGGGACGACGACGAGGGTCCGCCTCTGCCTCCGCATCGCCGGCGCCGGCAGCCGCAGCGGCGCCAGGTGGTGAGAGCCGGTCGTGGATCCGCGCCGAGGAGGTGGACGCGGCATCATGGTTCATAGTCGCCTGTCACCGGTCCGGCTCGGCAGAGGGGCTTGCTCTGCATTGAGGCAGGCTCAGGACGGCTCGAGGCTCTTGTGCGTGATTCGCCGCAGTGGTCCGTAATGGTTTGGACAGGTCAAAAGAGAGGCAAATCAGTTGGACAGACACGGCTGGCGGGACGGCCAGGCCCATTGAGCAGCTCGCTGATGGCGTCCTGGTCTGGTATTCGCTGCTTGTTCCTGGCGGCTTTAACTGGATCCGTCCTCGTTCGTTGGTTCTGCTCCATCCAGGCATCAGGTCTCAGGATCAACACTAATTCCGTCCGAACAGCTCTCGGGGCTCTCGGTACGTACTCCACTGCGCCGGTGGGACCTTTTCCCCGCAATCCACCACCTGCACCTGCCCCGCAGGGGTCCACAGCAGCCGGTACATACATCGACAACGTCAACGACAGCAAGCAGGGCCTTGTACGAGTACTGTACCTTACTGCTGAACCTCTCTAGGTACTAAAGTAGGTAGTACATACTAGGTATGTACAGAGACTCGGGAGTCGAGCACCGCACGTCACCGTTGATGACGCTGTGGCATGAGACGCCACTGCTGAGGAAGGAAGTAGCGGAACAAGATAGTCGAGAGAAGGAAGGCGAGTCGGACCGTTGGTCCAAGATGCTTCTGAAAATAGACGATGAACACAGCAGTAGAACCAGCCTGGAGATCGAGACAGACTGATGGATGCTGACGACATTACCTGCAGCTAGAATCCTCATACTGATAGCCTATCTGTTTGTTGAAGGGAGTCTCGTAGACCCTTGAAACCCAAGGACGTCCGAGTCTGTGCATGTACCAAGACGTATGTACTGCAACCATACATACATACCTACTAGTACCTAGTATTTGTACACTCGAGGTCTCGTGCGCATTTGTCAACCACATCGAACCATTACCCAGACACGGCTTATCCAATCGCGTCATCCTCTCACCAATCCTCACCGCGGCAGCGACTGTCACTCCGGATGAAAGCTGTTGGCCCGGCTCGACACTATCAGGGCCCTGTTTAGCGCCGATCGAGACTTGTAGCCACAGGCCGGCAGAATGGCATGTCCATCGACAATTTGGGCGGCTTGCGAACAGCCTGGTGTGGCGAGGCGTTGTGGTCATTGGCCGGCGTCGTTGGCTATCAGGCAGATGGTCCGAAAGCTTGTCCTGGCCTGGCTGCCGGCGTTCCTCTTTGTCTCGTCACCTCGTGGGGAGCTGCAGTACATAAGGAGCTTCCCCTCCCCTCCCTCTTGCTCTCTTTTCCGTTCGTCTCTTCTAAGACAATCCCGAACTATTGCAATTCATCAGGTTTCATCACCAACCAACGTTAACCCTACTTTTCATCAACTGATCAATATCTTCGTTCATCATTCATCATGAACAATCCCGAGCAGAACCAGAACACGCCGGCTCAGGGCACTCGCCGTCGAGTATGTCCCCTAGCAATCAGCATCCCTTCCTTTCAATGCCCCGATTACACGTGTTAACAGAATATTCCGTGTAGAGCTCCGGCCTCATGCCCGCCTTTGCGAGCCTCCACGAACATCGCCAAAACGCCAACGATGCCGCCCGGCGCCAAAGCATGTCTGACCAACAGGCCAAACCGGGCCCATTTGGCCAGTTGTTCCATAAGTAAGATAGTCCTTATCTGCCAAGTTCTCTCAGTATCGACCTTCCATCCTTAGTGTCAAACTAACCCATTCGTCATTGATACAGTACTTTTGGAAGATACTCCAAATAATCACTTCCGACACAAGATGCCTACCTATGACGACGCCGTGACAACGGAGCTGCTTCCGCGCTACCGATGATTATTGAGCCGGGGGCTCAGAAGGCCGTGGGGCTGCTGGAAACAGATTGAGCCAAGTGTAAATATAATTCAATATTCGCGATATTTCCTCTTTGCACTTCGTGTAAGCCAGTGATGCCAGTGACTGCTGCGAAACTGCATTATAGCATATGGTATGTAACGCAAAGCGGGTAATGCACCCTCTTTCTGAAAAATAATTTGCAGATCGTAGCTTGGAGTTGATGTGCAAACCGTAATATTTCGTGCCAATGCCCAGGAGAAGAAGGATGTCAAGGCGTGTCTCATAGCCCATCGCGAGTTTGCCCATAAAGCAGAGATACAGCAACGTGGGGGAAGTCCTCCTTGGTCATGCCATAGTCGTCATTCTCTGAGGAAATATTGACCTCTTAAGTCAACCCTATAGAGGCTCGATAGGATCGGTGTCGGCAAAGGATTTAAGACTGTACCACAACCAAGAATTTGTCTACAGTGAAACCCTCTAGTACCTGGTATTTAAAAGGTACAGAATGGAGGATCAGCACACCAACGACAAGTCCCTTGTACCTTATCACCAACCAAGCGGGCGCTTATCGATAACGCCATGGTGGGTTGTCAATCCACCACTGGCATCACAATCGCATCCATCTCCAACTTTTTAGCATCATATCCAGAAAAAAAAAAGTTCCGAGCGCTCAACAGGCGAGTGCTGAAGGCACTGCGCCTTGTACTTTCAATTCCTCAAACTATGTCATGCCGACCGCTACTGTTCCGCGACCTCAGATGTCGAAACGACATCATCTGCCGCTCATGTCTGGCCGCTCGCGCAAAGCAGCCGGCACAAGCATGGCGGCCCGCGTCCTACAGCACCCAGGCCTCTCAAACCGCCAGTAGAGCAAGGCTTCGATCTCAGCCTCGATCACAGCCTCGACCGAGTCCAGAAGTCGCGCGTCAGCCATCGAAAGAGGAACTGGCTCGCTACTTGGAAGGCCTCAAAAGCCTCCAGGCTCCCGACAAGGCCAAGACCAACGCCGACGACTTTTCTGTCCGATTCTTCGAGCAGGGCGACCGAAACCGAAAAGAGCTGTCCAGTGAACAAGACTTTGGAGACTCCCTAGGCGGGGTCGATGTCTCCGAACTGCGAAATAATCTCTTCAACCTGAGGTCAAAGCTCAGCAGCCAAGATGACAAGGACGCCTTCAGAGAAGTCCTGAGCCAGATTGGCGAAGGCTGGGGCAAGGTCAACTCTGCGGAGGATGTTGAAAAAATCATAGCAAAGATGGAAGATTACGCACGGTCAATCGATGTCGAGATTAAAGAAGCAAGCACCGATCTCCCCAAAGGCGTGCTGGAGCAGCTCATCGGGGATGTGCCAGACCTGTCTCTGGAAGGCGACAGCTCCTCTGACCAACCCCAGGACTCGATCCCGCAGGTGCGTATAGATCCTGACGACACAGCACATCGCCGTCGGAAGATTGTCAGGTTCAATTCCATCATCAGCCGCTTCGTGCTCGCAGAGAAGGCCTCAGGCACCAAGGCAAAGGGTGTACAGTCTCTATACAAAGCATACCATGCGACGAGACGGGCCCTGGCCCAAAACTGGAGCGATGTTCCCCCAGCTGTCTGGGAGGTTCTCTGGAGAGCATTCGCGAGCGAAAGGGACGACGTCAATGAGATGTCGCGCATTGCTCTGCTTGCCAGGGACATGAGCAGCGCCGGGGTTATGCTTCGCCCCGCGCAGCAAGTCCTGGCCATCGAGGCCGTCTTCGTCGACGGATGGGAGTCCAAGGCCATTGAAAACTGGAAGCGATGCGTCAGCACGCTCGGGGCGGACAACGCCGAGACGTTTCAGGGCTTTTGGGAGCTCGGCGCGAGGATGTACTGCCGTGTCGGCGATCTGGAGCAGGCAGAGCGGGCAATGAACAAGCTCCTCAGCCGCAACATGAGCCCGCGCATCCTGATTCCCCTAATTCGAACAAGCTGCGAACAGGGGACGGAGGAGGGCCGACAGAAAGCATGGACTACCTACCGCCAAATGCGGGAGCTTCTGGGCAAGGACATGACCCTCACAGACTACGACCAGGTGATATCCTACTTCCTGACAGCCCATTACATGGAGAACGCCCTGTACGCTTTTGTCGACATGATGAGCGACGGCCGCATCGATCTGACCCGGCAAACATTCCTGCCGTCTGTCGTTGCCAACAAGTTCTTCCTGGGCAAGTGGCTGAAGCGATTGATCGGCGCCGGAGACTTGAACGGCGCCTTCAGCGTGGTCAAATTCATGCGAGAAAAGGGCGTGGAGGCGGCGCCGATACACCTCAACGGCCTCATTGGAGCATGGCAGCGGGCGGGCGGTGCCGACGACCTCGAAAACGCCGATGCCCTGGGCTGGGAGCTGATCGAGTCGAGGCTCAAGTTTGTGGCCAGCCGAAAGTCCAGCAGCGAGAGCCACGAGGACGGCGGCTCTACTACACCCTCACTCCAGAGCACCACTCCGGCCGATCCGCCGCGGGCTACCCCTGAAACCTTCTGGCTGCTTGCCGAGAACTACCGCCAGCGAGGCCTTCATGGCCGCCTGGAGGAGTTGTGGAACGCCTTCCGCGCGGCAGAGCTCAGCCCCGACGCCTTCATGATGAACCAGATCATGGAATCTCTCATCCAAGAAGGCCAGGCGAAAGAGGCAGTAGCCCTGTACCACTCCCTCGTAGACAGCAACAAGGTCGTCCCGGACCCATACACCTTCAGCGCGCTCTGGAAGACCCTCGGCGTGAACCGCTACCAGATCCGCGACGAGGAAACGCAAGCCACGGAGACCGAGGCCGCGCGGGCCCTGTTCAAGGAGACCCTCAAGCACAAGCAAGTCTTCCAAGCCGACGGCGGCATCGACGGCCAGCTCGCCCGCAAGATGCTCCACACCTTCCGCCGGCTGCACGACAACGCGGGCCTGCTCGTCGCCGTCACGGCCCTCCGGGAGATTTTCAAGTTCCTGCCGCCCGAGACGCTCGTCATGGAGATGGTCATGGGCACGACGAAGCTCTCGTGGGACACGCCGTCGCAGCGCCGCAGGCTGACGGTGACGAAAACCAAGATTGATCGCGAGCTGCTCGCGTGGGCAAGCTTTGACCCCAAGAAGCTCGAGGGCGAGCAGAGGCGCGGGGAGGCGCTGTATGCGTATCTGCAAAGGAGGTTTTGGCCCGACGAGGGCAGTGAGGCGGAGAAGAGGAGGGTGTTTGTCGAGGTGGCGAGGCAGATGGGCGTGTATGAGCTGTTAAGTCCGAAGAAGTGATGCGGGCAACGATAGGTGTCTGCTGCTGTGGTTTTTTTTTTTTTTTTTTTCTTTTAACGAATAGATTGTATACTAGAGAATTGACGAGAAAGGGATTTGGATATGAAGATTGTGTTTGATGGGGCTCGAGAAAGGGAGTCACTACTCGATGGAACTTGTATCATAGCACACTGCAAGGCACTTCTGCCGTCATCTCACGTAGAAAGAAACCAACTCTAAAGCTCTTTAGTGTTTCCTTCTGATTGTAAAGAAGAGAGGACAGAGAGGAAAAGAAAACAGAAAAAGACCATTTTGCCAATCCATTAAAACCGACCACATAAGAGTCATCTCCCCTCTCCCACCCTTCCCAAACTCCAACGCTATGCAATGTTTTAAAAGAACAACAACACCCCATGTCTCCTCCATGTCCGTCCTCCAAGGCGACTCAACGACGCTGCCCCGTCTTTCTAGGGCGCCCCCTCTTTCTCTTAGAACGCTTCACACGCGGCGCAGCAGCAGCAGCAGCAGCAGCAGCAGCATCTTCTTCTTCTTCTTCTCCTCCTCCTAGTACTGCCTCCGAGGCATCACGTCCCGCCTTCTAGGAGAGATCCATGTCCTCGGCGGCATCACCGCCCAGCCTGTCGCCCACCGAGCTGAGGCCCGAGCTAGGGGACCTCCCTGACCCTGTTGTGGCTTCGGGCTTATCTCCGTCCTTGTCCGTGTCCTGCTGCTCTTTATCTTTCTCTTGCTCATGGTCGTGCCCTTCTTCTTGCTCCGCCGATTCTCGCGGCGGGTGCCGTGGTTCCGGCGCCCGTTGGGATATCCACTCGCTGATGCTCGTTATGGGCCCGCCTTCGACAAGGATTTCGTTGCCGTCGGTTGATTTGCCAAAGATGGTGCCTTGCCACTTTGCATCGTCACCAGTCTTGCTATGCTTCTTTTTGAGGGCTAGAACCAGAAAAAGAAGAAGAAGAAAAAAGACGTCAGTCAAGATAAGATCCCATCGTAAGAAGAGGAAAAAACCGGCTTCTTCCTCCTCCTCCCAAAACTCACCCGCCAAATAATCCGTCGCATCGCTCTCCGTGTCCCCGCTGCCCATCTCCATCATCTCCCTCATCCGCGGGCCCGCGAACCAGCCGATGAACTCCTCGACGCCCCTCATGTCTTCTTCCTGCCGCCACGCCTGGTCCGGCAGCAGCGCGCCCACCTCCTGCAGCGCCATCCGCACGTCCACCACGTCGTAGTCGCCCGCGTCGCCGTGGTTGTTGGCCGCGTTGCCCGCCGTCTTCTCGCACAGCAGCGTCAGGTACCGCGCCGCAATGTCCGTCAGCGTGTCGAGCACCGCCGGGCGCGTGCTGTGGTAGCCCGTCGCGCGCAGGATCTGGAGGATCGAGGGCCGGAGGAAGGCGTGGAACATGGAGGGCGGGCGGGCCATGGCGGGTTATCTATCTTGCGTGTTGAAGTTGCTATGGCTGAGGAGGAGAGAGGAAAGAGAGGTCAAGGAAGAAAGAGAAAGACGGAAGTGAAAAGCAGAAGACGTCCGAGTGGCTGCGAGAGGCGCTACAAGGATCGTTCAGCTTGTCGCATGTGCTCTGCAGGACGTCATCGGCTCTGTCGCACTGAGTCTCTCGCAAAGCGCATGTTCGCCTGTAATCGTTTATTATGCGCAAGATTCGTCTCGAGGTGCCAAAGAGGTTGGGGGCAGCTCTGTTTCGCGGTGGTTGAGCAGCTGAATTATGGGATGCCGGGCAGCTGTCAAAGGTGAAGGAAGCTAGAATCGTTCTCGCAGGTGAATTGAGATTCAGATCAGCTCCAAGCTAGTCAATCCACACAGTGTGCAGGACCCTTATGTAGCACTTGGCACGGTATGTACTACTAGTTGGTCAGTCAGAAAGTGGAAGCCTTGAGACGCTTGTTCCTCAGCATACCTACCTAAGGTTTACCTTGTTACTTGACTCACTTCCAGGAGCATTGATGAATCCTGATTGCTGCATTCATACAATTTGTAGATAGTAATCAAGCCCCCCAAAGAAAACGAGGCCATACCCTTGCCATGATACAGTTGCAAAGCACAAGTTGCCAACCACGCAAAAAAGGCCTCCGAATGCTTACACGTTCCACAAGCATATCATACAACCACCATCTCAAAATGCGAGGGTAAACGTACAATAAACCAAACGGCAAGGGGCAGGAGGGGATACACAGGGGAATCTAGTTTTTTTCAGATATTCCACTGTACTTGTTGATCCAATTCAACACTTCCCTGTGCCAGACGAGAGAGTTCTCAGGCTTGAGCACCCACTATGATATCCTGATGTTAGCATCCAATATCCCCGTTCTCCCACAAGGGCAATGGTAGTACTCATGACTTACGTGATGCTCGTCCGGGAACATGACAAACTTGCTCGGCACGCCACGAGCCTGTAGGACGTTGAACATGGCCAGACCCTCGGAGATGGGCAGGCGGTAATCAAGCTCATTGTGAATGACCTGTGAAACCCAACGAATCAGCCACGTTATGGAGAAGAGCCGTACAGTATTACTGATCCCAGCTTACCAGTTGCGGCGTAGCCCAGTTTCCAACGTGCTTTGCGGGATCCCACTTCTCGTAACCTTCTCTATTCTCCCAGAGGGCGCCGCCAAAGTCGTGCTCCGGGAAGAAGAGCTCCTCTGTGGACCACTGGTTCAGGGTCGAAAAGACGCCGTCGTGGCACACCAATGCCTTGAATTTCCGCCCAAGGTCATGGCCTTGGATCCAGTCTGACCAAAGTTAGAGCAAGACTTCTCACGCGTCTGCATGTAGGGATAAAACTCACTAATCATGTAGCCGCCATAGGACGCCCCGAGAGCCACCGCTCTGGTTGTATCAATGTAGTTCACTTCCTCCTCCAGAAACTCAAAGCACTTGACCAGGTCGATATAGGGGTCGCCTCCCCAGTTGTTCTGGATGGCATCGGTATGGTCTTGGCCATATCCTGTGCTCCCGGTTGGATTGGGGCTCACCACAACGTAGCCTTGCTCAGCAAAGACGGCCGGGTTCCATCGAGTGCTCCAATCGTCTCCCCATGCTCCCTGGGGCCCGCCATGAATGAAAAAGGCCAAGGGATACTTCTTGGATGAGTCGAATGTTGAGGGCAGGGTCACTAGGGCGTGGATGGGGTAGCCCTTGGACCCATTGAACCAAATCTCCTGGCACTGCGACTTGCTTAGAGCAAAGGTCTTACCTTGCCTTGAACTGGATGAGATGATGGTGGTCGATTTGGAGGCGGGGTCTAATATCGAGTAGTTGGAGCTTTCGACGCGAGATCTCGTCGTGATCAAAAGAGACGAGCCTTTCCCGAGGACTCTAGCTTCGGCCACAGATCCATCCTCGTGAATAGGAGTGGGCAGAGACTTGGCCTCCAATGGCGATGACGGCAACTTCCACAGGACGACTCGAGCGTGCTTCTCGGCCGCAACGTACAGTTCCTTATCGTCATGGCTCCAGATGAGCCAATCGGGCTTGTAGTCCCAACCACCCTTGCCATCTTCCGTGGCATAAAACTCCTGAACGTTGCTCAAGTCGGTAACGTCCGGAATTAGCAACAGCCTCGTTTTGTCGGCCTCGTACTGCTGGGACTTCATGCGCAGGAAAGCTACCTGTTTCCCATCATTCGAAAACACGGGAGAGAGCGAATAGCCTCGCAGCGCTCCCGTCTTGACAATCTGGGGAAATGTTGGCTGGTCCAAGTATGAATTTAGTGGAACAAAGTACAGGTCCGTCTTGGTTGTTCTCGCATGGTTCAGATCCGGATCCTTTGCGACAAACACAATGCCGGTCGTGGATATGTCAAAGTCACCGGTACCTCCAAAGGGGGGCACGGGAGAATGGAGCCGCGTGCCGGCCAGGAGGTTGGTGAGCTCCGAGTTTCCAAGCGTCCACTTGCCGTCGACCTTGTTAAGCTGGCCGTACCAGAGCGAGTTCTTGTTCTCGGTGTTCCAGGAGTCCCAGTGCCGCACAAAGAGGGATGTGTAGATCTTGGCCGACGTGTAAGACTTTGGCTCCGCAGCCGGGCTGTACATGCGGCCATCGGGGGTCGTCAGGGCAGCACAGCAGAAAGCCACCTTGTCTGTGGACAGCGGCTTGGCCTTGAGGCTGTTAATGCTGCCGCCGAAGCGCTGGATCGTGTTTGACCTGCGAGGTTGCAACTTGTCAGTCTTGTGCAGACATCCACGACCATCTAGGCCAGCAGGGAATCAACATCAACTTACTCATTCGGGTTGAAGACGTGCTGCGCCACCAGGGCCGAAGCACCGTGATCGAGGCTCTTGACATAGGCAATCTCCTGCTCGGCAATCCAGATCGGTTCGCTGGCGGCGGAGTCTTCGGAGACGAGGTGCGACGTGCCTTCTTTGAGGTTGAGGACGCGGATCTGCGCCGTCTTGGAGTGGGAGTCGAAGGAGTATGTCGAGACCTGGATAGAGGAAAGCCAGAGTCAGGTCAGCTGCTTGTCCTTCAATTGGTGTGTAATGTTTTCTTTCCGGTTGATTCTTGATTCCTCCAGAGGTCAATCTAGCTCACCGTATACAGAACCAGCTCGCCCGTGGCATTGGGCACCCCCGGGGAGCGCCGCGGCGCCGCGAGGAGAACCTCTGGGGTGAGTTTCTGGGCCGTGATGGTCATCATCAAGGGCTGCTCACCGACGGCAAACTGTAAGAAAATAGAAGAAGGACAAGTAAACACGTGGAGGGGAGAGAATGCAGATAAAAGATGTCAGATGCCGCCTTGCAGACCGTGTCCCTCAAGGTGCAATCACTACCAGTACTAAGGTAGAGGTAGTCGACCAACGTACCTTAGTAGGTACATGTAGGTAGGTATCCGTCACATCCAGCATCATACGAGCTGCGCTCCAGTGGCTGGAAGCCGCCCAACTGCCCCCAGAGGAAAGAGACCCCTCACTGTAACCCCGCATTCTCCTAGCGAAGAATCCACTGTCCGGGAACCATTTCCCAGATGCTTTACCTAGTACCTGTATAGCAGTACCTTGGAACTTCCGTTGTGGGAAATCCGGAAAATGAATGAGGGCATCACGGCTTGAGATTGTGGAGTTTCTAGTCTTGAAAACAGCATGAAATCCTTTACTCAACAATAGCAAAAATGGATACTGCTATGATCACCACGGCAAGTATACCAAGCCAATAGCAGCGTATTGACTGTCTCAGTCGATTGACCGGCATCGGGTTCCAGACGTCCAGGTCTTTATCACCTCGAGCCGGTCTCGACTTGCTAGACTGCAACGTACCTAGATGAAGCTCCTCCCCCTTACCGCTGTTCTATACTGAAGAAATGCAAATCTGCAGGCTCGCGATCCGCATTTGAGTAAAGTCAGTCTGCTGCCGTCAAGGGACATGGTGTTATTCTCTCCCTCTATGACGCTTTGTCGAAAGAGCCACCATAGATTGATCTGCCCTCACGGATCAAGCACATCAACTACCAATATAAGCATCTCTCGCTATGAGACGCCAGTCCATCCTTCAGATGATAACAAGTTATTAGTAACTGCAGGGGTCATGGCCAGTATTCTTCATGGTTCTGCTATATTCGCGAAATCACCTCATTCGTAATAATCTCCTGCCAGATGCTCGACGCCCCAAACGCCGTATGTAAATACCAAATCCTCCAAACGCCTTTCATGTGTCGCTTCGTTTCTTTTCTGGCGGCTACACTGTCGCAGCCAGCGGAAGAAGCTCTTTCTCCAATGTCGAGAAACCCAAATTACCACAGCTCCCCGACCACCCATCCTTACTTCCTCGACGCCCCGAAATTCGTCCGCTTCTTATTCGTCTGCGCATCATTCTCGCTCTCTTCCGTGTCCTTCTTCTTCGACTTGCTCGCCTTGCTCCCGCCCGCCGACGTCGGCGTGGGATTACTCGACCCGCTATCCCGGAACGTTGTCGACAGTGGCGTCGGCGCAGGCGTTGACCCTACTGATCCGGGAGTCGAAGAGTCCTACAACAAGCCAAGCCCAATTAGCAAAACGCGCCGAGATGGTCGAAGAAGCACCTTAAAGTAGCCGGAGACTTTGGGTGCTCAGGGCAAACTCACCCCGTTATTCGGTCGGTAAGAGATCGACGAGCGTGAAAAGACGCGATGCTGTTCTGCAGGGCCTGTCTTGCGTCGCTGCGCAGCCGCTCCACTCGTGCCCTTCATGTAGTTGTCGAAGCCCGTGATGATGTTGCCGTTCGGCGTGCTGTCGAGATACGCTGATTCCTTCTGCATGATGCTCTCCTCCATTGCAGCCTAGGCCAATCCCTTCGGTTAGCCAGCGTCGTCAACACGACTAGAGTCAAGAGGCGCCTTTCAAGTCATCAGATGGAGAATGAAACTCACAAGACGGCGCTCCAACTGCCTGCGCCGATCGACCAGGTCTCGCACGCGCGCCTGCGCCTTCTTGTATTCCGCCATGGTGGGCTGCGCCTCGCTCGCTCGGGATGTGGTTGCTTGCTTCTTGTCCGCCATGCGCCAGCGCTCTCGTCTCGGACGGATATCGATGATAGGCGATGCCGACGTCAAGTTGGCAGATGGATTCGGAGTCGCGGCTGGTGCTCTTGATGATGCAGCTTTGGTGTTTTCATGCACCGCATTTGACCGTGCTGGTAGGTACCGGGTACTAACCTAAAACAGGCTAGAGGCAAAGCCGAGTCCTGAGACGCTAGGCCAGAAACATCGCAGCACATGCATGTCAAGCAAATGCATAAGAGCAGCATGTCACCGAATCTCGAACAATAAGAGAGACGTCGATATATATAAAGGTAAACTGAGATCAAGACCCCATTCCCCTTTCTACCTAAGCCTGTTGAGCTGAGTATACCGTGAGCAAAGAACTGCAGACATCAGCCGCTAAAGAAGGTAATAATCTCAGCATATTGCAATGATGCCAATTTATTGCACGGAAACAGTTGTCTCGCTTCACCCCAAAGTGTTCCCGTACTTGCATCAAACTCGGTTCCCAGCTCCTCACAGCAGAGATGATATGCTTACTTCTTGGCTTTTTTTTAATGCATACTTCTCCTAGAGACGAGATTCAACAGCAGTTAGCCTCAATTGTTGATGTGGGCGCCTATATTAGAGGTTCTCATCTGCTTGTTTCGTAGGTAGTGCGAAGCTCGCTAGCAAGTATTTTGGTGCGGCGGTGGCCTTGTGCTTCATCGAAGCATCATCAGCCAAAGTCAGCAAGAAACCATAGCCGCCAATCTCCCACCCTCAGGCCAGGGGCTTACCACACCTCTTGACTGAAAGTCGACAAGCAGCCTAGTCAAGAGCTCGGGGCACGCGGTTCATCTTCCAAAACATCAGCCGATTTGCCACGATTTGATGGAGACGAGGGCGAAGAGGAGCTATTGCGTCTCCTCCTGTCAGAATCCTTGCCCCTCGCTAAGGCTTCGTCATCTTCACGGTGGCCACTATCACGCCGTTGGCGACCATGGCGGCGTTGTGGAGGAGAGCCTGGTCCGGAGCTATCAGCAGATCGAGCACGGCGGCGGATGGGGCTGCGGCTGCGGCTGCGGCTGCGGGATCCCGAGGAGCTCCGCGAACGGGATGATGGCGAAGTTGAATAACGCCTTCTGCGGTCTCCTGACCGACTTCTGGAGATGGATTGCCGTCTTCGCTTCGGCGGAGGTGAGGTGCGTTCGGAGGATTGTGACCGACGGTGTCGAGCATCTCGGCGGTCCCTTCCGTTGCGTGACTGTCGCCTCGGTCGGTAAGCATCACCGCGAGGAGACCTAGACCTCTTCCTAGAGTCTCTGTATCGGGCAGAATGTCCTTTGCGGCGTGGAGGGCTTCGAGAGCTGCGATCGCTGCGATCACTGCGGGACGAACTGCTGCTCCGGGAGCGGGAGCGGGAGCGGGATCGGTCTGACGCTGACCCGGATGGTGAGCGACTTCTACGCCGCTGCCAGCCACGGTCGCGACCTCGGCCACCCCGTGGCCGTGGGACGTAGCTGTCTCGTCTGTACGAGTCACCAGAAGCGCGGTGCCGAGGCTCGGGCGAACGTGATCTGTTTCCACCCCAGCCATGACCTCCTCTGCCACGACCTTCGAAAGCCCGATCCCCGCGGCGTCCTGGCCGATCGCCCCTGTCGTTTGCTCGATCTCGACGATCTCGATCTTTCAGGTCGCTAACTTCTCGATCACGACGGTCAAAGTCGTCACGACGTTTTCGTGCATTCTCAGCGGCTCTATCGGCTTCCATCTAGTATATCTGTCAGAGTCAAGAACTCAAGCGGAATTGCTCCTATAAACATTGACAAGGTACGAACCTTTTCCTGCATAAGCTCAAGCTTCTTAGCTTCCAGTAGCTCTTTGGGCACGCCTTGAGGGTTCCCTTGTGCGCTCAGCAGCAGCTTCCATAGCTCCTTGCAGAACGGGGCGGTATCCTTGTCTAAGAATCCGGTAAGTTGTATCTGTAGCGATTTGATGTCGGGCTGATGTCCAAATCCAACCAGTTAGCACGACCAGATGGTAGAGTCGATTCGACAGAAACAACGAACAGACGTACATATCTTGGTCCGTCAATGAGGTTGAAGCACAGCTCAATTACAACGTCGTCTTCGTTGCCCAGTATCTCTGATATTCTGTTGGCAATCCATCTGTGAAGTTGGGCGTCAGTACCGTAAATGGCGGGAGCCATGATAGACAAGGCTTGCTGGGGCCGGTGACAAACTTTTTTATGACCTGCAGGTTGACCTTTTGCATGTCGACTTTCTGGCTGAACTCGGGAGGGAACTTGGTCGACTTCAAGAGTCGAGCATCTCCTGCGGATGCCATTGCGGCCTCTGTCACGATGTTGAGGACGGAAAAGAGACAGGGAAAAAAAGCTGACCGGCACGCGTCAAGGGGAGAGAAGAAAGGTTGGCGGAATTGAAGAGCTTGGAAAGATTATGCTAGCAGTGTGACGTCTGTGCTTGCCGTTTCTCAGTGGGAAAAGAGCCGGAGGAGGTGAGAAATGCGCACGGACCAGCAAAAGGCGGTGCTCGAAGCAGTACTTGACGAGTACAAGCTTGTCAAGTGCCGCTAGGCGAGCAGAGTCTGTTCTGCTGCAGCTATTTCAGCAGCTGCGCGCACCTTCTGCAGGTAGCCCTCAAGTCTCATCGAGGTTGTCGGCGGCTTCAGCGACTTGCGTAGCCCGGCCTGTGCCGTTCCTGGACCCCGCAAAAAATGCCCGGGGCGGTCGCTGGTGGTGATGACGCTTGCCTGGGCCAAGGTTCAAAAAACGCCCAGCTGAGTAAAAGCCATCGCAGTTGATCTTTTATTGTCCCATTATATTCATCCCAGTCAAACTTCTTGTGCTTAAGCTGCCAGAATGGATACTCTTCACGCACCGACTGTGCCCTCAGGGCCAACATCGAATCTCAACCAGAGAAACGGCGACACGGCTAAGCTGAGCTTTGCGGAGCTGCAGCGGAAGAAGGACGACATGGAGGCAGAACTGAAAGCTCTGGGAAGTGTGCTGGATTCGGTACGAACCCGCTTATCCTGATAATAAGTCAAATCGAATCGGAGGTTGATATCGAATCAGCATGGCGTTGATATGCAAACGCCGCTGTTGACCAGAGATGGCTTTCCCCGAGCTGATCTCGACGTTGCTCAAAGTATACGGGATATCCTAAAATGAGAACCGCGTGATTCATGAAGGAGGTCTAACGACATGCCTACAGTCCGTACAACAAGGGCGCGCATCATCCGCTTGCGCAACGACTACAAAGAGCTCATGACGAACATTGAAAAGTATCTTCACGAACACTTTGCAAACGTCCAAGACGGGGATGATGCCCCGAGCACGGCTGGAGAGGAGCTTCGCATCCTTCCTGACTCTCACACCGAGCAGCTGGATGAGCCGTTTGCCAAGGTCAACACCGTGGCAGCAGGCAGCCCGGCTGAACAGGCCGGCCTACAAGCTGGTGATGAGATTCGCAACTTTGGCTACGTGAACCGATCGAACCATGACGGTCTCAAGAAGGTGGCAGAGTGTGTGATGGGCAACGAGGGGGTATGTCTCACGCCGTCCCTGGCCCACTTGTTTGATTCTAACAATGGCGCACAGAAAAACATCTTCATCAGAGTGTCTCGGCCAGATGGAGTTGCTCGTCGACAGGAGCTGAGGTTGACTCTGGTTCCCAGGAAAGACTGGGGCGGCAGAGGAATGCTGGGCTGCCACATCTTGCCTCTGTAATCTGCCGTCATATATGGGTAAACAAGCTATTCGGCGGCGGTAATCGCTGTTGGACCACACTCGTGGAACTGCTGCCAGATAACGCCAGGCACGGGCTGATGAGGCGTTGCTCTCTGATGACTCGTCGCGCATTTAGGCACCCATCCAGCGTCATCAGGGATAACAGACAGTGCATCGATCCACGGCGGCATGAAGTCTCGAGCAATGTCAGGGCATGTTGAATGGGTTAGGTTGGGCACCAGAGAGACGATGGCGGATTCGTGGCAACACCGGGGGAGTGTTGCGTCATGTTTACCGTACGCCGTATTGGGAGCCAACAAGTATCGAGGCCAGTCATGCGAAGAGAGCCAAACGAAAGGATCGTCAGAAGGATATCGAACCATGATCTGGAACTATTATTAGTGGTGGCCTTACCCTGCATGTAGCGCCTGTCTGAATTACCTATTCAGCCTGTTGGCAAGACCGGACAAAGTGTATTGTACCTACCTGTCAAAGCATGCGACTACAGATGCTGTAAGTGATCGAAATGCGAACCATCTCAGTAAGATACACCTATGTGGACAATTTTAGAGTGTTTGTCTTGATGATAGGATTGCATGCTTGTTCAGTAGCAAACTAGATCTAGTATATCAGAGCTTCATCAACACGTGTTTTTGAACACTACACTGGCATATCAGTAATACCAGTACTTTGGGGGCGAGACAACCTGGAGCAAGCGCTCCCTCCAAGATGTCTTATCGATGGAACAGTGAATCAGAAACCGGGTACTTTGTGTCTACCTCCGCCATCAGGTAGCAACGGGGGCTCTGGCCGTATCGTTTCGTACACCGCACATTCGTTGGGCTGAGACATCGCTCCTCGGCGCTTGCAGCAGCTCTGCATAGGTACATAGGCTTGATAGGTACTATCGTACCTACCTACAAGCACATCGTCGCCCCGGGGCAGACAAAGCAGGTTTGCGCCACGAAGAATGGAGAAGAAGCCAGAAGAGAGGATGGACCCAGCTGGACATGCAGAGCCAAAATAGGTAGGCGGTGTAGGCACAAGCTGCCCTGCAACGAGCTTCCACGGTTTTTTACTGCCCGTCATTCTCGCCTCCCCGGCTGGCGCGGTACTTGGCAGGACCTCCAGCTCTAGGCCCAGACGCGCGAAAAAAGGCAGGGCGGCGCGCCCGACCCAGGTCGCCGTCAGGTAGCGGAGACGAGGGCGGTGATGTCGAAGGGCGGTGATGTCACGTGCGGGCAGCCCACCCCTGGCGACTGAATTTTTCGCTTGATGATGAGAGGCCTGCCTTTTGCTCCCTTGTCTCCAGTCCCAGATTCCCCGCCGCCTTCAAAAGAACTCAGCAGGTCAAAGACCATTCGGAGCAACTTTTTGACGTCCACACCATCGCGTCGTCCAAATCTTCACAAGGTATGTGCCCGGCCTATCGCTTCTGCCTTGGGCTGCCCGCTCTCTTTCTCTCCCAGAATCCCTCTTCTGTTGTTGCTTTGCGAGCTGCCTGCTGCTACAGCCTTATATACACGCCGTTGCTTGGGCTCAGGATTCGAAATCAGCCAGACTAACGCCATCTCGCAGGACCCCGCCTGTTTACATCACCTCACGCCCGTCGCTAAACACCTCGAGCCGTCAGAATGGCTGAGCAACAGCAGACTCCTACCTTCAAGCTTGTGCTTGTCGGCGATGGTGGTACCGGAAAGGTGTGTGATTTCTTGGTCGCTGGATATCAATCGCCGCTGCACGCGAACGGGATCGGCTTCGACGACGACGCTCCCGCCTGACGTGGCGAACGATGATTTTTTTATTCTATTCTCTCTCGCTTCCTCTTTGGCGATCCATGCATTGGCGTTGACCTCTCGCTGACATACACACCTTTGATGCAATAGACCACCTTCGTCAAGCGCCACTTGACTGGTGAATTCGAGAAGAAGTACATGGCCACCCTCGGTGTCGAGGTCCACCCCCTTGGCTTCACCACCGTGAGTCTTACAGCACACCGCCCGCCATCGATTATCGCGCTCGGTATACTGACATGCTGCCCAGAACTACGGTCAGATCCAGTTCGACGTGTGGGATACCGCCGGTCAGGAGAAGTTCGGTGGTCTTCGTGACGGTTACTACATCAACGGCCAGTGCGGTATCATCATGTTTGATGTGACATCTCGCATCACTTACAAGAACGTTCCCAACTGGCATCGTATGTTGCGGCCTTTACCCTTTTTTCATACGAGTGGCGTTACTAAACACATGACTTGCAGGTGATCTCGTCCGCGTGTGCGAGAACATTCCCATCGTCCTCTGCGGTAACAAGGTCGACGTCAAGGAGCGAAAGGTCAAGGCCAAGACTATTACCTTCCACCGGAAGAAGAACCTTCAGTACTACGACATCTCCGCCAAGTCCAACTACAACTTCGAGAAGCCCTTCCTGTGGCTGGCCCGCAAGCTCGTTGGCAACCCCGCTCTGGTTAGTCCTCCCGCTTCGAACCAACCCGATGTGTCTTGTAGCAATGCGCTGACTAGCTGATGTAGGAGTTTGTTGCCGCCCCCGCCTTGGCTCCTCCCACCGCCCAGGTCGACGAGGCTCTCCTGGCCCAGTACAAGAAGGAGATGGACGATGCCGCTGCTCTGCCGCTGCCCGGTGAGCTGTCTGACGACGATCTGTAAACGATTCGACCGCGGCGAAAAGTGCTTTGTTTGATGATGCTGGGATATCCCGGATTACGAGGAGAGAAGCCATCGGCAGCTGGAATGACCGTTTATGATAAAGGGAAGGGAACTCCGAGTTAACAGGAGCTCGGTTGGAGAGGACAAGGCCATATCCTTGATACCTCGTTGGAGGTAGATTATTTGGGGCGTCGCCGCAGGAGCTGTGGCAAAACCTAACCTAGCTAGACTTTTTTCATATTAAAGACACCATTTTCGTACCACCATGACTGGATTCGCTTGGCTTTTTCCCCCGGCAACGAGATGCGCATTGTGAATCGTCTTGAAGGTACCAAGAAAGGGTGTAATGAACTTGAACCTTGGATATCAGAAAGCAATGCAACGGCATCATGCACTCCCTACCACTGAAACGACTATGGACAGCTTGTCACATCAGTCGCCATGATGAAGACATGCTGGAGGCGGTCCGTATGATGGCAGAATTTTGATCTTCCTTAGGAGTCTCACCTACAGACGGTCCGAAAGCGACCAAAAACGACAAGCATATATCACCTGCGTTGTTAGAGCTACCAGATCTGCAAGATACAAGCCATCCAGCCAGTCACAGCTCTGCTGACAAAATCACCTTTCCCACCACACAGCAAACAGGTGTGGCTCGCCAACTCAAGTTTCGGCATGCATAGGAAGGGGACTTTGGTATTCTGGAAGTCCCATTTGGACCTTTCGATGACGTTTGCCTCGCCGTAGTAAAGGCACCTACAGCATGATGGAGAGGGCCATTTCTCTCACATCTGATGACTTTGATGACCCATGACTTCTCCTACCTACCTACCTAGGTACTTGATAGTCACAATGTAACGAAATGCAGGATTCTTGAGAGAAGAGATGGACAGCTTGGTAAAGCCTATTCGAGAGAACCCGACTTGCTGCCGTTATTGGATCCTGGCGGAACAGCGAGACATCTAGACTCTTGGGCGGAATGCATGTTCGGACAACGCATCCATGTGCGAGGGAGCTCCGTGCGACTCCATATTGAAACTGACGAGGCCCTGTCGAGAGTGCGGTGATCCTACATGGACACACACCCCCCCTCCCTTGTCTTAGTTGTCACTTGCTTGCCTTGCCTTGGCTGAACTCGGAGACTTTGTGCTCGATGTACGGCGTACAGTTGTCTTTGTGGCCTTGAGCTGTTCATACTGAGTTTGTTCTCCAGCACTTGTCTGAGGAACAACCCGTACTACGAGGTAGCAAGTCAAGATTACCTGTCTTATGTCACATATCAAGCATAGGTTAGTAGTAAATCCTGCCTTCTCACCGCCAAAGGTTCACGCTCTACCTCTATGTAGCAGGATACCTCTACATGTAGGCAGCACACAGGTAGTACTATGATGCATAAGGTACCCAGACATGCAATCCTAGGCTGCTGCATCGAAGAACCGGTCCCCTATGCTAACCAAAACAGAAATCGATGAAGAAAAAAAGAAAGTAAAGAACGGTTGGGCATGCGAGTACGGATAGCATTTGCTCTCTGTAGTTGCAGCTCGGGCAAGTGGATGTGTGTCCCTTCGACAAGGGTACTGCTGCTTGCCTGTCTTCTTTCGTGCCCTGTTTGCTCTCCCCCGTCAAGTGCGGTGAGAGACAAGAGTCCAATGGATTGTGTGGCTGGAGGAGGAGATGCAGGACGCATGTATGTGCATGTCGGCCAGGGGAGGGGGTCATTGACACGTACGACGTTGTGAGGTGGATGTACTTGTTATACTTGCAGGTCTTTTGTGGGAGACAAGGGATTGTTCAGGTAAGGTAGAAATAGGTAGGTTTCTGGTGTTGGACAAGGGGCGGCAAGGGAACCGAGTTGGTCATGTAAGTTGAGTTTGCAGTGCATATACTATGTTGATGTAAGGACTGGGGAGGGAGTAAAGGGTGGGTATGGGGACACTGGAGCGAGTAGGTAGTATAAGCTGCTGTTTTGCTTGAGGAAAAATAATACAGTGAAAAGGTTGAAGGAATATAGATGTGGTAAAGTGGAGGTCAGAGTATCAATGGCACTTCCTTCTTCGTAACCCGAACTTCATGACTCTATCTCTTTCTTCTCTCTGAGAGAAGACACTCAACTCAAAAGAGACACAGAGAGAGGGGCGCGTCAGGTGAGGCCCCAGCAAAAGAGACAGCAAACAAGCCCAAAAAGGGCGGAAAGGCAATCAATTAATCGTACATTCGACCCTTGGGCTGGGCGAGTCTGCCGAGGGCCAACGCATACAAGTAGCATTGGGCACGTCTGCTTCGTCCGCTGAAGAGGCTGGCACGAGTCGAGTCGGCCGGCCCACGATGGGGGGCCAATGGCACAGCAAGAGCGCACGCCGAATGTGTGCGAGTACATGTGCAGCGATGCAGGATGATTCTGCGTTAGTCCTTGTGTGGACACTTGCTTGTATGCATCTTGAAGGCGGTCAAGGAGGTCCGGGATGGTTGAAGCTCCGGGTTGATGTCCACCTATCGGCGGCAGAGAGGCAGAGAGAAGAGAGAGAGAGGAAGGGCGTTAGTTGTCAAGGCATTGGGTGTCTATCAAGACCCTTGCTCCAGTCGGGCTGATGCTGAGCATGCCGGCTCGAGCCCAGTCTGCTTGGTTGGATGGGATGCAGCAGAGAAGTCTTCAACGTATGCGTGATCATGACCGTTCACGTACGCACAACTTGGCATCTCACCTCCTCCAAGCCCATCGAACAGCTGCAAGTCTCGTCTCGTCCGGTGTCCCCTTCGGACAACGCACAACGTGGCGGCTCCCCCTCCCCAAAACAGGGGGGGCTGGGCGCTAAAGACGATCCACCGGGCGACATGGAGAGGCCTTTGGGCTGTCCGTAAAGCGGATGCAGCAGCGGCATGGGAGTGAGGGAGACACGTTGGAGTGCTTGCATGGCGGTCTCCATCTGGGCGTACTACTATGCAGAATGTGCGACTCGAGCTGTAGCTATCTCAGTGGCTGTCTGGATGATATGGGACGTATAGCATGGTGTGATGTGATAGAAGGGGACTGCTAAGAATAGGCACTCATCTGCTGTACATCGGCATGCGGTCCAGAGCAGTTGACTGGAGCTCTTGAATGGGCAATTGCTGGCTGATATGAGTGCGTCTTGTCCATCTTGTGTTGAGGCGTGATGGGTTGAGTGTCTGTGTGTTTATCTGCGGTGAGCCCGATGCGGCCAAAAGTAAACAAACGGGTTTACATAACGCCTGGTACGGAGTACTCGTACTGCTACAGTTGCTGCTATAGTAGCACGGCACTAAAATAGCGGTTCGGACTTCGATAGTGCACTCGTGTGGTGGCAGCAATAAACGCAGTGTGAGTGGGAATGGGTGGGAGCTCCAGGAGGGCGAAATGCTTATTAGCTGTGAGCGGGACCGCATGCAAGCACTCAGCAGCAAGGTATCGTGTACGCCTCTCATGCGTTTGTTGGCCAGCGATCCCCGGTCCCTTTTGAGAGCTGGATTTTTTCTTTACTTTTTCTATTTATTCTCTTGTCTGATTTTTTTTTTGTTCGTACATTTTCTGCATAATAACTTTGTTGTACGACTATGTTGCTGAAGAAAATGGACCTTTACTGCATTTTGCAACCGGGGTCATCAGGCCCAACTGGTGTCCGGATGATGATGATGATGGCACAGAAGAATAAGCTACAGGAGCAATTACGGAAAAAGAACCAGAATAGAAGTGATGAAGAATCAGATCAAGACAAGCAAAGCGGAGAAAATAACACACACACACACGCACACACAAGAGTTGGGCAGCGCAGCTTGACCCCTGCACGTGCAACGCGTCTTGATAGTAGTGCTTCCCTATTTGGGACATGCCAGCATCAGCCGCGTGCCGTGATTTGCTTTACACTGACCATCGGCTGAGCTAGAGAGCAGATCAAGAGCAATTGCTAGGTAGACGAGACTAGGTAGGTAGGTAGGTAGGTAGGTAGGAGGTAGGTAGTAAACAAGGACCAGACGCGAGCCAGCATGTCCCAAAGCATCAATTGCTGCTGAGAATGAAAGCACATCTGAATCAAAAATTTGAATCCATTTCTACCTTGCTACCTACCTATGTAGTATTCCAGTACTAGGTAATGGGCAATCTGGAGCTAGAGGGGTGGCTTCAATTAGAATCCGGCCGTGGCTTTCGGGCTCGTACCGATACCAGCAGCCGGAATGCCACGCGCAGAATCGCAACCAGCACCCCCTGGGCCGCTCCACGGCGCCACAGAGGGTCGCAGGGCTCCAGCGCGTCCAGGGGGGAACCGCCTGCAGCGTCCACGGTTGCTGTGCGTGCTGTAACCTGCTGTACTATGCGCTGTCCACGGCAGGTAGCGGTACCTAAGAACTTAGCGCGCCGGGGCCCCCTTGTACTCTACCTGATCGCCCGCCCATGCAGCCTGGCAGCTCACGTACCTACTACAACCCAATTCCCACCGCCTCCTGCAACCTGCGCTGCACCTTCCTGCACGTCCACAACACACCTGCCTTACCACGTCTTTGCTCGCTACACGTCGATTCCGGGGCTCCTGGTCCTTGATTTTTTCCCTCTTCCTCCTCTTCACCTCGTCTGCGTTCTGGGCACCAATTGCGTGGCCTGCTTTTCCTTTTATTATTGAATTAGATCCCTTCGTTTTGCTCTCCAGCCTGCTCCTCAGCTCTCGCGCTTTCTTCGAGTAAACAAACAACAGAAGTGGGATGCCTCTAGACGCCGCTTAGACACGACCCGAGAACAACAACAACAAAAAACATCATCTCACGACATCCACCACAGCAACACTCTCTGCCGTCATGTCCAACAGTCCTCTCACGCCGCCTTCAGCCATGGCAGACCTCGACCATCACCACCAGCATCTGCGGCTTGTCAGCTCGCCGTCGCCCATCCGAACCACCGAGTACATGCCCGCCATGGCCCAGAGCGCGCTCCCCGCCGTCTTATCCCCCACCACAGACAAGCACCCCAAGGGCAAGAGAAAACGAACTGCGTATGTCCTTTTGTCCCATGCTTAGCAGCTGCTCAATGGATCTGAGAAACTTGGCATTTGCTCCTTTCTCGGTTTCAAACCCAATTGGTCCCTATGCATGTCAGATGGCTAACATGTTGTTGTCCCGTCTCAATAGCACCAAGGACAAGCTGATCCTCGAAGAAGCATACTCTATCAACCCCAAGCCCGATAAACAGGCGCGTCTCGAGATTGTGAACCGCGTCTCACTCAATGAGAAGGAAGTCCAGGTATGCCGCCTTCCTGCTCTGCCTTCAATTGGGTCATGTTGACCCCTGGCTGCCATGCCGGGATCCAAAGTGGTCAACGCGTCTCCAAATTAAAATCAATTAAACATTATGCACCCTTTATGCTTGGAGGCAAGACACAAGCTGACATGGCGCTTCGTCTGGCGAATTAGATCTGGTTCCAGAACCGAAGACAGAACGACAGGCGGAAATCCCGTCCGCTGTCGCCGCAGGAGCTGGCCGCTCTCCGCTTCAGCGGCATGCATAACATCGCGTCCGACCCAATCACCTCCCGCAGCATCGTCGTCGAGCTGGATCCCGCCTCGTTCCCCGCCTCCGACCCTTCTGTTGTCAGCCATGTTCCCACGTCGCCCTCTCACATGCCCAACAGCCCCCATCATGCACACCCTCACCACATTGCCGTAGAGGCCATTCATGCCACGCCTGCACCCCGGTACGGCTCCCAGCCCTACGCCGCTGGCAGCCTGCCGCATGCGACACCGCAGCGACAGATGTTCCCGTCGCAGGAGGATGGTCACCACCCTCACTCCGTGTCGGGCTCTGTCGGCTACCTGGCAAACCGATGGAATTTGGGCCATTGCTACGCCACGCCTCTGTCACGCGATAACTCTGTCAAGTAAGGCGACCCCCAGGTGTAATGAAGAGTCTAAGCCTCCATCAGTTTGCTGACCTGTTTCCATCTCAGATACGACCCCTTCATCCCTTCCTCTTGCTCGTCTAACACATCTGGGCAATACCGATCGCATGTGCGCCTTGCCCTCTCTCTTGAAGGCAAGGCTGAGCTGGTGCCCAACAACGAGTCTTCGCCAGTTCGGGAAACCCCATCAAGGCCTTCGTCTACTTTGCCGTCCCTCTCCCAGTATCGGCAACGGAGCCTTCACCGTAGCCATAGTGCTCTTCCTGCCGTTACTCTGCCTCCCATCTCCACCTTGACCAATTCACTTCCCCCACGCCTGGTGCAAGGCCGGTCCCGTGATGTTCACGCTTGGGAGCTGTGTGCCGATTCTGAAACTCGAGATGAGCTGACGGCGCAAGCCGAGCATGAGTCCAGTGGCTCTGCCATTGCTGCCATCAGCTTGCTTCGTTCCACCAGCGGCATCCTGCAACCTAGCAGTGTCAAGCGGAATGCGCCGCTGTCGAAGCTGTCGCGCCACCGCCAGTCCAAGAAGCCCAGGCTCGGCCGTACGGCCTCCAGCGTTGCCCGCTTGGAAACTTGCTGGGCCAACGACGAGAGGACGCGCGAGTCTTCTCACGCCAAGATGAACGTCTCCATGCTCGTCTCTCCCTCCGACTCGGACAAGGAGAACTGGAGCCCCAGAAACGGGGCAGCCTCTGCTGACCGACGTCGGCAGATGCCTCCCAGCAGCCCCAGCCGGTCGCAGGGTGCGCGGCGTATTGGTCGAGCGCTGCAGGGTCGAAAGAGCCCAGCGCTCCTGATGCGTGCCCACACTATGCCATCGGGGTCGAGTTCGTCCATGGAAACGGGAGTCTCGGATCTTGGGGATGTGGAGGCCAAGGCCGAATCTCCGCGCGACGATGAAGTAAGCCGCTTCATGTGCGGTGATGTCAGCCCAAGCAAGAAGGGCGACATGGACTGCGTTGCAGGCCTGCTGTCTCTGAGCCAGGGCGCTTGGAGATGATGCAAGGGGCAAAAGACATGATAGAACAAGTCAGGGAGACGAAGAAACACAAAGAAGAAGAAGGAGAGACAAAAGCAACACTGCACACGCTCATTTTGAACACTTCCCTTTGTCTCTTACGAAGACACGAATCTTGTTAATTCTTATTACGGGGAAGCGGGGACTATTCTTCCCTGTCCTTCCCCCCCTTTACGGCTTTTCGCTCTTCTCTTTTGTTTATAGAGGGTGGCATTTTGTATTAAACAGTTCAGTTGCTTATCTTGTCTTCTTCTTTGGGAAAGGATATGGTTGGTAGCCCATGTCTACTGCGGATAGAGGGCAGGTCTTGGATCTTTTGTTCTGATTTTCTCTCTTCTTCAAGTTCTATCTCGGCTTGTTTGGTATGGCTGGAGCTGGGACTGGAAAACGCTGGGCATTATGGTAGGCGCAAGGGTCGGCAAGATGATTACTGGTGGGCATAGAAAAAGAAATTGTTCCCATCTGTAGTGGCAATATATGATGCTCATCTTGGATTTTACACCTCGCATCATATAGGAGATGGGGACAGCTAATTGCTATCAATGGTATGCTTGACTTGTATTTCAAGCTTCCTCTAGCTGTCATTGCTAAGATCATGTCTAGGTATATATGGTCTGTCTAGTCTAAGGTTCAGACTGAATCTCAAGAGGACAATGGAGCAAAAAGAGAAAAACAAAAACCCAACCAGAGGGACGTCGTTATCCAGTGGAGTCCCAAGAGTATTACCAACGCCAGAGTACACCAAGAAGAAGGGGAATAAAGACTCCCGACATATTCCGTAATCTATATGTGCAGTGAAGGTGTATAAGAAGGACCAATGCCGTATACGTGTAGTGTGAGATAAAAAGAGTTGGCATGACACGCTCGTGAGGTAATTCGAACACCAAGACAAAACAATAAAAGGCGACTCGAAGACAAGATCAGGTGATTGACAACATCACATGCCCAGCATGCTCATCTGTCTCCTGACGGGGCTGGCGGCGGTGCTGCCCTCTTCGCTCGCATAATACGCGCTGTCGGTGTCAATGTCCCAGCTGTCGTCCTCTTCCTCTTCGCCAGTGGGCGAGATTCCGGAAGCGTCAAAAGGCTTCTGAGCAGCCGCGCGGACGTTCCACCGTAGAGTGCGACTGACGCTATCGAACCACTCTGTGTCGGTACGGGTGACGGTAGGGAAGGGATACTGCGAGGCAGTGATGGTAACGTGATCGCCCTGCTTGAGCTCCACACGTCCCTTGCCGTCGAACGCGCAGTAGGCGGTGGCGCGGGAGTTGCGTGGGACGGCCACACGAAGCGCCATGGTGTCGGAGAGAACCATGGGTCGGAACGAGAGAGTGTGAGGGCAGATGGGAGTCAGGAGAATGGCGGGGATATCCGGGTGGACGAGAGAGCCACCCGCTGAGAGTGAATAGGCTGTTGAGCCCGTAGGCGTAGAGAAGATGCACCCGTCGGCTTGCACAACCGTCAGGAGCTCGTCATCCCCATACAGCTCTAGGTTGGAGACATATGGCGAAGGGCCGCGGTCAATGACCAGCTCGTTGAGCACTTCGAACTGCTCTCCCTCGTCCGAATGGCCGTTGGGGCCCGCTCGCCATACCGTGCAGGTAAATCGCATGCGGAGGTTGATCTTCATACCGTCATCGCCCATCACGCGATTCAGATGCTGCTTGTAGTGCTCGAATTCGAAGGTCGTCATGAAGCCAAGGCTTCCCAAGCTGAAAGAGAGGACTGGGGGCACAATGCGCTGGAAGAGCCAAGAGGTGAAGAGGACAGTGCCGTCGCCTCCAAGGGTGAGCACAAGGTCAAACTTCTCGGGCTGGCTCCAGCACAGATCCGGGGTCCAGTATTTGAGCATGGTCTCGAATCGCTCATCCTGGGCAATGATTCCTGCGGCATTGAAGCGTTTTGAGTTGCGCAGCTTGGCATCTACGTAGACATTGACGCCGACTTCGGATCCATACCGCGGCGTCTGCAGAAGCCACGTTGCCAGCTCTCGGGTGAGGTAGACCAGCTGGTTGTCCCGGGCTTTGGTAACAATCATGACATTGCGAACTGCCCGCTTGACGGGGCGCCTCTGAAGCTGTTTAGAAAGCTCGCGAACACTTGTCGCGGTCTGGACCAAGCGCGAGTGCGACATGTGTTCGTCGTTCTTAATTTCGTCGAGGACTTTATCGAAATCGACGGCGTCGTCAAATCGTTGATGGTAGAAACATGGAGACAGTAGGTTGCTAATTGCGGTGTTTGGCGCAGATCTCTTCTTCGCTAAGTCTTGTAGCGCATCGACGAGCTGCTGAGGACTCGCGGCGGCGGAGGAGGCGCCGCCGTTACTAGTTTGAGGGAATAGCATATTGTTGAGCGAAAGAGCCTCGGGCTTCTTGGGACGCGAAACGGACGTGGTAGAAGCGAGCGCCTTAAGGAGCGTCTGGCGAGGGAGGAGTTCGTGGGAAGCAGCGCCCTGGTAGAGATCGCGTGGCTGCTGCTGCGTTTGCTGCTGGCTAGATTCCGTTTCAGTTGTTGTGAGGCTTGGCAAGATTGCGGTCCTGGGCGAGTCGACATTCGAGGGTTCTGCGGGGGAGATGATGACTGGCGCAATGGAAGAGCCCGTGGCACCAGAGCCACCTAGGGATGGAATAGCAGTGTATGGGATGTTGGAGTCGGCTTCATAGCGAGAGGCTTTGGAGACGTTGACGGAGAGATTATGAATGCCGGAGGATGATTTGGGACGGCGGTCGAGTGTGTCGGATTTAGCCAACAAAAGCGAAACAGGGCAGTCGTGCGACTCAAGTCCGCTGCTTCTTTCGGACGTAGGGTGGAGGTCGGTCCGAGGGGAAACCGCGCCGGCCATGATTACTGGAGCGAGCGGTGGCAGCGATTGCGAATGAGATTATTAACCCCGGGCGGGCCTCGCAGAGGGGGTTAGTGGAAGCAATAGCGGGCTTCCTTTACGTTGGAGGCGCCGGGATCAGGAGCGCGCAGCGTCTGGGGCAGGATTGCCGCTCTTGGTGCTTTGGGTACGACGCGGTCGAAGGATCTGGAACAGTGTCAGCTCCAAGTACCAGATTGCGACGTGCTGCGACGTGCGGCTATTGGTGTAGCATACCAGGAATCTGCGCACAGTCCGTCGCACGGTGACACCGCCGACGTCACAACTAGCTTCTTGGTGTTGCAGGGCGCAACAAAAAGGGAGATTGCAGATGCGGCGTTGCGATGATGCAGCACGACACGCCAAGCAGCCAGCGGAAGTGTCGGAGCGAACTTTGGGGTCCAATTGTGCAACCTTGCAGTTTCCCCTTGTGTGTGTGCTCGTCTGTGTGCTTTGAAATCGATGAAACTAGAATTGCCGGTATCAGTATATCAGTTGCCAACCAGGATTCTTCCGTGTTGATCGGATTGTTCCATGCTTGCGTCTGTACTGCGGGCGCCAATGAAGGAGGGGAGAGTCGTCTTACATTGAATAAGGACTGAAGATCTCGGGCGGAAAGGTACCGAGATGGCGAGGCTGCAACAGACCAGCTGTAGCGCAAAGCGATGGGATTGGCAGCAGAGAAGCGAAAGTTGAAGTGATGATGAATGAGTGAGGCTGGAGATAAAGCCTTGTGGGAGTTGAGGAGAGTTGAAGAGAGAAGAGGCGCAAAGTATCTTTGCCGCTAGAGAAGGCAGGAGGGATAGAGGCGACGCCTGGTCTTGCCGAACCTGAACTTGTGGAAGGTACAGTAGCCAGGTGCGTTGAAAAGAGGGAAGGAGATGTCGTTGAGTAAAACGGAAAGAACAAGGCAATGATGATTGTTGGATATGAGGTAAGGCAAAAGAAGAAATGATGCGATATGATGAGGAAAACGACACGCTGCGCAGGTACGTTATGAAAAACAATTACTGACTTGCAGGAACTTCCAGAGCTCTGCTTTCGGTATTATCACTGCAACACCAAGCAGTGCGTCGAACAAGCCTCCAAAAAGGGAATGGAAGAACAAAAGTACAACAAGAAAACCGCTTCAGCTACATGCAACCATCAGTCATTTATAGAAAACGGCACCCGCAAGAGCAAGACAGGGACTATAAGGAATCACATCAACAACAACTTCTCTGACCGCTAGAGCGAATCCCATCACTTTCCATCACCCAGTCAGTCGCCAGGGCCTTGTCTCTTTGGAACCCGTCTCCTCCGCAAACTGGGACCCTTGGCTGAAGAATTGATGCAGCCATCGTCGCAGAGGCCGCTCAGCATCGACAGCGAACCCCCCCGGAAACATTTGGCGTTGGCGATGAGCGAAACAATACGGGCCCTCGATGCGAACCTCCCCCCAGTTCCTTTCGGTTCCCGTCGTCTGTGATTTTGTGAACCCCCTTCAGGGGATGGTCCCTCTGCGGCGCGATCCGCCAAAACGAAACTAGCATTTGCTCCTTGTCGTTTGGGGGACGTGGGCATGGATTACAGGGCTTCATCTGAGACGCGAGTTTGCATTGCCTGCAGCGAGAGGTGTTATGCTGCTCGCTAAAGAACTTGGAGTAATAGTCAACGGCCATGGATGAATCCGAATCTGATACGGCCCCGTACGGTTACAGGTGCTCCTCCACAGTCAAGGTGCTGCGTATGTAGGTACGTTTAGCTGTTGATCCCATGGGATTCACTCTCAGGACGGATGAACCAAACCAACCCATCGAAACCAAACCAACCGAAATGCTACGCTGCGGAAGATTATTGTGATGCCTTTTGAAGTGAGAATAATATTCATCAAGGGGGGCAATATTGGAGACAAAGGTCATAGTATACTTCACTTCTGCTGAGCGTCTCCGTCCTGCCAGATTATACTCGCCGATTGATAGTGCGGCATCTTGGCAGTCTCACCAACCCTGTCCATCCACCTCAACGTGAATCCCGCCTTGGTGTTCCGAATCCAGGTACTACAGCTTCGAAGGCGCATGAAAGCTCCTCGTATTCTATTCTCTTACTGTGTCTTTCTTTTCTCCCACCTCTTTCTTCATCATCTTGTCCCCTATTTCCCTTCTGCACCGGTCGCTACGGGCCCTGCCGCTGGTGGCCAAAACGGCGTTTCACCATCTACACCAGGCCTCAGGGGCTGTTACAGATAGCACTCAGCTCCGGAGCACCTAATTTGGATGCCGAACAGTACTAACACGAGAGCCTGGCAAATTGGAAGGAAAGAAATATCCGCCCATGAATCTATCAGATTGATCGCTTCACTACCCAAATCCTCATGAGGTATTAACCCCGTAGAGTCTGCTGGTCTTGTATGCCACCTCCCCCTCTTGATATCGAGCGATGAAAGGAATTCAGCCTGTTCCGCACACCCTCTTCCTTTGACAAGCAGCGCGCCATGCCCAGGAATTGATAACGCAGCTCATCTAGCGAACTGCTTCTCGACCTCAGCTGACCTCTCTGGTAGGCATACCGTCGCGTAGCGATACACACTACTCGCGTGAAATGTTGCCCTCCATGTCGCTTCATCACAAATCCAATAGCGTCTTCATCCCCATGTTTTCCGCTTCTGTTCCCTCCAATGCCAGTCTTTATCGTGGACAGGAAATGATAGCGCCTCACTACTAAAAGGCGGATTCACACGAATCACCGGCAAATCGCCCGGTCTTTCAACTGGGGTGCTCCGCACCATCGCGCAAAGATGCCATAGCAAACCCGTACAGTCGTCTCTGCTGGCGCCTGCGATGTGTCTGATTGCAAGGAGAGGGGCCAATGGCAGGAGGGGAAAAAAGAAACAACGTCGTTCTTGGCGGCGGCAGATGCTTTCACCTCCAGTGGAGGCTCTCGGCTGCCTTAGCTTCCAGGACGGAGCGCATGAAATGTAGCACATTCTCGGACTCTGCCCCGTAGCCTCCCATTTCCGCGTCGTTTCCAGTCTCCTGGCCGCGACAGCACACGTTCTCGGCCGTCTGGAGAACCCTGTCCCACTCCTCTGCTGTGAAGGAGCCCTCGCTCTCGGCCAGGAGAAGGTCCCGGCCAGCCGTGAAGCCCAGCACGTGAACAGAGGTCGCTTGGTCGATTTCCGTCGGTGACGGGTCTACCTTGATTGTGCTACCCGCTGTGGCATTCGTAACAGCCAGGCAGGTTGCCGAGGCCACTGTGTTTAAAGGGATGGCGGCAGTAAGAAGACCGAGCATCGCGGCGTGCAGAAGCGATGGGATGATTCCGAGGTTCTGTGAGATGAGTTGTGAGTTGAGACGAGCCTAAGCAGCCGCAGTTCATGAGCGATGAGAAGTCACCTACCAGCCGGGGCTGCATCACCTTGCTGTTCACATAGGCGTTTTCGGGCGCTTCCATGACCTGGAGCGTGACCTGCACCACGCATCTGGGAAAATTCCTGATGGCGATGAGATGTCGCAGAGCAGGCTGCAGAATGGCCTCCAGCTGCCGCTCAGCAGTTCCTAGTAAGAACCAACAACTCGTCAGAACCACAATCTTGCAACAAAGCCCCTCCCCCTCCCCCAACTCTTGAGCCGTCTCCAGTCCTCGTGATGACTTCTCAGATCGTCTACTCACCTCCAACGCCCGCCGCCGGCCTCACATTCACATCCACCAGCGCTTCAAAGGGATTCTCATCCCGGCGCTGAGCCTCTACTGGTCCATTGACGGCGGCTGTGATTGTGTAGCCGCCAAAGGAGAAGTTTGCGGAGCCGTCGGCCTTGGGCAGATGTGACAGCTCAGCCGCAGGAGGAGCCATTGTCTTGAGATAAGAACGAGAAAAAAAATAAAGGTGAAGAAGTGACGAGGCTGCAAGGCTGGTTGGTCTTGTTTTGTCTTTGATAATCAGATGCTAATGCGCAAGAGTTGAAATTTTGCCCTCCAGGTGATGAAGAGGCGCCACGGTGGTGCTAGTCTCGATCGGCAGAGGTAGACCGTGTCGCGCGGGTACTTGCGGCGTCGCTGTGATGGCACGGTGATCAGAGGTTCACTGGCAACGGCGGGTACTTGGCGGGGATCGGCCTTCAACTGCCTGGCAGATGCGTGGGGCAGCCTCTGGAAGCTGCTGGCCATTCAGGTACCGCTTGGTTTGTCATAGCAGCAGCACACTGAGCTCACACCACCTCACTGGACTTGACTTGCTTGACTTCATCTCATCATACCTTACCTTTACCTTGCGTTATTCGCCATCACTCATCACGCTTAACAACGTCCCCGTCTTTCCAACGAATCTCCGTCGTCAAATAAGCGCCATGGCCTCCGAATCACCAGCCCAGTCATCGTCATCACAGGCCGCCGGCATCCCCAACCTCAAGGACAGAATCCCCAAGCTCGAGCCTCGCAAGAAGAGACCGGCCCCTTCCAACCCAACGCCAGTTCCCCAGACTCCCGCCCTGCCGTCGCCGCCAGACCTGGCGGACTGGACCTTCAAGGTCCCCAGCAGACGCATCCTGTCAAAGGCGGATCACGACCTCTTTCTGGCCTCGCCAACGTACAATCTCATCCTCGCATGGGTGTTTGGCTTATCCGAGTCCGTGATTGACACGCCCAGATCGGCCATCAAGGACGACTCCCTGAGCGAACCCGTCAAGGAAATCTTGGCCATTCTCGAAGAAGCAGAAACATGCGTATCCCAATCCCCACCGACCGAGCAAGGCGGCTCCCGCTTCGGCAACAAGGCCTTCAGGGGCTTCCTAGATCTCGTCAAGGAAAAGATCCCAGCATGGCATGAACGCCTCGGCCTCCACAACCCCGACGCCATCGCCGAAGCCTCCACCTACCTCGCCCAGTCCTTCGGCAACCGGAACCGCATCGACTACGGCTCCGGCCACGAGCTCAACTTTATGATGTGGCTCCTCTGCCTCTACCAGCTCGGCATCCTCCAGCGCGCCGACTTCCAGGCCCTCGTCCTGCGCGTCTTCGCCCGCTACCTCACCCTCATGCGCGTCGTCCAGATGGCCTACTACCTCGAGCCCGCCGGCTCCCACGGCGTCTGGGGCCTCGACGACTACCAGTTCCTGCCCTTCCTCTTCGGCGCCTCCCAGCTCCTGCACCACCCCTTCATCACCCCTCGCGCCATCCACCAGGACCTCACCGTCGAGGAGTTTGGCGACGACTTCCTCTACCTCGGCCAGGTCAAGTTCGTCAACAGCACAAAGACGGTCAAGGGCCTGCGCTGGCACAGCCCCATGCTCGACGACATCTCCTCCTCCAAGTCGTGGTCCAAGATTGACGGCGGCATGCGCCGCATGTTCGTCGCAGAGGTCCTGGGGAAGCTGCCCGTCATGCAGCACTTTCTCTTCGGCTCCCTCATCCCCGCTGCCGAGGGCATGAGCGAGGAGGATCCGTCCGCTGCCGGCGAGGACAGTGGGGAGGATCACTCCAATCACAGCCATACGGGCAACGCTCACGATGGTACCGGCTGGGGCGACTGCTGCGGTATCAAGGTGCCCAGTAGTCTTGCTGCTGCTCAAGAGATGAGGAAGGGCCATACAGAATCGTTGCGTAGAATCCCTTTTGACTAAGGATGACCAAGAGACGAAAATGTGTGTGTGCGGGAAAGACCAAAAAGAGTCATAGGATGTTATAAGACAGAAATGAGAGAAATGCTTATTGTGATGTTTCTAATGATTAGCAATATTGAAGGTGCTGCTTTGACGACCTTTGTATATGACTTGCACATCAAGGACCCCTTGAGTTGTAGTCGACACAAGAGCGCTTCCTGTTAACCTAGGTAGGTATACCATAGCTTTTTCATTTGAGAATACATATCGAACTACCTTTCGATCAAGAAGCCGTCGCCCTTGTGGGCCAAAGCGTGCCCTATATGAGAAATACATGCCTTTCAAGTCCTCTTGTTGCCGCAGCGTCTGCCGAGACGACCAAATGCTCACAAAGAAATCACATCCCTTTCCATATTTTTCCTCTCATGACACGCATGCAGGAATAAACGCCACCGACCATGCCTGGACGAATTTCCACCCCTGATTATAGTAGGAAGAGCTGAAGCTCTCCAGGATGAAGTTCCAACGCCAAACGCAGCAAGCAGATCGCTCTCGTGTGATGAGTGATCACAAAAACAACCACTCCTGTTGGTATCTTCAAAACGACAAGACAACCAGGGGAAATGTGACCGACAAAGGAGACTCGTTCGTAACACATCATGTATGGTGACAAAAGAAAAGAAAAGAAGAAAGCAAGAACAAGTGGAAAACAAACAGGCATAAACGTCCACCAAAATTGCGTAAAGTTTCCCAGACGAATCAGTGCCATTGGTCCAGTTTAAGCAGATAGCCACGCAGTCTGCTGCATGGGCATGGGGCCAGTGTCGTCGCATACTTGATGATGAGAAGCTGTCCGGCATTGGCGGTTGCGGGCGTGTATATCGATCAACATCTCCACCAAGGTCTCGGCATCCTCGTGAAGTGTGTTGAGCTCACTTCCGGTAAAGCTGTGTCCAAGTTTGCACGGCCCAATCCTGGGTTTTCTATACGCGGCAAACACGATACCCCGATCGATCATGTCCGATAACCGGACTCCTGAAACCGGACTCTCTTTGCCGCTCGAGCTACCTGGAGAATAATTTCCTGGGTAGAAGGAGCACGCATAGCCACGAGCAAGCTCGTGCGGTTCAGCCTCTTGGTTACGGTACTCAACCCAGCCCTTCGATCGTAAGATGGTGGTGTGAACAACGGAAGATATCTGAAGTGGTGAAGGGACTTGATGAAGGCCATGCGCCGCCAACAGTCGACCAACCAGAGGCCTTTCGCAGGAGTTCGTGGACCCAAGGTCGAACATTTGGCCACATGGCCCGCCTGGCCAAAGATTCACAACGTAGATGAGGTCAAAGTCATGCCTCTTTGCAATCCTGGCTGCCTCAAAGGCAGCGGCGGTGGCAGGGCGGCTTGCGGGCGGGGGCGTCAGCGTCAACAGAGACGAGGGGGCGGCCGGCGTGGGTGAAGGGGCAGAAGTATCCATGGAGGTTGGAGAGGACTGCCGCGATTCGTCGTCAAACTCAGCTGAGGGATCCTCAGGCGTCAACTCAGCAATATCGTCGTCGCTGAGATTCAAGAACTCGTTGAAATCAGGCTCTCGCAAAGTAGAGCTGTTGGAGGAAGCCTCAGAGGGAGACGAGTCGTTGTACGAGTCGTTGAACGAGGCGTGGTCGAAAGACTGAAGTAACTGATCTTCAATCTCATCAAAGAGAGTCTTGTCGATGGCAATGTCGAATATCTTGGAATCGGCAAGGAGATTGCGCACGGGTACAATCTCAGGAGAGTCCTCTGGAGTTGGCGGAGCGTTGTACGTAAGGGTTGGGCTTTTGAGACTCTCAAGAGAGCGACGGCAGGACCCGTTATCTACCGACCGAGGCGATGGAGGAGTATGTAGACGAGGCAAGTCCGGCAGGCGAGGGGGGGTTTGAGAACGAGGACTCGGCATGTCAAACTGCTCCGTGCCTGCAGGACTGAAAGCCACCGATCCTGTGACGGCCTTCTCCTCGGGGCTAGGTGGGCTGAAGCGATACTCGCGGAGCTTGGCGACTAATGAGTCTGGTTGTGAATGGGGATCGGAAAGAGATGGAGACCGAATAGGCGATCGACCAAAGCCAGGACTGGACGCGTTCGAGCTCAGTGAGCCCAGGCGAGAGGGGATGGCATCTGGAACAGAGGGAGATCGACCTGTGGCTAGTCGCGAGCGCACCTCCTCCCGAGCTGTCATACGAGTTGCTGTCGGGCGGATGAAAGAAGGAGAGGGAAATTGCGGCTCTGTTGGAGGACTGGTAGACGTGACAACCCTGAGGGACGCCAGGGAAGCTTTGCGTTTGGAGCTGAAGAGCCTCTCGAGGCGGTCGAATCCGGTCGCCATCGTTGTCAGAAAAGAAGAAGAATGGAGAAGGCGAGGGAGACAATTCAGATGGAAGTCCGCGTCGGACGCGGCTTGGAAAGATGGTGCTGTGTGTCCTTGCAGCTCCTGCTTTGATCGTGAAGGGTGAGGGCTGATGTCGAGAGAAGGTTTGGGGAAGAAGCGAGGAGCCGGGGTTTTTCGAACGCGAGCGTGGAATTAATGGAGTGGCAGGCAGTTGCCCATACAAAGTGAAATGTGAGGCAGAAGTGAATCAAAAGTCAAGTCAAGACAATGATTGCCGGTCCAATCGGCCACACCTCGCCAAAGGGCGGCTGCAAATTGATGAATCAAAGACAGACCAGGCGGCGCCCTTCCCTTAGCTGCGGGCTGTTGCAGAATCGACTGGCCCTCGGCAGGTTATACGTGATACCCGATCTCTTCGAGTCGACGCAAGAGCGAGCGTAGTGCAAGATATGCGCGCCGTGGATATGTGTCAAAGTGATGCAGCTGGCGATGCTGTGCGTATGCGCCTTGTACCGCCTTCAGGGGTGACGACAGGCGGGGCCAAGACTGGAGGCCGCAACTGTGGTGATTGCGAGCCGTCTTTGGGTTCGAGATATTCCGGGTATTCACTGCGCACTTCTGTCGCAGATCGAGTGTGGCTCAAGGAGTCGAGGTTGAGGTTGATCGCGTTTGACGCGATACGGAAAGTTGAGGTAGGTACTTCTGGGGGTACCTCGCGTATAAGTGAATGGAAGGAGCCAACAAGCAACTTCCTAGGAGTTTCACCGCAAGGACAGAAGGAGCGACGGCACCAGAAATGACGAGGAAGTCGCAATGGAGTAGCTTCAGACCAACAAGGAGCCAAGTCGAAGATAATACAAGCTGCACGACTTTGTATCAAACACACAACGAGACAAGAGCAACTCGAGTTGCCACGGCCCTCGCCAGAAGGGATCGAGGGAGACTTTTATCGCGTCTCCCAGGGGCCGGCCAGAGTGAGACCGAGCGCAGTTCCTCCCTCTAAGACATCCCGGACCCTGGGTCACAGCAGCCAAAAAAGCAAAGCCAGCAGCAGCAAAAAGCAAGCAAATCGGATAGCCTCCTCGACCGTCTCCACGGCCTGCGCGCTGGTGCAGCAAGCCACACCACTCGCGCCCGTGATTCATGACAAGATGAAGCTGAGAAGCCGCAGCCAAGAGCCACTTCGGACGCAGGGCAGAAACAATATGTGCAGATTAGCGCCGCGGGTCACGGACGTCGACCGGGATGTCTCTCCACGGCGCGGGATGCTTGAGGGTCCTGGTCCTCGAGATGGCCGAGATGGTGGAGGATGTGCCCTGGCATGGCAACTTTGAGGGGAGGCGGCATTGCCTTCACCCTTCACCCCCAAACCCCTCCAGCCCTTTGAATCCGTTGGTGCGGAGCAGGTGAGACATGTGGAAGCGTCCAGGCTGAGACTTTTGTGACCAAAGCGCCACTGAATTTTAACAGGACCTCAGACCCGAGGTATGCATCACACAGCCGTCTTGTCCAAGACAGTACGACAGGAGGAGAGAGACAAGGCCTGCGGGCTATGGAGTATCAGTACCTGAACCCCCTCGAATATTCGATTCTGCGCGCCATATAACGGAGTACGTACAAAGCAACAGGGCGAAAGCCGTCTTTGACGGGTGATCTGCGCTCTAGGACTCATGCCTCTCCTATGACCGATCGTCTCCCGTCCCGATTCCCAGCATCTTGGCTCGGCTAATGTGACGACACCTGCGTCTTACTGCAAACAGCCTCTATCCGCTTCACACCGACATAAAGGCCTGCCTCTAACAGACCGCTATGCTCTGGTACGAGTACTTCGTACAAGCGCCCCCAGGAACACAGAAAGAGACACTTTGGCGGGCTCTGCTCAGATCTATCATCCTTCTCCACTCATCCAGATCAGGTTGGTGGTTTGTTTCGATTAACAAGGACGGAATCGAGGGGCACTGGGACGAATGACTGGGAGCTTCAGTCCACGGCCCCACTACCCTTATGCAGGCTTCTTTCTAACATGCCAGTCCGGCGATCTACTAATTCAGATCATAGCTCACATCTCACATCCGCCCTCGAGCATTCGCCCCTTCCACTGTGTACCAGCAGTACTTGGCAACCACTCGGCGACTGGACTGACGAAATATGATACGAGTGCTCTCTCAGGGCTTGACGTGCATGGTGCCATGCAGTACCCCGTAGAACACCACCACGGCTATCATTCGGGGGCAGATCTGACAGGACCACACCTCTCCAAGGACACAATTGCGAGCGTTGGCCTGACGGGAAGCTTCGTGCCGCCAGAGCATACCATCTTGTTTGGTCCCAGGTACTGAAATGATGCGACCAACCGCTGTGGACAAAGACCGCAGCCGTTGCGCAGAATCTAGGCGCGGGGGGCAGCGCTCCATCGCTAACCACTTCTTCACAGGGGTTGGGGCCATACGCATACGTGGTACGCATTTCCTGCCTTTGCCCCGTCTTTGTTTTGCCTCCTCCCTTGGGATGGGGTTGCACAGTCGCTCTTCAAATCGTCTCCACACGCAAGATGCCCGTTGCATGGTTGGCAAACTGACTCGCTTTCTGTGTTCACAGACGGTCCGGGATATGGCCCAGGTTCATGAGCGGCTAAATCGTACTCTCGCCCTGCTTATGACCAGATACCGAGGCACCAAGCGAGCCAAACGGATGCCATCTGCCATCACTACCGTGAAGCTCTCTATGCAAAAGCTCTTTCAGAGGCGTTTTCGATATGTGATACGACTCCTTACATGCGCATACACTAGAACATGAGGGGTTATTGGAAAAAGCAAGTAGGTAAAAGGGAGGTAGGAGGGAGAAGGAGAAGAGAAAAAAAAAAACCTACAACTATACCCACTCCAGGAAAAAGCAAATGCAGCAGCACTATTACCAATGACGCGCGAGCTGTCATTTTGCCTCTGGGCTGTTGTATGAGTGCTACTCGACTAGGACTCAACGAGCTGGGTAGCTCACCGAACTGCACGTCGCCTGCATATTGGAGCGGTCATATCAGGTACTGACAGGCATGTGCGGAGTACGAAGCAACCACTTGTCCCACCAATAAAGCCACAGCTGCGCGAGTCCCTCGTCGTGCGAGGCATCGCCACTGCGTTATTGGTTTTGGCTTCTCGATGTAACTATCATCCCGGTAATCGACGGCCGAAATACGCAATGGCCCGCATCAGAGCGCCTCCAAGATGCCAATGTGGCTTACAGCCGTCTTGACCGGTCGATGCTTGGTGTAGCGACCATGGTAACACGAACAGGTGCTTGTAATACAGCTCACCGTTCTCCATTCGGCCAATCGCCATCGTGTGAGCATGGAGGACGACTTACATTTTCAGTACAAAGCAGTAAGCACCTCTCGAAAAGATATCGATTCTCCCTTTGAGTGCGAGATGGGCAAAGAGTGCTTGCTCCCTCTTCTCCAGATCTGTCTCACTACCTACCACCAGCACTGCCCTGCCCCTTTCGGCTGCCCCTTGTTGATGCATACATTACAGCACGCTGAATTGGCATCTTTGGCGTTTGCAAAGAGATTCATTTCGTTTGTTGGAATAAGGTCACGGGGGTTGCCTCGGGATGGCTATGCACTCTATTCAGCTCTTCTCTAGGATGGGATGATTGTGGACTTCTGATGCAGCAAGCCCCGGGAGATGCAAAGACTGCAGCAATCTCTCTGGTAGCTGGCCAGGGTCTTATCCAAAGAAATCTCGAGTAAGTCGATAGCTGAACCGAGCATCCAATCAACTCTTGATGTGCCATGATTCACGAGGACAGATTTGATGACCCCCTTGCATGCGGCTGCGGCTCGTAGTAGTCCAAGATCCCGTGCATATGACCGCCCAATCGCGGACCTGCGTCACCAAGATTGCAAGGCCATTGAACATTGTCGGCTTCGCCATCAGCCATGAGCTTTATCATCAAGCCGTGTTTGCAAGTCTTGGAGGCAGCCAGCAAGCACAACATGGTAGGTTTAGGTAGGAATTATACTGTATCTGAGTGCGAGTAGTAGTCTTACTGCAACTAGTTGTCACCAAATGTGCCTGTCTCTGCTATTGCTAGCTTTATCACTTTTGTTGCTATTACTGTTGTTTCTGCTACCATTTGTTTATAGAATGCAATTCCTCCCAGTCCGTGCTTCTGACCTACTTAGTGATATAGGGAGCTCAACTTCAAGTCCGACTGTGTCAGACAAAGAGAAAGTCCTCCGTTTCGCCTCTTGGAAGCTCAGTCAGACTGTCGCGGTCATCCAACTCGCCTATTCAGGTGCGCAGAATATATCATGGGCCTCTTCACATGGCTTGTCAAAGCAGCTGCAAGAGAAGCAAGTTGCCTAGCAACTCAAGCACTTGACACTCCGCTGCTCCAAGCGTCTTTATAAGTGCCATACAGTGTTGTTTACAAGCTGCTGAATCCGACCACCTACATGCCCCGTCAGTCTATCTATCCACCCCCAATGGCAAGGCAACCAGTCAATGACAACTTCTGATACGTTCGTTCTCATCTATTTTGGGAATGCAATCCATCAGACCTTGACTATCTACTGCTTTCTTTCAAGGCCATACCGCATTTTTGATGCTTGCTGCGTCCTGCAGCCAACAAGATGGTTTTTGCTCAGGCATAAGCGCAGCATAAGATCCTAGCTCGAGGGGGGCACTGGGGGTTCCGGTGCGCCAGGCCCAGGCGGATGGAGGCTGGGTAGTCAGCTGCAAAGCAAGCTGAGCAAAGCCATGATGAGCAGCCCTTCGTTTCCGGAATGCTCAAGCGAGGTTTGTTTCCCTTTGATGTCCGATGCAAGATCGCCGGCTTGCATGAATGGCGCTACGCGGGTGTATGTATGCGCTGGCAGCTTGATGCTTGCAGCCGTTTGCAAACATCATCTGACTGACGATCTGCAATAGCCCTGAGTTTGACCTGTAAGAAGTCGTGGACGAGTAAAACTTGACGGTGATGAGAGCGGAATTGCCTGAAAGTTACGTCTGATCTTATCTACAAGTCTGTGCTCATCGATTTCCTGGCATCCTTGAGTCCTCGGCCCGGTCTACACTCTGGCATTCCCCTACTCCTGGCCATGCGTCACTGAGCTACTGCCCGTTCTGGCCGATATCGTGGCAAATTGTAACTCAGAGCCTCGCCGCATCTGCCTCTCCATCAACCTCGCCAAAGAGCGCCATGAAAGCGGAATGAACTTCGTCCGTCAAATCGCTCGCCTGCAGACTCCGTCCCTTTTTCAGAAAGGCCAGCCGTGAGCACTCCTGGAAGTTGAGATACCATATGTTAGCAATGGTACAGCCAGCTTGTTAAAGTTTGAAGTCTCCGTTCGAGTTGGAGAGACTCACCCTCGTCACTGCACTTCCTCCAAACGCAGCCAAGCCCATCATCTCATCGGCATCAAGAGCTGGCTGCTCGCGATCCTTCCACAGCCCATCGAGATAAGCCTTGCGCCAGCCCAAAAAGGTCGCCACCGTTCCTGTCAAGGTATCGCCCTGTCCGCCGCTTCGCTTCTTCCCTCCCTCGAGATCGCTCACCAGGGTGACTTTGCCGTTGGAGATGAAGTCCTTGTAGCCCTTTTGAATGATGGTCACGCCGCCCAGTTCCTTGGCTAGCGTCTCTACCTTGCCCGTCTCGCTGCTCTGCTGGCCGACGTCGATCTTGAGCGCATCACAGAGTCGCTTGAATTCGACCACGTTGGGGGTCAGAACCGCGTACTTGTAGCCTCTTACCACATCCGGATCGTTCTGGACAAGCTGGAGAGCGTCGGCATCGAGGACCACGGGCATTTCGGAGTCTCTGGCGGCCCTGATGACGCGGCTCACGGTTGCTTGCATGAGGGGATCACGGCCGAGCCCCGGACCTACAACAAGAACGTGTAGCCTCCCCAGCATGTCGATGATCCTGTTGGCCACATGGTCGGGGTCCGAATCCGAGTCCTTGCCTTCTGCTGACGATTGTTTCTGCGGAGGCGACTGGCGCATGAGCGGGTGTACCATGAGGTTAGGTGAATACGTCTTGATGACTGCCGCAGCAGCGGGAGTGCAAATGACGTGTGACTGAAAGGGCCTTGTGTCAATTTTATATCTCTATACCTCAAGAAGAGTTCCGATCAATTGAAGCTGAGGATTCTGGGGGCAGAGGAGTCGTTCTGGGCTCACCATGTCGCATCCCAATCTTGCACTGGCCATGGCCGAGAAATATGGCGCTCCTGTGTAGTCCTCGCTACCACCGATGACACCAACTCGGCCAAGCTGACCTATATGTGCATGAAGATGAGTTCTCGTCAGTCTTTTCAACTCTGGCACTGCACGTTTTCCATTATATGGTGAAACGGCGAAATTGCCTGGCAGCTGCATACCCTTATGGAATGTGTCCAGCATGGGCGGAATCATCCGCCTGACCTTGCCCAGCACGTTCTTTGTTGTGGCAGACATGTTGGGAGTGTCTCTGTCGGCAGACATTATCAGAGATGATTGGGCTTTGCAAGGTTCGATCCTGAAGCTGTAAAGGTGTTGCCAATGTGCGGTCCTCCTCTCTATGATACAGTGTTTTGGTTGTCAGTAAAGTGGAAAATGAGACGGATCCAGGGTAGGTAAGTGAGGGGAATGGAGCTGGCGCGCTGCAATTGCCGTACCTCCGAGATCCGTATGAAATCAGTACCGATGATGACAGAGTCAATGTTTCATTATTCTTTTTAAAAATGATCGTATGATGAATGACAGAAGCGGTTTGAGAGAGATGGAACAGTGGAGTTTGTCATGTCACGTTTTCTAGTCGAGCAGCAACGAAAGATGCGTCTCGTTGATGACATCATCGCTAGCTCAGGTAGACCCAGAGTGAATAACCGAGAGAACAAGACAGAACAATGATGCTGCTGCTGCTGCTGCTTATGATAGATAAGATATTCTACTCTCTGCTACTCTCTGCTACATGTATATATTCTCGGTATCAGGATTCTTGAAGATCATATATACATGAGTAGCTGAAAAAAGGCCTTGACTGCACGTCGAGTCTGTAACTCTGTATGTATCAGCTTGGGATGCAAGATACCCTGGCGCGCCATAGACCGCTTGCTGTAGGCAATATATGCATACCTACCAAAGACCATCCGTTACTGCTACTAGAAGATATTACCACCTATAAAGAAATGCATTTGATTGCGGACTGAAATACAGGACCAAAGACCAAGGAAAGGTTAGGCCACGGTTAGGAAGAATTTGAGCTTGTGAAATAGACTGGAACGAGCAACTAGGTAAAAAGTAGCAAAGTTGTTAATATAAAGAGAAACTAACTACCTATGGACCATGATTGAGGAGGAATCTGCATCGCCATGGCCCCCATAAACAGCCCCCCTATAAGGTGCTTCCAAAAATTAGGCTTGTGGCTCTGGAAGATGCATGTCCTGTGATTCCTTTGCTTGTAGACGAATTCGCTAGCCCATAGCCATAACGTCAAATAACGAAAGAAGCACCTTGAAACAACATCATATTCTAAGCCGCTCTGGTCCATAGCATGAGTCCTCCTTGGGATGCCTTTTGATGAGGACCCGTGACCCAGGAACGCATGCATATTTCCCTCCCTTCATACTGTCATAAGAAATCGCACCGGCCCACGGCCATAACATAAAAGGAAGGAAAAGGAAAAGCCTCATCTCAATGCTGGTTAGGCCGCAGCCTCAGTCCTTCATATTCTTTTTGGTCTCCTCCAAATACTTCCCTGCCAGCTTTTTCAAATCCTTAAGCCACTCCTCAGGGCCCGGGCTTAATGCAGCCATATCTTGTAAGACATTCTTCCAGCGAATGGCCAACAGGTCTTCAGTCCTGACGTCCTCCCTCTTCATGCCCCTTAACACATCAAGTGCCGCGGGCCAGCAACAGTGTGCCCCCTCTGGAATCTTAGTAAACAGGGCCAGCAACTCGTCAAAAACTGCCCCGTCCACATTCCCTGCCGGACTCGTCCACTGCCTTGCCTTTGGGCCCTTGCTAGGAGGATTTCCCTACACCTGTCGGGGAGCCATCTCAACAGCTGCATTGGTATCCTCCAGGGCCGCGATTGGGCGTGACGTAGAAATACTCCAGGCCGTGGGGACCGCTCGCAACAAGTCGTCTTCTGTAATCGGCAGCATCCCATGCGGTGTCAAGAACCAATTCTTATTTATCCTCATATCGGCAATGCCTGTTGCATGCACATAGCTTGCTACCTTATCGTAGTGGACTCGCGCCTGGTGCATATAGGTTCGGTACTTTGCGGGTGGAAGCTCGTCTTCGAGATGTAGGATGCTTTGGCGCTGAATAGGGATGGGCGGAGGACCACTGGGAGCAGAACCTCCAAGGAATCCCCAACAACCTCTTGCGCCTGTCACCGTGGACCATAATGGGGCCATCTTGAGATCTGATTTATTGGCATGCTTCTGCGAGCTTTGGAGGGGGCCCGACACTAGGAGGAGGTGCTTCAGGGAACGCGGCTTGAAGGCCAACCTCGTCTTATACCCCTCGAGCATATCATGTGGGTGCGCGTAGGAATCAAGGCCCATGAGTTTGATATCTGGCAGCCCAGTCAGCGCAAGGGCTATCTTGGAAGGCTTCTCGTGCCCGTGAAGGTTGTGTAGGTGGGGACCTTTAGATCCAGGCATGCAGCATGGGAATATGCGGACCCTCTCACTCGAATCTACCCCTGGGATAGTTGTGCCCACTTGCAGCATGAGATTTTTGACTTTCTCCTCATCCAGGCTGTAGGTACTGGTGCCGAGCTGCTGTTCAATAAAGTCTGTAAAGTAAGCCCTTTGCGTCCATCGGAAAGGATGGGGATGCTCGGCCAGAGACATATATTCTAGTCCACCTGAGCCAGTGAGGGTAGTTGAGAATCATGTCTCCCAGGCGGACGTTGGGGACGGCTGGAGTGGGCTGGCTTGGTTTTGACTTTGCGAATTTCTCGAGCTCCAGATCTTTTGTACCTTGGATGTCCATCCACAAGTGTGTGGCCAGGATCATCTGATTGATGGGCAGCAGTTCACGCCAGGCCCCTCGTGGCGAATCTCTTGAGCTCTATTATGAGCTCTGGTGGATAGGTCAACAGCCCACAAAGAGGCGCCGAGTACACATACCCAGAGGGCTCGTCCGCGTCCCGGTACAGCACAGTGGCGTCAGGGACCAAATCGAGGACTTTTGGATTCTGCGGGCCCGCGGGCTTCATCTGGCTTCTCGAGCACCCCATCCATCTCGTGTTCTTGACCAAGGTGTTGGGCCGGCTGGACTTGCAGGAGCTCATCATTTCTGGCCTCTATCACGCCGCCATGGTTCGTGCCACCCTCTGTGACAGCATCGCCCACGGTGGCGTTGATCTTCTCCATCTGGCTTGGCGGTCGCTGGGGTCCCCCTTCTCGAGGCGGTGCCTGATCGTACCAATCTGGCTGGAGTTCTACTCTGCTAGGGCATCTTGTTTATGTCCAGTGGCGCACCGTTATCGACGTGGGAGAGACTTGAGCCCATCAGTTAGGGTAGAAAGGAGGAGGAAGTCTTTATCCACGTCTTCCTCGCAGGCACGTCCCCTGTCACGATGTGTCAGTGGATGTAGTATAATAAGACGTGGTGGGAGTCAATACTTACCAGTTGCCCTTGGCAGAGCCGTCCTTCTTGGTCTTCTTGGGATCGCTGTCAACAAAGCCGCTGTTGGGCGAGCCTTGGGGAAGTATTAGGAGCGAATGGTTTGTAAAGTCAAGTTTCTTCAGCCAGAAAGAAGAAAAGTTGCCGGCCGTGAGTGAATGAATATGGCCATGTGTGGGTTGGAGAAGAAGGGTCCGTGCTTACCGATGTGCTCCAAAAGTTCACGGGGAGGATGATTACCATTCTCAGGACAGACTTCCAGTGAAATCGCACTGAAAGGATGTCCTATTCCCAAAGAATCTCTCCGCCATCTTGCTCATCCTCTACCCCGAGGCTGGAAGTGGGCATAGTTATCCTCGACGTGAGGATAAAGTAAGAAGATCCACATATTCTCACGCTGCCTGCCTGGCTCCAAGGGTCCGCATGTACACAACATTGTTGGAAACCAAAGGCCTTCAGAGCTCCTACAGGACAGACTGGAGTGGCTTCTCCTTGAAAAGGGACATGACACCGGCCCTACATAGTAGAAAACGCGTCTGGCAAAGCTGGATCCAACTCTCTAGCCTTACATACATGTACCTGACGTATCATTACGCATTGCCCGTCCCATCTCAAACCATTCACAGCAATTCTCCATGCAAATGACAAAACGTTGCGCCTATGATATAGAGCACGCGTCTAGGAAAGCGAGAACCAACTCCCGCCGTGCATTTAAGAAAGTTTCATGACTCACTGACAGCCCTAATTCACTGAGAACACGACAAGTTTCGGGTCTACTGATGTCAAGGCAGTCTATGCGGGCTTGAGCTCGCTAATGCTTGGACCAGTATTCGCCCATGCATACCCATGCTTAACCCGAATGATTTCGTAGAGATACGCATCCTTTTGAGTAATTTGCCAGGTACTTGAAAACATGACAAATCTCAGGCTGAATGAAGAGGTACATACATATAAATCACACATTACCTACCTCCCATTACTTGAATCACTTGCCAGATGTCTTTCTCGCCTAGATTAACAGAACAAAGGGAATTAAGGACATCCATTGAGTAATGTGCTCGTATTTTACATGTGGTAGAATGACTGGCGCGTCTTCCTTTTTAGCCATGGCTTTCTCATTCGGCAAAGCCATCGCTTTTCATCCTCCTTCTTCCAGCTCTAGAAAACGACCAACAATATATTGGTATAGACAGTAGCACCCCCCAACAGTGGCCTTTCTATTTTGCTTGTTGAGCGCTTCAGCTTATTAACCGCTTAGCTGAGGAAGCTCTTGACAAAGCTGACGGTGACGTCCTTGAGTCTGGCCTCGAGGTCCTTGCTCAGAGCACCCTCCTTGTCGATGGTGGCCAGCAGGTCGGCCTCGTTGGTCTTGAGGTGGGCAAGGAAGTCGGCCTCCCACTTGAGGATCTGGTTGACAGGGATAGCGTCGAGGTGACCGTTGATACCAGCATAGATGAGAGGAACCATCTCGTTGACGGCCATGGGCGAGTACTGCTTCTGCTTGAGAAGCTCGGTCAACTGTAATAAAGGTTGATTAGCAATCTTGCCGTCTCTCAAATGGGAGGGAAAACAAGGACGGAAATAGGAAGTGAGAAATGCGCCAGGGACAACTTACGCGTTCACCACGAGCCAGGGTCTGCTTGGTAGAAGCATCAAGATCGGAACCGAACTGGGCGAAAGCGGCAACCTCACGGTACTGGGCCAAGAAGAGCTTCAGGGAACCAGCGACCTGCTTCATGGCCTTGAGCTGAGCAGCGGAGCCGACACGAGAGACGGACAGACCGACGTTGATGGCAGGTCGGACACCCTTGTAGAACAGCTCGGATTCCAGGAAGATCTGACCGTCGGTAATGGAAATGACGTTGGTGGGAATGTAGGCAGACACGTCACCACCCTGGGTCTCGATGATGGGCAGGGCAGTCACGGAACCACCACCGTGCTTGTCGTTGAGCTTGGCGGCACGCTCCAGCAGACGCGAGTGCAGGTAGAAGACGTCACCGGGGTAAGCCTCACGTCCAGGGGGACGACGCAGCAGCAGGGACATCTGACGGTAGGCAACGGCCTGCTTGGACAGATCGTCGTAGACGATCAGGGCGTGCTTCCCAGAATGCATGAAGCTCTCAGCAATGGCCGTGCCAGTGAAAGGAGCAATGTACTGCAGAGGAGCAGCTTCGGAGGCGGTGGCACTGTTGAAGATGTTAGTACAGAATCAAAGATTCAAGTGAGAACGGGGAGACATTCGCCACGACCACCGAGTATTGGAGAGCATTGTTCTCCTCGAGAGTCTTGACGAGCTGAGCGACAGTGGATCGCTTCTGGCCGACGGCGACGTAGACGCAGTAGAGCTTCTTGGTCTCGTCATTGGAGCTGTTCCATCGCTTCTGGTTGAGGATGGTGTCGAGAGCGACGGCAGTCTTGCCAGTCTGACGGTCACCGATGATCAACTCACGCTGACCACGGCCGATGGGAACCATGGCGTCGACGGACTTGAGACCGGTCTGGACGGGCTGGTTGACAGACTTGCGGGGCAGGATACCGGGGGCCTTGAGCTGAGCACGGCGTCTCTCCTTGGTGTTGAGGGGACCCTTGCCGTCAATGGGGTTGCCGAGAGCATCGACAACACGGCCGAGCAGCTCAGGGCCGACGGGGACGTCGACCTTGATAAGGAGTTAGCATGACTGGTGCTGGAGTATAAGCTGGCGGCAGATTTTGGGATATCACTCACAATCTGACCAGTACGCTTGACGGTCTCGCCTTCCTTGACCAGACGATCGGAACCGAACAGCACGACACCGACCTGGCCGGCCTCGAGGTTCATGCACATGCCCTTGACGCCGGAAGCGAACCTAGATAGCGTTAGATGCAAGGCTCCCACATGGGAAACAGAGAGATATTGACATACTCGACAAGCTCCTCGGCCTGGACATTGGCCATACCGTGGACACGGGCGATACCATCACTAGACGCTCATAGTTAGAAAAGACACTTTGGCCAAAGTAACCATCAGGCAAATGGAAGCGTGCAGAGAAACAGCTTGTCCCTTGACATTCCCGGTTCGCATGCATCCCGAGGCTGACAAGGATTGCATCCGGCGTTGCGGCTTCAAAAGCAAAGGTGGCCCTCCACATACCCAACAGACAGGACACGGCCAGTCTCAGCAAGGTTGGTCTCCTCCTGAACACCACGGATTCGCTGCTCGAGGATGGAAGAAACCTCGGTGGGAGAGGCCTTGGCGTCGGCAGCGTAGGTTCGGACGGCGTTGATGGCAACCGGTGCGGCATTTCGAGTCTATATTGGCGTTGAGAGAAGAAGCCATGTTAGCCGGGAGGCCAATAAAAGCCGTATGGAGCACCGCCCGCGGACGAGGCTGGGAAAAAGCTCAAAAAGTTTTGCTCTGCGCCTCGAGGAGCTCGATGCAAAGCTCAATTGAGCTCCAAGAATCCCGAGATGCAGACGCCTGTGCATGGCTGTCATGACCCCCCCTCCACAAGATCCATGTGCCGGGGTTCAATTTTTTTCGCCTTGTTTCCCCAGCGGTCGTTTTCGGGCGTGCGGGAAAGACACTCACCACGGAGACTCGGCCAGCAGCGACGGCGCCAACAGCGCGAGAGGACTGTCGGAGGGCGTTGCGGAACATCTTGAGGGCGAAATACGAAGGCCTCAGCAACGAGGGGAGCAATTGCAGCGGGCGTGCAATTGGGGGGTGGAGGAGTTGAGAGGAGTTTGTTGATGCTTGCTGCCTTTTGCAGGAAGAGCAAAATGGAGATTTTCGGGAGGAGGGCGGATGGAGAGAGCAGAGTCTGTGAGCACCAAGGGTGGGGGCTCGGGTTGCCTCGCGGGCCAATCACGGCCACTTGCGCGGTTTTGCTGGGAGGGAAGCCGACGCCGCCTTAACAATTTTCCTGGGCTCGACGAGGCTAACGCGGAATGGAGAGAGACTGAGCGAGAGAGAGCGAGCGCTTTTTCTTGCTCTTGCCTTGCGCTTGCTTCTTCCGACCGGTCTCCAATTTCTTGGTGCCTGCGTTTTGTGCCTGATTGCAAAGGCATGAACATTGGCCATCGCGATCGTGAAAGGCAGGTGCAGCTGCTTCGGCGGTACGTACCAAAATGGAGATGACGTGAAGGACTGACTGCACCCAAGATGCTGTTACCATTGGAAATCGTGCACAAGAATCAATTGGTTATTCTGACTACCTTATGGATCCTCCCATTCAAGTACAATATCGAGAACACAGATAGTGAATTGATATGGTTTCCTCGAATTAAGAATTGTATCAAGGCTATCTCGACACAGGTGATGCCGAAGACTCCGACATGAAACCAGCTGCGCATGAAATCCAGCAGTAGCTTGATGGTGCAACAAAAATACAGTAATACGGAGTTGAGGACGAATACTGCCTGAGCTGTGAGAAAACGATGCATCGCCGTGCGGACTGAAAATGCATGTGGCGTGCCGTAACTTGCGGAAACTGAAGTATCATTCATTTGGTATGATCAACGCAACTTACTAACGAGCCATCACCAATGCCGAAAAACTACAAAACAACAGAGAATCGACACACAATCCTCATCAAGCAAGCAAGCTTTGCCAAAGGCATAATGGTGCCATCACATTGCAGGGGGCAATATACGTGAAGCCGGCATAGCGCCGGTCGGTCTCTCAGGCCGTTGCTCGACTCAAAAAAATTTGGTACGAGCTGATGTAAAAATCAAGCGGAAGAATACATGACCATATGATCCTTTTGTTACCCCCCAATGTTCGCCGTGCCCATTTCCATGACAAGAAATAAGAGAGAGAAAAAAAAAGTTGATTTGGTTTTCGATTGGATATTATCCGTTTATCGGACAATGCCATCGAAGCGGCTCTTGAACCACCGGACGGTCTCGTCGCGCTTGATGCGGTGGGAGGCACCGATCCGGCTCTTCATGCGGCGGCGGCGGGTGACGCGCTCACCAGGGCGGGTCATGCAGCAGTAGAAGTCCATGCCGTAGATACCGATGGAAGGGTCGTACTTGATACCGAGATCGATGTGCTCGCTGATACCGAAGCCGAAGTTGCCAGTCTCGGAGAAGTTGCGCTTGCGGAGCTCGTACTCCTTGACCTTGAGGCCACGCTCGAGGATCTCCTCAGCCTGGTTGATAATGTTGTCAGCACATGTTGTCTGAATTCAAGGGTTTTTCAACGTCGGGTATCGAACTTACCTTGGGGCCACGGACGGTGACGTGGACAGCAATCTTTTCGTTACGACGGATACCGAAGGTTCGGACGGTGTAACGGGCCTTGCCTGTGAAAATGGTTAATGTCTTGTTCCCTTTTACAACTTTTGGATCAAAAAATGTTCAAGACGTACTGTAGACGGGGGTTTGACCGGACAGCTGCTCAAGCACCTTGGCGGCACGGGTGAGTCTGTCACCAGATTCACCGACGGAGATGTTCAGAACGAGCTTCTGAATCTTGAGCTCCCGCATGGGGTTGCTAGCCTTCTCGGATGCCATTGCTGCGGTCGTTGGGCGGCGATGTCTTGCTGCTTGCGTCGGTGGTGGGCGAAAGGGCGAGGTTGAAGCAGCGTCAGACGATTTTGTGATGGGCGGGAAATTTTCGAGGGTTTCTCTGCCCTCAAGCGAGAGCCCAGAAAAGCGGGGTTTGGACTTCCCCGTGCGGACTAGCGCATGCAGCGCATCGCCGCTAGAATTGGAGCTCCTCGCGCTAGCCTTAGTAATCAGCCTCCGCTGAGATTGATGCCGGTGCTTTGGAGACTCTAATCATCTCTTGTTTGACGTCCTGTGGTATCTTCACGGTAAGCCGGACGCATTGAATGGTCAAATTCACAGCTTTATTGTATGATTTACTAAGTAATTGGTATTGTTCCGTTTGGCGTATCTTCTGCCTTGTTGTGGACGCACACTGGCGACAAGCAGGTAGGGGTCGTTTCCATCGTCTCATAGCGTATCCTCGTGATATAAAGAACAAGAAAGCAAAATAAAGGGGGGAAAGAGGGAAATAAAAGGAAGGGAAAAAGCGCACTCAACCAAAGAGTCCTCGCCAAACATAAAAAATCGATCCGTCCGTATACACATTTTCCACCCTTCCATCGCTAGAACTCCCTCCAGTTGGGCGTTGCTGGAGCCATCACCATCAGCCAGTCACATGGCTAAATACCTTTGCGGCCAGCTGGCTCAGCAGCCTCGCCTTATCGTCTTGAGGAAGTTCCTATGTATACATTAGCTTCCAGGGAAATCTGAAGTAACCGAGTCAGTCTCAGAATAATGATAGTCTGAGAGGCGTCGCAGCGATATCACACGTAGCCTGTGGGCTTACCTGGAAGACCTCGTACACGCTCTTCCCCTTGGTATCCCTGATGGCCCCCAGACGATTACCGGCCACCGCTCCCGCAAGCAGCCCGGGCACGTTGCCCACGATGAAGCCCAGCGCGCCGCCACTGACTGCACCGACCATGCCCCACATGGTTGAGGTGCCCGGCTGCTGGTTCGGCGTCCCGTCCGCAGCGAATCCCTCGTCTCGCATCATCTCCTCAAAGGCATCGCTGAACTGGGCATTTTCCGCCTCCTCACGGCCGGCCCCGTTCGCAAAGTGATCCCATGCCCACGAGTAGAAGCTCTGTCCCGAGGTGTCCTCTGCGTCTGCGAAGGGGTCGGAGGCCGTTGGCCGGCGGTACGACGTTCGCTGAATGTCGTACTCTGCTCGCCTGGTGGGATCGGAGAGGGTGTAGTAGGCGTCGTTGACGAGCTGGAAGCGTCGAGTCCTCTGCTCTCGCTCGGGTGAGTTGTTGGCAACTCGATCGGGGTGCGTCTTCAGGGCAGCTCTGGGAAAGACACGGTGGTCAGCCGGGAGTAAGAGCAGCGGCCATCAGCACGAAAGAATGCTTACCGTTTATACGCATCTCGAATCTGAGCGGCAGAGGCTTTCTCTGAAACCTCGAGGATTGCGTCTGCGTGGCGTATGCATGTGTGAGTGCATGTCCACCTCCAGTTTCCGGGGTTGATGGCGGGGAGAGATGGACTCACAGTAATCCGGGGGCGTGTTTCTTGTCATCGTGTGCTGATGTCTTGTGTGAATGTAGGGAGAAACGATATGGATCAACAAGGACAACCAGCTACCGTCTCATCACTGATATGTAAGGGGATCTTCGGATAATGTGGCTAGAGAATTGAGTCGGTAAAATATGTAGGTGCCTGACGCAGGTTCAGTCTTGCGACCCTGCAAGCCCAGCGCCGCCTCTATCCAGTAATGAAGCCGGACACACGTCAACGTCATGTGGCAAGACGCCAATGTGGCTGGTGCCACGTTTGCACATCTGCATGGCCGTCTCCACAGGTGCGAAGGTGCTGCCTTAGCTCAGCAAAAGGACGTGAACCGAGACTAGCAGTGATCGAGCCAAATACCCTACGATGTTGTAATAACTTCAACTTGGTCTTTGTTGGCATCAAGTGTTTTAACTACCTAGTGATATGCTTACCTGTATCTCGCTGTTCAGATGCTCTATCGAGTGTCTAGTAGTTTTATTTTGCACTTGAGTCGCTGTCCTAAAAGCAAACCTAAATTAGAACCCCAAAACCCCAGAAAAAGCAAGTCTCCTCGTAATGTTTTCCAATTTGCCCAAGTTTCCAGTTGTCATCTCCAAACGCCAATTGACCTTGCGATCTGGTATCTGTTCGTGCTTAGTCGCAGCGTGGAAGATCGCGTAGATACTGCTGCGCCCTCGTAATGGCGTCTTGGGCGACCTGCAGCGCGTTTTCCAGCTTGCCGACTTTTTGATAGTATGCGGCCAGCACCCACATGTCTCGGATGACCCGCAGGTTAGAGCTCGTGCCGTGCGCTGCCTCTCGCATGTGGATGGCAGACTTCAGATTCTCCTCAACCTGATCCCAATCCTCTTTGCTCTCAAAGATTCTGGCCAGCATCTTGCGAGCGTATGCATGGAACCGAGCAGCCGAGAGAGGTCCCAATCCGAACTGGTTGGTGTCCAGCAAGTCCAACGCCATCTGCTCCGCCTTTTCCCTGTCGCCCAGATCCATTTGTGTAAACTCCAATATGAGGGCGTCGGCTCTCAGCTTCTCAAGGTTGCTATCAGTCTCCAGAGGCTGTTCTTCATGCTGCACCAGGTTCTCGAGGCCTTCGTACATGAGCTCGCGTTTGTTGGCTAGCCCGTTATTCCGACGTAGTCTCGTCCGGCCGTCCCAGATCAGCTGCTCATATAGCCAAAACTCCTGAGATGTCGACTTCTTGATGTGGTCCGCAAGAAGATCGACATTCCGCAACCATGCCTGCCGCAATAGATAGCAGATGAACTGGCGGCCGTTTTCAGTTTGATAGTCACACACCAAGAGCTGCTGAAGGATGCGGATGAGAGGGTAGCTTTCGGGGAAGCGCCTTCGTGCCAGCACGAGCGCATGCCGTAGGAACATGCCGAGCAGCTGCAGGTGGCCTCGGTCAATCATGTCGTATATCGTGTCAAGCATATGCCAGAGTAGGTCGGGATGTTCCTCGGTGAGAACAAACTCCATGACGTAGAAGCCCTTTCTGGCCGCCATGCCGGCAAGATCGCCTTTGCCATAGGACCAAAGATCGAAAACCAACTCAAAGGTCCGGTACATTGTCCGGCTATCTTGCATAGGCGGCTGATTCGGAGCGGCGAGATATTGGGACATGGGATCGGAGGCAATGCGATACGACTCCAGCTTGACCGAGCTCCAAGACATGACGCCGTTCAGAATGAGTTCCAGATCTGCCAGTGGCCTGAAATTGGGCATTGGCACCAAGTCGAGGCCTGTTGTTGTTGTTGTAGGCAATTCCGTTCTAGTGATCACTTCCACATCATCGTCGGCACCTTGCTGTGCCGCCTCGGTTGAAGAAGAAGAAGTGGAAGTAGTAGAAGGAGAGGCGGTAGTAGAGGAGTCCGAGGCAGCCTTGGCTACATCAGATGCTTTTCTGTAGGATCGTTTTCTGATGTTCCACTTCTTGAATCTCTTCTTGTACATTTGCTCGCTTTTGCGTGGGTAAGTAGCACACTAAGTTAGTTCCCATGTTTCAACTGATGATGTTGGCCTACCGCCTCGCATGGCACCACCTCCCACTTTGTCGGGCAGCGGCACCAGTATGAATGCTCAACTATGCCAAAGCAAAATAGTAGGTAGCTGTATCGAGGCATGCGGAGCGGGCGAGACAAGAGACAGCAAAAACACAGCAGGGCCAAGACTTACGTGGCGGCAAATCCGTACTTGGTCTCCATGATGGCCATGATCTCATTCAACTTGCGGTTGTCGCCAATGTAGAGCGCGTGGATGAGGCCCCTCCGGGCGTCCCACTCCTGCTCCGTATGCTCCTTGACGCTCGGCCTCTCGACGACCGGCGGCGAGTTGCCCGGCAGGCGAGGGGCCAGCACCGGCAGACGGGGCCTGGCGGGATACATGATTTCTGGCGGGAGACTGGCCAGGTGAGGCGGTCACTGCTATGTTGCCCAATGCGAATCGTCGTCGGTACTCTCTGGCAGAGAAGACATTGTCAGCCGCATGGCCATGGTGAATGGGCTGTTGATGAGAGATCGGAAGAAGGTTTCTTCTGCAAAAGTCGAGCGAGGCTGCAAAGAGGTTAAGCCGCCTGTGACTGCGGTTAGTCGGTACCTCGCTACTTCCTGTCAGGAACACACTCCGGCGCTTCGTACAGGTACCTCGGCAACAAGCCGAAGTGCAGTGGCTTTGGATCGGAGTCGCGCATCTGATTGGCGGTAAAAGTTCCCTGCAGGCGACTTCGACCGTTTGGAGACGTCGGATTGGCTGCACGTCACGTGAAGCAGTAAGTCACTCGACGAAGCTTAAACCAAAGAGTTGGACGGAGATTTTCAGATTGACTGATGCAGGTACGACTTTGGGTTGGGACTTTCTTATCGTGGGCAATGTACCAACTCTTGAGAAGTCAAGTACAGGGCAAGATGAGATTAGGTACTTGAAAAGCTTTATGAATGCAGGTCTGAAGAGGGCAAGCAGTATTCTTTTTCTATTCAGGGTCCCGGCAAGATCATGTAAGAGGACCCCAAAGCGTCTCACTCAACCTTGGCTTGATCTCTACCAGAGTATCAAGATGAACCTTCTTATTCCGAGAATTCCGTACTCAGGTACCTCGCCTATCAGCCAATGGGAATACTTATCTGATTTCCTCAATACAAAATCTACCTACATTTAATTGCCAAGAGTCCAGACACTCGAAGCAAGTCGACCAATGGCTGTTGCTGCTCCTCGACTAATCGAGACAAGTCTCGGGGCGATCCGTTGCCCCAATTAGAAGGATTCCATCTTCAGCCAACCTTATCACGACGACAATTCATGCCTAATGCCGGCATTTTCCTTGCCTCAAGGCCATAAGGTTGAGTAAGTAGCTGACATCTCTTGCTGCATCGCATCTCCGTGATGACGAGAGAGTTAGACGTAAAGTCACTTGTGTTACACCAGGCAGACGACGGACTCTTCATGTCTTCATATGTATGTTCTCCTGAAGAGTCGTCGCATGTCATGATGCTTCGATGCTTCTGTGCATTGCAATTCACTATCCCTCTTCTGCATTAGTGGCCTGCTCTTATTCACGTCTGCTGGCATCCCTGGTATCGGTGGGCTCATACTGTATAACGACACATATGATATATAGGTAGTATGATCCTTACACGGCCTTTCTTCTCAACACATATAATCCCAAAAACACACAATGGAGGGTAATCACCATTACCGCCGTACCGGAGTCCCAGGCTCCGTCAGCAGTACGACCACGGCGTAAGCGTACGCAGACAGCTAAGGCGGGCGTTTGGAATGCAATCCCTGCAGGCCTCTGCAGATACCCGATCCTCTGATAACGAAAAATCAAGCGCCTTGGACGACTAGAGAAGGTCGTTTGAGTGAGACCTTTCTTGATACAAGCAGCTGCTGCAAAACAGGGCACCGGTTTTTCACTTCCACATTGAGTAGCCTAACAAGCTGCAGAAATTGGCAAGGCCTGAACAATATAGCAATCCTTTCTCCGTGGCATCATCTCATATTGTCGTGCATTTATCCGGTCGAATATGCAGGGCGGTCAGAGGGCAGAGAATATATATAGCACAGGCAAGGCGGCAGCTGCTGTCCTTGATCTTCTGCAGTCCTACAATCGACTTCATAACATCATGGTCATGATGCCCCAAAGGATTCAGCCGGCTCTTCTGCTCTCTAAGTTGGCAGTCAATGCAGCATTAACCTCAACATCGCCCATACTAGCTGTCCCGAGCCAGGCTTGGGCTTCGCTCAACGCCAGCGTTGCCCTGGGGAGACGCCACTACTTACAGAGTCCTTGCCAGGGCCTGTCACTTGAGCAGTACGGTATCTTCAGGACCCACGCATCAAGACAAGTCGAAGGGAAAGAAGAGGGTCAAGAGAGAAGTGGATGATGACGCAGAAGACAAGTGGACATCGGACAGCAACACGACGGCCACATCAGACAATAGGCCAGCGGCTACTGCGTCGCAGAGCTTCTGGAAGAGGGTCAAGTCTTCCCACAGACTGGACGAGGGCGTTTCCAGTACATCCTCGAAGAAGAACACGGGTGAAGCGGCCCAGAGTACGGGACAGGCCAAGACAACGTCCACTGGCAAGCCAGAAGGGACTGAGCCCTCGGGATACGTCTATTCGGCCCCCCTTTGTGGGCTGCTCACTTACCCCCCACGGCTTATTTCAGCTCTCCAGGACTTTGCCTCGAAGTTTCCCTCCGACTTACTCCCTATAAACCAGATGATTCTGGCCACACACCTGTGGATGGATATCCGAAACTCACCAAAATTCGCCTCAAGACAGTCCACTGATCCCATCCCCGACATCCCCCTGGCCTGTATGATCCTCTATTACGGCCACTGGCTGAGGTGGACACACGAGATGCAGCTGGCCGAGCATCCTCATCCTTTCCCATGGGTGGAGAAGGCTTGTGCCACAGACCTCAAGGCGATGCGCTTCGACACTGGCGATGACGATCTGGACCAAGAGGAAATCCAAGCCCTGATGGCTCTGGTGTCGGCGGCCGTTCCAGGAGTGCACATGCTCGACAGGGTCCGCATATCCCCATGCTGCATGCCCGAGGCTGGTAATTGCGGCCACGAGCTCAAGCCCTCGAAAATATCGCTCGCGCTCAGTGGGGTGCCAGATATCCATCTCATGGGTCTTCGGACATACGATCACGCAAATGGCCGGATCGGGGACAACAAGTTCACGTCAGTCTCGTGGCCACAGTTCCTGGACTACCTCCTCTATCATCCGCCCATATACAAGTACCCGTTTGCGCCGCACCATAGGCTTGAGGCTTGCAGATTCATGCCCCAGACATGGGGTACAGTTACAGGTGCGAAAGGTTGCTGGGGATTTGCTGTAAAGCCTCTTCCCGATGTGCCTACCGAGCCCATTGATGGAAGCGAGAAACTGGTGCAGCTAAAAGCCCTGCTTTCACCCGACGACTACAAACTTTACATACACCAGTCACGAATCCATCATGAAAAGACACTGAACTACATTCGTGATACAGGCCCATGCGCTTTTACAACCAACGCAAACGGCTGGTTGAGGCCCTCAGGAATGCCGCCACTGACGAGGGCTGACTTGACGAGACCGGCACCAGTGGCCTTGACTTTGGGATTGCCCCCTCTACCCCTGGCCCGGAATGTCATCAACCCTAACGAAACGGCTGGAGCTACGATTGGACAGGTGGCCCAGTCTGAAGAAGACCCGGACATGCGACAATGGAAGAGTCCAGCGGGCAAGGTGGACTCGGAAGCCTTTGACGAGTTACTGGCGCTCTGGACCGCCATCCCGCAGGGATGCCACTTCGCCTGGTACAGGGGCCTTGAACTGTTGAAGGGTTCGACGAGGGAGGGCGTGACCACGGAAGACTTGCTGTTATTCATGAACCAACTCATGGAACGGGTACGGCGAGACACAGGCTTCATTGCCGACATCATGAGCAAAGCCCTAGAAGGGTCCGTCCCTGGTGGCGAGGAATGATCCCACAAGCTGCCCAAGGCCTTGGCAAGATGCCTTGGAATTGCGGTCGAGAAGCAAGCCGAGAATTCCACCGACATTTGGAACACCACGTGTATACCTCTTGCAGAAGGCCGGCGTGAGGAAGCGATCCTTGATATTTCAGAGCTGCTGGACAATCTCCAAAGACTCCAACGCATGGTATCCGCAGAGACCTCTGCACACATCAGAGATCGGAAGGTCAAGCAGATAATGTGTCTGTGGAAGATGGTCAAGAAGGCCATGGGTGAACTGGGAGCTGAAGGAGACAAGTGGCTGGTGGACTGGAAAAAGCTGGCGGCCCAGTATGGCGAGGTGCAAAGGGAGTCGAAGAAGGACTGAGGCTATGGCACAGACAGGGCTGGAAGGGGATCTTACACGTTTCTCATTTCTTTTTCCTTTCTCGATTGCTATTCGCAATGGGTTGCGCCTTTATAATCAAGGACGGAATGTGAGAGGAAGGCTGCCTTTGTGGGCTGAATGCCCGTAGGAACTTACATATGCTGCCGCCTCATGGGTCGAGGCAAAACATCACTCTATTCCAGCCCATAGTTATTAGTCTCCTATTTCCTACATCACCCACTTAGCTACTCGTCGACTGTTTCTTTGATCAATTGCTTTTTCTCTATCAGCTGCATGCCCCTAACTGAATGGACGGCAGAAAGTCTTGCGAGTGAAATGTTCGCAGTTTTCAAACTCTTTGCGATTCAAAACTCAGTAAAACTCCTTGACTAAACCATCACACAAGTTCCACAACCTCTCCCCTGAACCTCTCTTCTCAATGCCCTCGGCCACCTTCGGTATCATCTCCCCAATCTTGCCCCAAGGAATGAGATAACACCCGTTACGCTCAGCCACTTCACTTCCAAAACCCGCTTGTAACTCAGTCAACGCCCCGAACCGAACCGGATACGACAAGGACCCCTGAACCTTTTTCAGGATGCCTGGCGCATGGCGGGTGAGATCTGTCCTGATGGCGCCTGGATTGAACGACACGCTCACGAGCTGCGGGTACCTCTTGGCCATTTCGGAGGCGAGTATGGCGTTTGCCCACTTACTCTGGACATACCGCTGAACACGCCCATTCAGGCCCGAAAATTGAGGCGACTTCAGCTCCCAGTCATCCCACAGAATGCCGTCGTCACCAGGGGGATCAGGAAATTCGACAGAAGCCGCCCAGCAAGTGCGCACAGAGCCCGTAGCAACCGCGGTGTCATTATTCTTTGCCGTTTGGAGGAGAATTGGGGTTAGAAAGTGTTGCAGGAGAAACGGTCCCAGGACGTTTGTCGCAAAGCTCAGCTCGTGACCTTGTTTGCTGACGCTGCCTTCCGGAGGGGCCATGACGCCCGCATTGTGCCAGATGACGTCCAGACGGGTTTCTGCTGAGAGAAACGCCTCTGCTACGGGTTTTATGGTCTGCAGGTCGGATAGATCTAGATAAAGGGACTTGATAGCTTCGTCGCCGCCGTCGGCAGTGCGACGCTTCATGTCGCCTGGGGGATCTGAGTTGGTGATGGTGTTGATGGCATCTTTGCCGGCAGAGTCAGATCGTCCGAGGATGTAGACGCGGGAGGCATTGGCGTGAAACAGGGCTGTTGCTGCTGCTCGGCCAATCCCGCCAGTGCCACCTGTTACAATAAAGACCTGTTTGTTGTGTAAGTGAGAATCAATGGAGAGCAGGCGCCTCGTCTTTGGAGAGACGTATGAGAGGGGATGATGAACATACCCGCCCGTGTAAGTCGGGCAAGTCTTTCTCAGTCTTTGCAGGCGCCCCAGGCCAATATTGTCGAATATATTTTGACATACTCGATTTGTTTCAAAGGCAAAAAATTTCCGACGTTGAATGACATGTAACGATGGGCATATTGGGGGAAACGGTTTGTCATATGCAGTGAGAAGTGAGCGAGTGAGTTATGCATAAGCAAATCTTACTCCGCGTTTCTCAACACCCACAGTGCGGAATATCCGCTTACGAGCAACCATCAATGATATAAGGCGACGTATTTGCATGTGACAGAATGTTATTTACATAGAGTAGATGGCTGGCGTTACGTTTCTTGAAATGCTGTGATAGGAAGCAAATGGTGATTGCTTTTGCGATACTTGGGGGACTAGACCAAGAAGACAGTAACAGAGGATAGTAAAATCAGTAGGCACAGAGTGCCCGTACGTGCCACCACGTATATGTTAAGCGTAGAGATTGTCTGTCGAGAGCCTGCTAGAATTCCAGGTTGATATACTGACCTCTTGATACTCTTGCCCTAGACGATTTCTCAAACAAGGATCCGTTGTCAATGACAAAGCTACGTAGATCTACGTGTAAGAGGCACCATGGAGAGCACCCGCATCTATTCCTCTAGATTAAGAAAGCTGGAATGCTAGACTATGCAAATGACCGCGACTGAGATCACTGGAGAAGCAGCCCTGGTTAGGAATCAAGACAAAGACAGAGGCTTGAAACTTGTAGAGTGAAACGGAACAAATGACCAGGTTATCAGTAGCTACGTTGAAGAAACCGAGTATGCGCCGCGATCAAGTCTCAGTCTTTCTTCAACTTGTTTGTCTGCTTTCTAATTCATCCAATCAAGTGAAGAAATCAACATACAATAAATTCATTTCTCTCTAAGACGTTGGTTTAGCCACGCCACGCTCGGCATGTTTCAGTGTCAACGCCTGTATCAGTTCACGAAATAGTCATCATCTCATAGCGTAAAGACCCGGATCAGCCATCAGCTTTGCCTTTTCATTAATCAAGATGTCTATTTGTCAATGTTTGACATGGGATCAAAACGTCTTGATACTTCCTTAGCCAGCTTTGTTGTCAGGACCATCTGGGATTCTGAAGTCATAAGGAACAGCGTTGTCTTATTGCATGGTGGAGTCTCTCTTGATAATGATGAAGCTATGTACACTACCTACCTCAGCTGTGATGTCATGGATGTCTTGTCGACTGTGGTTCATATACCTATGGTACCGTCACGTCGCCTGACAGTTTTCCAATCCTTTAGCCACTCCTCAGACTCTAGGCATAATGCAGCCATATCCTATGAGATATTCTTAGCGAATGGCCATCCGATCAGTCATTCTTTTTTAGATTGCCGGAGGCCAGGAGTCTATGCCCTGGCAAGCTTAAATATATCCTAGTAGTTCAGAGACATTTAAGACTATAGTCTTAAGGTTGCTCGTTGCCAGAGGAGCGCACTGGGTATTCCAAATCTGAGGACTAAGGTACCTTTAGGCACCTTCCAGGTTGACAATTGGGATTCCAATGGCCCTAGCCAGGGCTAGAGGTAGGTTATAAGACAGCTGGAGCTGTCCATCTGGAATTAAGCCTTGCTGGGCTTTGCTTTAGTAACGGCTCTTTGGCATTCTAGCCGATCAAGATACCTAGGTACCTATTTATATTTGCATGCCGCTGCTGCTATAAGTACCTACCTACCTAGATACTTAGGTAGGTAAGGTAAGTGTATGGACACGATGCTACATGCCGCTGACAAAGACCGTACCTCTTCAAACACTGGCGATACAAGGTGAACGAATTCATCACCCTGGCAAAGAAGGCGCTGTCGTTCCGGGACAACTATCGCGTCTTGGCCAACGAATCAGTCAAGGTGATGACGCAAAAGAAACTCAAGGTCATTCCGGGATCATCAGGCGGACAAGCGCTTAATCAGCTAGAAGATGGAGGTCCGCCAGAAAGACAGAGAGTTGGGCAGAAAAGAGGATGATGGAATTATCAGTGAATCTAATACAGAGGTAGAAGTAAGTGGGTCTTATACATGTAGTGAGATAAGGTAGGTATTGTAAGGATTATGATGTTGTAGAACGAAACTTCTTGTATAACAAGCTCTAGGAGATATACACAATAATATGCGTTCACCGAAATGCCACAGATTAGAACGCGAGGTGCAAGAAACAGAAAAACTACATAATTCAAGTTGCTCATATCATTATCGTTATAGACATCGAGTATATGACCCCATTGGTAGATGAAAGCATGCGTCGTTACAGCGTCATTCTCAGTCTTACACCGAGACTCATAAGAGAAGAAACCTGAAAACATCCGTCGCAGACATGTCCCACGCATTCGCCCTGATACCTTCTCGTTATTTCCGCAGGCAAAAGCAAAGAGACAAGAACACATTTGGAAACAATCATGTCATTGCAAACAGTCAAAAGCACCGTTAAAAGCGATACTCGCGATCCTTGATGCGAATATATTCCCTGTCCTCCCGCTCCCTCTCGTCGATGTACCGCGGCGGCGACGGCGACTCACGCCTTCGCCTGGGGCTGCGCGGGGCGTCGACGTAGCGATACGTCTTGTACTGCGGCTCCACGGGCACGGGCACGGGATACGGAATGTAGCGCTCCCTCTCGACGTAGACCTCCCGGTCGCGCGACTCCTCCACGTCACGATCACGGTCGCGGTCGCGGTCGTAGTCGTGGTGGTAGCGGTCGAGCTCATACTCGTCGTCTTCTTCGTCGTCAATCTCGCGGCGGCGGTGGTGGCTCCGACTGCGGCTGTGGTGGCTTCGCGCGCGGGAGTGGCTGCGGGAGTGGCTTGCGATGGAGGACCCGGAGGAAGAGGAGGAGGAGGGGCTAACGGAGCGGTGGCGGCGCTCCGACTTTTTGGACTTGGACTTGGACTTCTTCTTCTTGTGTTTGGATTTGGATTTGGACTTTGACTTCTCGTCTTCACTGACGGCAATGACTTCAATGATTTCCGGTTCGGAGTGGCGGGGGAAGGGGTGGTGGTGCATGTGCGGAGGGTGAGGGGGCTGGGTGTAGAGGGGCGGATGGGGGTGAGGCTGAGGCTGGTGGTGGTGGATTGGCGGCGGAGGATGGTGATGATGCTGTGGTTCGTGGGGGAAGATGGGCGCAGGCGGAGGAGGAGGAGGAGGCGGCGGATAATGCTGATGCTCGTGAGGCTGATGGTGGTAGACGGGTGGCGGAGGCGGCATCGGCGCGGGCGGGAGGGTTGGCGGCGGCGGAGGAGGCAGGACGGTGACGGCGGGAGGAGGCCGCGGCACGGTGATGACCTCGACGGGGGGCCGCGAGTGGGAGCGGGAGCGAGACCGGGATCGGGAGCGCGAGCTGGAGCGGGAGCGCGAGTCGGGGATGTATCGGGTGACTTGGGTGCGGGTGGTGATGATGTCTGGGTCGGGGCGGCTCAGGTAGAGGCGCTTCTTGACAGCTGTGCGGCCTGGGAAGGGAGTTAGTTGGCGATGATTGTTGTTTGGAGAGAGAGAGACGGTGACGTGATGATGCGGTTGAGGAAACCTCTGGGCTGGCTGAGGGAGACGAAAGTCTTACCCATGGTGAATGTGGTTTGGCGGTTGACGGTTTAGATGGAAGAGGTAATGGATTAAGACGTTGACCGCTGGTGTAGGAAGAGGAAAAAAGGATGGTATTGATGATGATGATGATGGACGAGACGAGAATGACGAGTCCAGTCCAGTCGGAAAAGATGTGCTGTGCTAATGCACGGTATTGTGATCCCTCCGAGAGCAGCTGAAGAGGGGCCGAGGGCCAGACAAGGCACGCTACCTGTATTACTTGTACTGTAGGTATGCAAAGCGCCCGTGATGCTCGTCTCGTGAGCGACCAACTGCAGGTACTCAGCAGCAGCAGCTTGTATGGGTCACAAGCAACACGAGGCACACAGCCAAATATCGCCGGGTTAAGAGGATGAGTAGCACAGCATGAATAAGAAAGGTCAGAAAGTTAGGTATATATGGGCGCAGTGAGGGAATATCTGGATTATGTAGGTCTGCTGCTTTGATACCCCTGGGCAAGAATGCTGCTCCCACCCTCCTTCCTCGCGGGCTGTTTCCAAGGCGCTCTAGAAACTTGGGAGACGAAACCAAGCCACCATGACGTCATGGGACAAAGCAAGGATCGATCGCGAAAGAGGGCGGATGTTGAGCTCCCATTTGCCTACAGGTACCGAATAGCTGTTCGATAATGAAAGCTGTAGTTTACCTCAAGCTGTTATACACCTAGGGCATGTCCTCTGTCAGAAGCGAGAACCACACACAATCTGCGGTCGTATTGCTATGCCTTGATTGTAGTAATGCTGTATGCTTCGACCGACCCAAACATTTGAGAAACACTTGAGTCCAACTCTATGCAAAGACTTGGGCTGCTGCAAGGCAAATCTGCAGTAAAAAATCTCTTTATGGCTCACTATCATGGTAGCGTTAACTCCACATTAACATTAAGAGATTCAAATTCAATTTCATATTACATCAGGTCGTTGCTTCATCATACATCGTTAGCTACAGCTGGTAGCGCTCGTCCATGTGCTTTCCAAGCCCATATTGCATTCGCAAGACGATTTATAAACTCCTTCACTCCTCCTCCATTTGACCCGATATATTTGGTTGGTCTTCACCTCGTTGACTTTGTAGGACTCGTTCTTCGGCCCCTGCCGGCAGTGGCTCTCCCGTGTATGATAGAGCCGCTCATGGTGGGCGAAGGCCTCCCCAGCTCTGATCGAGCGTCATCTGCCCCCAATGAGCTCCAGGTGCCTGCCTCGCTGCCTGTGCTTCCCACAGTGCTCGATGCTCTCGGAACCCTGGCTTTACCCAAGTCCTTGCTGTCGGCCTTCTTCTTCTTCTTCTTTCTCGGGGATCGAGATGTTGTTGAAGCATTGTCTTGTTCTCCGCTTTCATCAGAAACCTCTTTCCGGGTCTCCTTCTTCGGACTATTTCTTGCGCCTTTACTAGGGCCCTTCTCTGCGCCATTGTTGTTGTTGTTGTTGTCGTTTCTCTCGCAGGACTTCCCCAGCACACGATCAAAGAGCGCCTTCAGCTCAGCCTCGGTTGGCAGAACAGACTCCGTTGCCGACGGGCCATGGCCAAGCGCAGCTCGGTACTCGACCTGGTCCGCCGCAATGGCCGCCGACCACCGCTTCCAGCCCGGCATGCACAGCATCTCTGGAAAGTATGGTTGCCGGAGCAAGGATGGCAGCAATGCATCCAAAATACCGGCAAGCGCCTGCCGAATCGGCTTCATGAGCTCAAACAACGGTTCGGAGTATAGGATATCGAGGGAGTTGACAAAGTAGTTCGCCATGGACTTGCTGGTCTTGAAATCCATCTCTCTGTAGATAAAGTAGGAGTTGAGGTACGCGGCAAGGTCTTTGGCCGTCTCCTCTAGGATGCCGAGAATGCGCGATGCCATTGTCGGGATCTGGAAGTTGACGGCTGCGCAGTAAGCAAGCACGCACCGTGGGATGTGTATAAAGTTGAGCGGCTGGCAGATGATTCTCTCGCAAATATCGAGATCTAATAGCCATCGCCAGGTTAGCTGCCATCATCCTTCTTTCTGAGTATAGGATAGAGAGTCGAAGAGTGGCACATACTCTTGGTATACATGAAGAAAAGGCAAGGCTGCACCGCTCCAACAGCGTGAGGCAGGTGTATCTCGACTGGCGATCCATCCTGTAACGTTTCATTCAGCATTCCGTGTCTGGGAGTGCCTGGTAGTGTATCTGCCCTTCTCACCTGGTTTGGCGGAGGAAGCTTGTCGCGAAACCAGCCTGAGTGTCGCATTAGTATGTCGCGATGCAGCTGGAACACACTGCTTTCCACGTATAAGTAGACATTGGAGCCAAAAGGATGTCTCCAGAGGCTGGAGATACTCAATCAGTTCAAATTTGTCATGATGAGCTCGTGTCAGACGGCGGCGACGGTGGATGCTCACATCTTGGCAGCCTGATCTGCGGCTTCTTCCAAAATCAACCTCGTCGGCGTGCTGAGTCGAGACACGGCAGATCTCGACTCGTCGGAATGTGTTTCATTTGTCGAGCAACTGGATTTGGAGACGTTGCATGATGGAGATGGCTCTCTTTGCGCCTCTTTGCTGGGCAAAGGGTCGTCGGCCGCACTGTCGCCTGTCTTGAGCTCTGGGAACTCCTCCTCCGCCAGCGGCTTCTGAAGCGATTTGGGAGGCTGTTTCACATTTGGCACTGTCGGAGCTGTCGAGCGCTGATGCCATGGATTCTGCTTGGGGGGAGATGCCGGCCTCAGGCTTGGCCCTGCCTCTTCCTTGGGCTTCCACGCCGGCTTTGACAGCTTCTGGCTTCGGCCATCGAGCGACGTTGGCTTCGTCTTGGCCATTTCCGGGCACGAGCTATTCGATTGTCAAAAACAGGAGCTTTATGGCAGCTGGATAGAGCTTGAGCATTGCGATAGAGGCACAGATAGGGTGCTGCGGCTTCGGGAACAGCGAAGGGTGGCGGGTGAATCTCTTCCCTTCCACTATGCTGTTGTGTGTTTGTTTTTGCTAGGCATCTGCTTACCTTCGAACAAGGCCATTTTTGACAATGGCCAGCACTGCCAGCTGCAGCAGTACGACTGTGCAAAACACCGGCAGTGTCAACAGGTGGCGGCCGACAGACAGCATCGGCAGCCAGGAGAAGGCCGACTCGATGATGAACTGCTGCTGGCTCTTCTGGCCCAGGACGGGGAGGGCAATGGTCGAGACGCTGTCACGGATCTCTGCAGCAGACGCCATGTTGGACTGGATCAGAGTCAGTCACGTCGAGCGGGCAATTCACCATCTTGCAGCGTGAGACCGGACTGAAGCGGGAGTGTTATTGTATGTATGTATGTATGTGCTTCGACTTCGAATGCTCGCCTGTTTTCGGGCTATTAGGCTATTGGCGGTTCATTACCCAAATTGCCAAGTCTGAGGCTTTCGGGGCAATTCAGTCGGGGAATTAGCATCTGGAGAGCAGACGTGATGCTGCCGTATATAGCCTGAGAGAAGCGCCCTCTATTGATCCGCGGTGCCTGGCGGGAGGAGCCCATGTATGAAGGTGTCAAGGTGAAGCGGGTATTGGACGGCTTGAATGGTACGGCGATGGTAGTATTGACAGAGGTGTGTGCATAGAACGGCAACTGGCGATTTGCCGCCTGCAGCTCTTTCTCTCTTGACCTACCTACCTACTTATCAGATTATTCATCAGCCACAATCTCTAGCAAGAGACAAAAGATAGAAGAAATGCCTAATAATAAGAACACATTACTCATATAAAGCTACAATATATGTCCAACATCACTCAACTTATATCTAACGGACAACGATGGAATCGCAGGCCAAGCACCACCTACCCCAAATAGGCTTAGCCCCCCCTTCGTCCCTGGCCCGAAGCTCGGCTTAGCAATTCAACCCGCCATGATGGCAGGCTTCCGCCCTGTTGCACAATCCTCGCCAACCTCAACCACGTCAACCAACCCGAATCTTGCCCTGTTCAAGATCCAGCTCCTCATCACACAAGACACAAACAAAGATGACCGACTCGCTAGTACAAGTCACCTCCAAGCAGCAGTTTGACGATCTGCTCAGCAGCTCCCGCATCGTCGTCGCCGACTGTGAGTCTCCCCGCCATGACAAGCATCGCAACCCCGCCATGAATCCCAGAGATCGCATCTCACTATTACCCTATATCATATCTGCAAAGATGCATCTCGCTTCCTGCCACGCATCATCTTATATTGCCACTAACACAGTCTGTCCTTGATAGTCTACGCCGACTGGTGCGGGCCTTGCAAGCAAATCGCGCCGCTCTACGCCAGCCTCGCCGAGCAAATCTCGCGTCCCGGCCTCCTCACATTCGTCAAGATCGACAGCGACAAGAACCAGGACCTGGCAAAAGAATACAGCGTCTCAGCTCTCCCCACGTTCCTCCTCTTCCGAAACGGCAAGGTCATCCAAAAGGTGCAGGGCGCAAACCCCACCGAGCTCAAGGCTGTCATCGAGAAGCTGGCTTCTGAGCTCGAGTCGCTGGCGGAAGGCTCAGGGAGCGGCAGCGGGAGCGGGAGCGGCCCTGCTTGGAAGGGCGCCGAGATTCCCAGAGGCTACAGCGATGTCACAAGCGAGATTGAGATTCGGGGCTGCGAGCTGCTGAACGCGGATGACGACGCGGGCCCGGTCAGGGTGCTGTTTGAGAGCTCCAAGCCAAGTGCTCTGACCCAGGGTGCTACATCTACTGCCAAAGACTGGGTGCAGAGCGGAGCCGACGACCAGCTTCTCCTCTTCATCCCGTTTCAGTCAACCATCAAGCTCCATACACTACAGGTTTGTTATCTTGAAAGACAACTGGTAGCTGCGACATTATGCTAACTGTGAAGACAAGATCACGTCCTTCCCCCCTGAAGGTAATACCGATGTTTCACGACCTGGAGTCATCCGCCTCTTCATCAATCGCACATCCAACATGGACTTTGGAGAGGCAGAGGACGCTGAGCCGACGCAAGAAATCACACTGGGCCCTGAGGACTGGAACTCGGAGGGCACGGCAAGCATCGGTCTGCGATTCGTCAAGTTCCAAAAGACAACCACCCTCACCATCTTTGTCCAGCGGGGCGACGGCGAAGCGGATGCCGTGCGCATCGACCGCATCAAGCTCATCGGAGAGGCTGGTACGAAGAGGGACATGGGCAAGCTTCAGAAGATGGAGGAGGATGAGTAAAGGTAGCTAGCTACTATACTTGTTTTGTTCTTGGGAGTCTTGGAAGAAAATCTTTGATGGGTAGGGGGTTAGAGAGCACGAATTTCCATGGGCTAGCATTCTGGAGTTTAGGACGCGAAGAAACAAGATTGTCTTTTATATGCGTTGGGTCGACATTTGATGGCGCCGTTCGCCTTGGCTGGCTTGATGCTCCATCTCGACTATATATATACCTACAAACGCCCATAGCAGCTAGGAACAGCCCGAACAGATACATTAATTATGTCAAATTCTTACCTCTTCTATGCCCTCCGCCAGTTTTCTTACGCCCTTTCTGCTAGGAGCTATTATATATCTATTACTAAAGGAGGCCACTACCTTGCAATAACACTCCTTTATCTGTTCTCTATTTACATATGCTAATTGGCTTATTAAGAGGATGTAAGGTAACTAGAAGTATATATAGATAGTAGCAGGTATTTACTAAAAGTATATATAGATAGTAGCAGAAAATACCTATAGTATCTACTACCTTAAGGAACTAGGTAGTTAATCTCCAGAAACCTGCCTAACCACTAGGCAGTGCTCTTTAATAGTTATGAACTAGAAGGTTAAAGGCGGCTCCTCCTTATATAACGCTAGCGAGGTCTAGCGAGGTAAGGTAAGTGTAAGCCGACAGGTTAGGCAATGCTATTATATTAAGATTCCTGCGCGAGAGAGACCTTTATTATTAAGGACTCTGTTAGGGGGGTTAAAAATTAGAATAGAAGGCATTAGAGTAAATGCTTTATAACAGGATCGGTTTGCTAGCACCTTAATTTAGAGCTATCTAGCGCCTTCGTAAACCTATCTACCTCTACCACGGCTAATACTTGCTATATTAATACCTACTTACCTAGTAGGTAATCCTATTGTAACAGGCGCGAGAGGTTGTTAGGGATTCCCTCAGAGTGTTCCCAGTGGTCCTGCGCCCACCCCTATTCAGCGCCAAACAATCGTACATCTCGAAGATATGGTTCCACCCGCAAAGTACAGAAGCTTTATGCATCAGGCCCTATCAGGGAACGTAGTGATCGAAACGAACAATCAAGGCACTGGATTCAGGTGTTATGATAAACAACAAAGTGCGAATGCAATAAATAAAAGTGAGATGCAAAAACTAAGCAAGCTGCTAAAGCATGGGCGTGGGTGCCAGGACCTATATGGCCTATGCCAGGTGTGGTAACACATGACCCGTGACAGTCCCAAGTCCACTATAACAAGGCAGCATGCTACATGCAGACAACAGGCATTACTGACATAAGGATAAACAAGGATTAATGCGTTCTAGACACTACATGGGATGCCGCCGATCACAGAAGACGACTTGTTATAAGCAAACCCCACGACCTGGGATATCTCTACCTTACGTCTAATCGTGGTCCTAGAGGATATAAATGCAGCTAATAAGATGGCTCCTAGACTGGTGTCTACTCCTATTAGTCTGCCGGACTTAGGAAGTTAAAGAGCAAGGAGAGGGTGGACATAAGGACAGAAGTCTTTTTATGCTAAGCTATTTAAGAAGATAAGTAAGGTAATAATATAGTTATAAATTTTATAAATTAAGTAGCTATTTAGTATTCTTACTTAGTTTATATATTACTAGTATAGATAATTTAGCTACTTGGTATAATAGCAGTATCTAATTTAAGTAGCAATAGTATAATATATAAAAAATATATATCTATATATGCAGACACATTAAGTAGCATCGCCTAATAGAAAGCATTATATAGAGTGCGTCAGCCAGTCTGGTGGTTTCCTTCAAGATGCCAAGTCAACGATCCAGGCCAGCTTAGTATTTGTAGTAAGAAATCCTCCGCCTTCGCGGCCGCGGCACAGCAGGCAAGACAACCTCAGCATTGCCGCTATAGCTCCGCATAGTCGGCCGCAGATAGTGAGCTCGGCGATAGGCACCAGGCATCTCCTCGCTGGGCCGTCCCGTCGAATCATAGTCTGCGACTGGCGCGATGGGCCTAGACGTGCCAGCTCCGGAAGGCAGCGAGCTCCCATACTCGGGCGAACGACTGCGCCTCCCAATGAGCCACTCCGTTGCGTTGCCCAGCTCGTCCATCCACCACAGGCCTGCAATAATGATGATGATGGTGACAGGTAGAGCCACCGCCCAGTAGAGCCATTGGTCAAAATTCATGTTGCGGATGTCGTTAGTGTTCATGCCAAAGATGCTCGAGATGGCGCTCAGCGGCAGGAAGATGATCGTCACCAGGGTGAAGGCGTAGATGGCGTTCTCCTGCTTATCCTTGGTCCATTCCATCTTGTATGATATCTCCCGCTCGAGATCCTCCGCATACTCTGTATTTCGCCGGAATTCGTATTCTCTTTGTTCGACGAGCTTCGCGCAGTCGGCCAGGAAGAGGCTCCGAAACCCACCCACGTCTGTCGGCGAGAGCTTCGAAGCTGCCTCCAGGTCGTTCAGGAACTGGACACCGACTCCGCGTCGGTCGTAGTCGCCGACTTCGAGTGTCCTGTCATCAGCAGCTCGATATCGATATCCAGGAGCGATTCTCGCGTCGTGATCGTATTCTGCCCTCATGCGAGATGGCATTTCCTCACCATACCTCACCACGAAATTGCCCTCTACGTAGCTCGTTTTATTCCTTAGCATCGCGATTATGCTCCGTTGCTTCGCTAGCGTGCGTCTGATGGCGGTCATCTCCTGTTTGACAAGGTCAATTCGATGTTGATACGTCCGATTGGATGGCTTCGTGGTGATATCTGTGTCCTGCTACTGGTCAGCCCGTCGTCATGCTCAAAGATAGCAACAGTCAGATAAGCAAGAGACACATACGAGTAGATTGAGGTAGAGCGAATACGTGTCGCAAATGTCATCGTACTTTCCCACGTCGTCATGTAGGAGATTCAAGGTGATGAGCGACATAATTTCGGTTGGCAGCATGACAGCCTTGTCCAGCAGATTCTCGTTGGAAATGCTCTGGATCATCTTTTGCATCCCGTCCCTCATCAGCTGTCTGGCCTTCATGATATGGCTGTACCAATCGGGCGCATATGTGCTGTAGATGAGGCCAAAAACGATATGTAGCCACGCAGTCACAAGCTCTTGAGGCAATGTCATGGTAGCTCGATCTTCTTTCCCTGAAAAGGACATAATGTCTTGGAACGACGGTATGTCTTGAGTCAACTGCCAGAGAGCGTTTTTCATTTCCGAAATGGAAGACGTGCTGTCATATACCGCGTTGTCGCCATCGAGCTCGGGTATCTGGTTAAGTCAGATGTTGCTCCTTTCGGACAACGAAAGAGAGCCACTATGGAAAGCCTCACCTTCATCAGCTTGCTCAGCGCCCCCCAGTATTTTCCCGTCGTACTGCCTTGGAACGTCAGAGGGAAGAACGTTTGAAACAGCATGTCGGCCATGTTGAAGATGGCGAGGCAATCATCATACGAGCGGCGGGCTGTGTCGCTTTTCTTCTCGTCGACGCGAGCTGCAAGTTTTTCGAGATGCTCGCGCAGACCATCTCTTGTCTTGAGTTCACATCGTTTGTAACCTCTTTGTGCCGAATATGACGTCTTCTCTGTCAGGAACCTTTCGGCCGCCGACAGTTGTTCCTGAAGGTCCTGGAGTATATCGTCATCGGACGCCTCTGCACTTTTCGATAAGAGAGTGAAGACGTGCAGAAATTCCGATGCAACCGCAGACCCTTTATGACACTTTTCAGATGCTTTGAAACCCACAACATTTGATTTCACCGACGGTCGAAGCATGTCCGGTGTATCACTGATAATCTCATTAGCCATTTCTCAAAGCAATCAGCCGTTTCTCAGGGCGCCATACGCCAGCTTCAACTTCAACTTCACGTCGCTCTTTGACCCTTCAGCCATTTTGAGAATCTTGTCCCAATTGTCGGCGGTAATTAGACGATCTTTACGCCAGAACTCAATGTTTCGTGGCCAAAAGGCATGGAAGTGAGCAATAAATGCCTGGCCAGGTTAGCCACTTCAGCTGTTGCCAGGTACCTGAGATGACTTACAAACCACGTCTGGCATTCATTGGTCGCCAAAGACCACATCAGCGCTCCCCCATATGAGACGAGGATTCTGTTCATCCCGCCCGTTTGACATGGCACCGGATTCACTTTCACCGTTGTTCCTTGTAAGTCCGATTGCGACATTGTACCGCAAGTGACAAGGACGTCGGCGTTGTGTCAGCAAAGGGAAGAGGAGGGGTGGTTTTCGAGGGATACCTACTGTTACCAACGATCAGGCACCACAATTGTGAGATATGAAAACAGTAACCTCGCGGGACTTGCCCAAGTTGACAAACCGCTTGATCCATGTCTCTCTGCTGGCTACTGCGAGAATACTGAGACTGAAGCAAGGTCTGAGCCGGGAATAGCGCCGTATTCGAGGCCAAGGGGGATTCGGCATATTGTTGGAGGCGAAAGTACGGGATGCAGATCCAATTGGCTACGTGAGATTCGTCTGTTGCTTTCTTGTCGGATGAATGAATGGGGGTTTGTATGCATCGAGGCTCCATGTAGCCTACTTTCGCGCCCCGGGGTGAGTATCGAGTCTTGGCGCATTGCCGCTTGACCTCGGCTTGGAGACTGGCAACAGCATTTCTTTCGGCATCTCGAAACTGAATATGGCGAGATACTTGGACCTGGAGGAACGTCAGCGGGAATTTGCTCGGGGCCTGCAGGCTCTTTTACCCAGAATGCATCAAAGTTCATGGTCTCTTGACGAATATGACTGTACAAGGTCAGAAGCCAAGCGCAAAAGTGATGGTCTAGGTCTTGAAAGCAACTTACAGCCATCGAAACAAAGGATGCGTTTGGCCTCGAAGATCATGAAGGACTGTCAGATCAGCTTCATGTTGGGCCCCGAGCTCTGCAGTTCCAGAATAGCTGGAAGCAAAAATTCCCGGTGCAGTAATGACACTTGACAGCGGACTCTGGACTTGTTGCGTAGATTCGCTCTCAGTCGTTGGAGCCTCCAATTCGGAGTCCGTGTCTTTCGACGGATCTTTTGTAGGAAATGTAAACTGGAATTCATCAAACGTGTCGATATCCTCGATGATGGGGCTCACAGGCCGACGCCTGACATAGTCATGCCTCTCGACATTGGGTTTGCCATAGTACATCCCATCGTGGGCAGCATCCGGGGCCTGATCATCCGGTTCACCACGCCATTCGTCATCATATACTCTGCTTTTGTCAATGCGCTCATCGTCCTCGCCATCTGAAGAGTTCGCATGACTAAGACCAGTAGGGGATTCAGTAATGACGACTCTCTCGATCCTCTCCCGGTTGAGTTCAACCCCTGAATGTTCTCTGCGTGAGCTTCGCTGTCGTCGATAATGGGCCGTGGGAAAGGGCCTTGCATCTCCTCGGGCGCGAACCACAACTGGTCGTGTGGCAGCCTCTACTTCTTCAGCATAGTCACGACGACTGAGGTAGTCCCCCTCGGCGTGCGGCTCTGGCCCCCACGAGTCTTCGAAATCCAGGCCATCACGGCGTCCACGCGGTGCCTCACTGTCCGCAGCCCGTCGTCGTTGCGGCAGCTACAAGTTTTCGTTTTTCGTCTGGTGAGCTGTTGCCGTTCATCTCACTCAAGCCATACAGCCGTTCAAGAGGGCGTACGCACCTGGTAAGCTTCGGAGCCCCCAGTGGAGCGGCGCGGGCGTTCGCGGCGCCCTCTGGCGTCGTGCGCCATGGCTTCCGAGTATTTTATCTGCAAACAATATGCCAGCAAAGCCGAGGCTCTGGCCTGACTCAGACAGTCGAATCTGCTAATAGATCCAGGAACATGGAGACGAGAGTTTGGCTAGATGGCGCGCTTGATGATACCCACAGGCACCAAGCAGGTACACGGAATCTTGATGTTACAGGTCAGCTTGGGCTCTCCGATCAGTCACAACTTAGGACGATGGTCACCTCGACTTGCCGTGTCGCTTCTCTGCCTCTTCTCTGCCTTTTGTCCATCTCTTCTCACCGCTTCGATCAAGAGTAAGTGGAATACTAGTAATAACTTTCAGCCTCAGGCTCGAGCGAGGCTGACACCAATCGTGCACTCGATGGGCAACACATGACCGGGATGCAGCTGCCTTGCAGGGATTCGTCTAGCGGCACGAAGCGCAAAGTACTTTTTCCTCAGATGCATCTCCACTTTAAGAGAAGAGAAGGAAGGATGGGGTCAAGATCCCTCGAATTGACGGCAGCACTTCAGTTGTACAGCACAGTTGCATGCGCAAGAGGTACCTAGGTAGATGGTACTTGCTGCTGCTGGTCAAGGCTGTGTGCGACCAGGGTGTTTGATACAAGCTGCCTGGAGGCAAGAACAAGGGGGCACTTTAAGTCTATGTGAGTAAGGCAATGCTTGCACTGAAGCGACAAAAGAGAACCTGAAGGAATTTTGATGCTCGAAAGCTGGATGTTTGCGATAAAGCTCTGGATTCAAGTATAGAGGCAGAGCCTCTTCTCCAAGTCTGATTGTCTGATGTAGCGAGCATCAACAGCAAAGTTCAAGTTTGCTTGAAAGCGGCAGAGATAACGACGTGGCTTTGCCGAGGTGCTGAAAACTAGTCATCCAACAGAGCCACCTGAAGTTCACATGATACGGCACGCCAAGTCGCCCGTCGAAAGCCTCGTGGGGAGCATATCGATCTGGTGGGCTACCCTTTGCCAGGGCTGAGGCGCTGATATCACAACAACGCCAAGACAAACTCCCTCCGGTCTTGCCAGAGGTTTCGTTCGAAACCACCTCAGCCTACAGATTGCGTTAGGTAAGGCATCCCATCCCCGGTCCCAAGCAATCCATCCACTGATACGTATGGACACAGTCTACCGTGATCCTTCGGCGCCTTGCTGCAGTTGATGGTACATCTGCAACCACACCATCTGCGTGACACGCATCACAAGATTCAAGAGTAAAAAAAAGGGCCCGGCCCAGCTCAGCTCAATGAGGTCTAAGGCGAGTCGTTCGTTGCTCAAGGCACGAGGGCTAATTGGCGCCTGGGCTGGTTCCCCACCGTTCCCCTACTTTTAATTTACGAAGGGCGGCGTGCAGCAGCCAGAGCTGCAGGGGGGCCAAAGCGGTGCCTTGCTGGGATGGACCTTGAAGAGAATTGCCGCTGAGGAGCGCGTCAGCCGCCATTCCGTGCAGAAGAGGCCGTCGACAGAGCAGAGGACGGAGCACCAAGCCTGCACGAGCGCGCGCTGGGGGGCAAACCCGGAGATTGCTAGCCCATCCGGCGGGGGCCCTGGCATCATGCAAGGAGAACGACGCTCCCAAGGCTCCGTCCTGGCGCTTGGCTGGCCTCGTTCATTTGTGACGCTGTCAATAGAGCATGGGGCTAGTAGCAGCTCTCTGGCGCCTAGCCGAATCTCCTGCGCATGAAATGAGGACATGCGCAGAGACGGGTTAGTTTCTCCGTCTCATGAACAACCCGAGCCTCACGGGGGAGCAGTGCCAATTCCAGGTTGGCGGTCATGTCGAGCTCAGGCATGATCTTGATTCAATGGACTGGCAGGCAGGTTCAGCATCACAATACGATCTGGAGGACGAGGAAAAAAGAAATTCAAGAGGAGTGGAGAATCAGGCCAGCAGGCAATGGTTCCGAAGGGCCCGAGCAAACGGCACGGCCTCGATTTGATCTGAGCGGACGCCGGTTTTCTGCTCCATCTCTAGGCGAGTCGAGAGCTGCCGTCAGCTGTGGATGCCAGACATCCAAGAACATTCCAGAGGCAAAGTTGTGGGGATCGAAGAGCAGCCGTGCCGGGAGACTCGAAAAATGTCTTGGATGCTTGTACAGTACACGTACTATCGCTGACGGAGGTGATGGATACCTAGGTAAGGAGAGACGAGATATGACGGGAGAAGAAGCGCGGCGGACGTGTAGCGACGTGGCCATGCGGAAAGCTTTTTGAAGGGGGTTCCCATCTCGGAGGGACCTCTGCATAATGTACCCCCGGCCTCCATGAGCACCGGGCAATCAAAGGCAGCAATACCTAGTGGGCAGGTACCATCTGATCCCAGCACTCGTAGCAGGCCGCTGCAGCGCTGTTTCAATGTGTTGTCGTTCCAACTTACTGCCCAGCTTGACATCACCGCCCTTGGTGGTACGAGAGAATCTGCCGCGCATCCATTAAATCTCATCTCCTCTGCTGCGTACAAATTTCGGCCAGTCTCTTTCCTTTGCTGTGACCCGTGCCCACTGGCTTCGGCTGACCTCCGCCCCGGTCCAGCAATCTTCCTCCTTATCTCTCTCTGTTTCCTGCATCTCGTTCGTATTGGGCTCGAGGGCCGATCACCCAAGGGTACGGCTGTCCATCAACAGTCGATCCACGTCGACCACGATCATCGCCTCTGTCCGGGCTAGCCAATCCTCGCCTTATTAGCCGAAGCAGGGGAAGCCAAGGCGACGAACGGAAGCCTCGAGGCAGAAGAAGCGAATCGGCCGACGAAAGAACAAAGAAGACAGAGAAAGAGAATAGTAATAACAAAGGGGAAAAGAGTCGAGACAGGATCCAGTCCTGCTGGCAGACGGCTGATCTCTCCAGGAGCACCGCTGCCTTTTATTAGTGCTGCGACCCGAGTCCGTCTCCATCTGTTTCTCCCTCGCCCACCCCCTGGTGCCTGGACCTGGTCACAGCGCTCCCTCTTCTTTCGCTCTCGCCTCCACACTTGGCTTCATGAGAACAGGCCCCCGTCACGGTACTTAGACGTGCATGCAGCGCGGATCCAGGGTGAAGCGAAGCAGGCATTGCCAACAAGGAACCGGCAGACGAGCTCAGACAGCCGTCCTCCACCTGAAATTGGCCTCCCCACGCACGCCATAATAATATCTGCACTCAGGCGTGGGCACGAGCTCCGGCACCAGGCGCCCGACACCCTGTCGCAGACACAAGACGGGCTTGAATTGCGACTACTAGACTAGTCCTAGCAGCAGCAGCGTCGCCGCCATTCGCACGACTGCATACTTTTGCGCAGGCAAGAGTCTCGGCAGCACGCGGTTTGCCGTCAAGGCACTGACTCCTGACACCTACACACATCCGTCGACTCTTGACGCTGGTCTTTGCCCTGACCGGCATCACAGCAGCATCGCCACCGGCACTGGCCCCGGCACTGGCATTTGCGCCGACGAATCGACAAGCTTGCCTCGTCGTCGTTGTCTGTTGTCTGTCCGGCAAGCCCAACGGCCATCCGTGCCCGCCCCGAACCTGATACCCAAACAACCAATCCCGTTCGCCTCAGCTGCTGCGAACCTCGCGTCCATGTCGACGTCGCCAGTCAGCTCGTTTTCTGGCAGGGCGCCAGCCAAAACCAGGTGAGCAGCGAAATCCAAGGACCAGAGAAGCGACCGCACCCCCCTGGCTCCCTACTAGTCTGAGAACCCAGAAGCCGTTGTCTGTGCTTCTTCGCTAGCCCGCCTTTCCTACCCTTTCATCCAAGCCAAAACCATTGCAGACAGACATACCTACGTCGCGCTCCTTGTGCATACCATACCTCACACTTGAACACAAGAGTCCACCCTCTGTCTCTCTCTCTTACACACACTCTCTCTTTCTTGACGAGTGCCGCCATTCACCTCCTTGTTCCTCGGCCGTTGGCACGGGTTCCTGGAAGAGCACTGCACTACATACCTACTACTACGCCTACTACACTCACTGCTTTCATCTCACCTTGCCCCTGACCCCTACCACCACGGTGAATCGCGGCTCGAACGTTGCGCAAGGGTTGCCCCGTCTATATTTGGGCCCCCCGGTTTCATCTTGCCGCTTACCATACCTTTCTTAATTGCGATTTCCCGGTGTCACGGAGTACGGATTGACCCTCCAGTCCCAAGTTGCTTGCTACCAATCGTTTCGTGTTTTGCTTTGCTTGGCCTGCCTCGGTTCTTCTTTGTACTCTTTTGTCAACTTTACTTGCTTTTTCTCTTCTTCTTTGCCTCTTGCTGACGCTGATGCCCCGTTCCGGCGTAAACACAGATCCTCACGCCCTTCGATACCGAGCCCATTGTCGTCGCCGAGCTACACGGCTTCCTCGCTGACCACGCCCAGTCCTCCTTGGTCGAGTGCTGCCACAGGCCACAGGCGTCCGCCGCCCATTGACACGCGACCTCCTGGGAATACGACCCCATCCTCTGCTGGACACACCACGTTCTACTCCGACTCGTCCAGCCCCTCCAGCCCAGACGAGGAGAGTCCCAGGTATGTCGCCGCCATGTGAATGAATAACCGCACACCCTGTCTAGATGCAGAAGGAAAGACTAGAGGGGACTGTGGTTGATGAGGAAGACGAAGGAGGAGAGGGCGTAATAGCCTGCGGTCGATGATAACGGAACACGTTCTAACACGCGCTGCAAACCAGACCATCTCCCAACGCCGCCCCGAATGATACCCGAAACTTCCAGAGACCTCTGAACCCGAAGCCTACTGAAGGCTCGTCGAGCAAGGCTCCGAGCTCAGCAATGGCTAGTGCGACGACATCCACCGCGGCCGGCGGTGCTGCTGCAGGCCTGCCTCGCAACTCCTCCATCGACAGTGCCATTTCTGCCGCCTCTTCGAGCGCGCAGGCGAACAACGCCGCTCAAGCCCAAGCAAATTCGGAAGAGATTGCGAAGTTGATCACAACTGCCGGAAGTCCCGAGGCTGTGATCCAGTACCTGCTCAAGGAAAAGCAGTCGCAGGCGCAACAGAACAGCCAGCTATGGCGTCTGGTGGATAAACAGAGGGCCATGATCCTGGGGCTGAATAAGGACTTGGAGGCCGCCCTCAAGGACAAGGAAAAGTACCGGAAAAAGCTGAAAGAACTGATGGCGAATCCCTTGTTACTAAAGCCATCCGGTAGCCAGGATGACAAGAAGACTGCAGATGCGCACGACGATGCACTCCTGCTGCGCCAGGAAGTCGAGTCGCCAAAGGAACCCCCAGCACCATTGCCCAACACCCCCAAGCTGGATACCGAGAGCCTGGGCTCGCCGGTGGACATGGCTCTGGCTCCCTACCCAATAACCCCTCCCGCAGACCGATTGCATGCACCTCCTTCAGCTGTATCTGAGCTCTTGAACCCGACGGAAACGATGCCCGAGCCTCAGGAATATGCTCTGGACCATTATGACCACGAGGCAGAAGAGCAGGCCGAAGATAAGGCGCGGAGAGAAAAGAACAATGAACAGCTGAAAAATATACCGTTCGATACATCGCTGCCGCCATCGCGCAGCCTGCCGAGCCACCCACCCCAGAAGCCGCCGCCGAAGCCTCCCGCCGCCGACGCTCCTCCGACCGTGACGATCATGGGCCCCACGCCACAGCCAGACGAAGGCCTCAGCAAGTTTCCCTCTCCACCGCGGAAAGCACCCCCTGCGCCTCTCCAGCTCAGACAGGAGATTCAACGCCATATGGACTCTTCTAGCGCTGTTGAAGATGCCGATTCCGATTACGACGACATCTCTGAGGTTGACGAAATCCTTCCAGAGAAGCGTGGCCGCCGACGTACGCGCGAGGAAGACGATCGCGAGCGTGAGGTGATTGCCATCCAGGAGGCAGAGGCGCGAAGTGTCTCTAAGCAGCCTGATGCCGGAAAGGGAGAGGCTGCCAACTCTAAAACCCCCTTGAGCCCTGCATCTGTGCCGGCCAGCTTGCAGCCGGGGATGCCAACCGCGTCCTTGGATGCTGTGCTCAGCGGAGCCAAGCCAAAGGAGCTGACCGCTCCCGTCCTCAGTCCCGGCTTGCCTGCAAGCCCTAGGCCGTTCGGAAACCCCAAAATGACACTCGGCAACCCCCCGTTGTCTCCAAGAGGGGGTCCGTTATCGCCTCGGCCTCCACGACAGGCCATCCCCATGCCGCCTGGCACGCCTCTGGTGGTGCCGCCCACTGCGTCACTCGGCGATGGAAATCCGCTGAAGAGGGCGATGGAGGCCGGGGACTATTCAAAGGGCGCGTCGAGCCCAGTGGAAAGGACGGCCATTTATAGAGGCTTGGTGACTGATGAGTACCCCGATCTCTTACTGCCGCCAAACGCGTTGCCATCCATCGCCATAAGGGTTGCATCGTCCCGTATGAAGCCATCCAGAGCAAGCCTCTTGTCGTTGACTCAGCTCGAAGAGGATCCGGTGTTTACGCTTGCCATCATTTCGCGGGCTGACGGGGGTGAGCTATGGCGCGTAGAGAAGGACTCTGCATCTTTGGCCAAGCTAGACCAACGGCTGAAGCAGTGTCCTGCGTTTACGGCCAGAACTCCGGACAGGTCTTTGTTTACCGGCCATGCCCCCGCCAAGATCGATGCCCGCAGAGCCGTGCTAGATCAATACATGGACGAGCTTCTGAATACGCCGCTTGACACCCCAACGGCCCTGGAGCTCTGCAAATACCTGTCGAACCATACCCTGCCTCCCAACGCCGATGAGACTGGACAAACGTACAAGCCAAAGGATGACAACTCTTCGATTCGATCAGATGGCCGACCCACCCGCAATGGTTATCTCACCAAGAAGGGGAAGAACTTTGGCGGATGGAAATCACGTTTCTTTGTTCTCAACGGGCCTCTTCTGAAATACTATGAAACTCCGGGCGGCGCGCATCTCGGCACCATCAAGCTTCAGAACGCTCAAATCGGAAAACAATCGCACAACAGCGACGCCAATACCCCGACGTCCAACGGCAACGACGAGGAGCTGGACAGTCAATATCGCCACGCTTTCCTGATCCTCGAGCCTAAGAAGAAGGACTCCAGCAATCACGTCAAGCATGTCCTGTGCGCCGAGAATGACCGAGAAAGGGACATCTGGGTCGATAACCTGTTGCAGTGGATTGACTACCGAGAACCTGAGGAGGATCAACATGCGTCTAGACCAACTGTGCACGATCGGCAGACATCCGGAGACCAGCTCAACAGCGCCGGCAAGTCCAGGAAGGGAAGCAAAGCAGGCCAGCAGCAGCATCAAACGGCGGGTTCAGACACGCTGATTGGAGTGAGATACGACTCTACTCACGCTGGCGATGCGCCGCACCAGGGCAACCACGGCAACCGGCCAAAGACAGCCGGCAGCCAAGGCGAGCAACACCACCATGCCAGCACGGATTCGCACTCAAGGCTCATCTCCGCGCCTAAAGATCCCCAAGTGATTTCGGACGCCTCGTCGTGGGGAAGCAAAATGAACTTAGCGGCGCCGCCGCCCGCACCGGCTCCTTCTCACGATGAGAAGAAGCAGCGAAAGCGAAGTTTCTTTGGCTTCGGTCCCAAGTCACGCACTTCGTCGGATGGCCAGGAGTCCATGTTTGGAGGCAGCGAAAGCGGCTCTGGTGCGACTCCGCCACAGAACGGCTACCACGGCCCGGTGCGCCATGTGTTCGGTGCGCCCCTGGCAGAGGCCGTGCGGTACAACCCTCCGGTGGACGTGGATGTGCCCCTGCCCTCGGTTGTCTACCGCTGCATTCAGTATCTGGAGGCTCAAAACGCGATCCTTGAGGAGGGCATTTTCCGGCTTAGTGGCTCGAATGTCGTCATCAAACAGCTTCGAGAGCGGTTCAACAACGAAGGCGACATCAACCTGGTTACGGACGAGCATTACTACGACATCCACGCAGTGGCGTCTCTCCTGAAGCTATACCTGAGGGAGCTTCCCACTAGCATCCTGACGAGAGATCTCCATCTGGAGTTTATGTCGACGACGACGGAGATCACGGACAAGAGCGAAAAGATGGTGGCTTTGGGCGAGCTTTGTCAACGGCTGCCCCAGGCGAACGCAACGCTGCTCAAGTACCTGATTGCGTTTTTGATCAGAATCATCAACAACTCCGACGTCAACAAGATGACGGTGCGGAACGTGGGTATCGTCTTTTCGCCGACGCTCAACATTCCTGCGCCTGTCTTTGCCACGTTCCTGCAAAATTACGAGGCCATCTTTGGAGTTGATCCGGAAGAGTACGAGCTCCCTTCTCCCGTCTCGGAGACGGGAAGCCACGGTCGATCGGAGTCTACGCCGCGCTTTGACCAACCGCCGGGTCGTCCGTCCACGTCGTCCGGCAGCGCCTCTCCCCGGCATCAGCCGTGGGGAGATATGCGGGATCCGACTAGATCGACACCGACGCCTCCTCTGTTGATGAACCTGGGCCCTGCTCGCGGGTCACCAACACCGCCCGCGGCGTCTCGCCACAGTTATGAACCCTCTTACCTCACGCATCCGAGCCCCAGGGCAGTCTCCAACCCGCTGCAGGACACGAGCGGCGGCTCGGACAGCCATTTCTCACAGCCACCGCACCGAGCCAGCCCTGCATACGAACGATCCCTGCTCCCCGTGACTGCGGAAGACCAGACAGGAAACGCAAACCTTGCTGCGTACGACCAAGGAGGCAGGAATAGGCGTCGGGAGAGTACAATCATGATGGGTGGCTCGGGCTCCAAGAGTCGCTTGCGCGAAGAGACGCATTATTAATCGTAATACTTTGCTGCAAAGGAAGCCCCTCTCTGTGTTTTGATTGTTATTTGCTATTATCACCATTACTTCGCATGCAGGACATACCCCCTCTGTTCACTCATAGCGATGATACCACGTCGATTGTTTTCAAGTTCTCAATCCTTGTTCTACCCATCTATCCCCCAAGTCGGCAGCGGCATCATTTACCGGCATCCATCCTTTTTATCTTCCTTCACTTCGCTTTACCCCTAGCTTCACTTCATTCTTTTCTCTGCGAGTATCATGTCGCTTTCTGTTTTCTGAACCCTCAAGAATACCATGATTGGATCAGGCATGAAGGAGCATCGTCTTCTTCTTATTCTATTTATTTTCCCACGATTTATTGGCCTTGTGTGTGTGTGTGTGTAAATACGTTGCAGTCCCAGATCGGCTGGGCAATTAGCAGTTAGGGTCTTACGCGTTATTTGAGGCTGTTTGTCAGTTTGACTGGGGAAGATACCAGTCGTGGAGTTTGTGCTGAGCTTTTCTTCGGGGGGTTCGGCGATGTTTTCTTGTTTCATTGCGTCTGTTCTGCATTCTTCTGAAGACCATTTTTTGGAGGCCGAGTCGAGGCTCGGGCCATTTCAGTACCAGTTGATACAGCATGGAAGTCATACATTGGCCAGACGCATTCAGGGCGCCTACAATAATAAACGGATGGCAGGCTGCTAGCCCTACTAAGTCTTACTATGTCATATGCTTTAACGGGGTGCTGCTTTGTTCTGTCGGTGAAAGGGCGCTGCTCGCCTGTTGCTCTTGGTGCTGTGGGTGGTCATCATGTTGACGCCACCTCCAGTGCTCTGACAACTTTGGGGCAATTCATAAGAGGCTCGTGACGCCGATCATGGGGGAGATGAAGCATGTCCAGACTGCGTGAGGCATATATCGTCTGGCGGTGCCGTGATACTACGACCGAGTAGGCAAGTTGCCAGAACTTGTTTCGGAGAAGCAGGGGCTATGAATAGCTCTCGGTTGGTTAGGCACGGCTCTTGAGAGATTGTTACCCCGGACTTTTTGTTCCTTTACGTCTTCCTTGCATATGCATGTGCCTTGAATTCTGGTCGTTTCAGTGTAGTATCCAGTCCCCTGATTCTGGTTAGAGTACTACTAGGACTTATCTGGGGTAATACTATCAGGCACCTGATTCTCCTCGTTGGCCTTTGGCCGTCGGCAGTGCCGGATCAGCCCAACTAGGGCTGAAGACGAAGACGGGAGGAGGATGGGTTGGTCTGAGCTCATTACAGGTTGTAAGCGATGAGGGTATTTTGCGATTGGATGGGACATGCATGGCCTCCTTTTTTCCGTGGTCGCTTTTCAATTAATTGCTCAATTGGACTTTCTGTGGTTTTGAACGATGTTCATTTTCCGAGGAGTTGCTCTTCTATATTTGTGATAGAGCTTGTCGGTTGTGACCTTTTGTACATAGCTGAACCATACTATTAGTGAACCTTTTGATGCGTGCTTTTCTACAATCAGTCAGTCTCTCCTTTTCTGCTCGTGGGAACTGCCTCTTTGCCGCTCTTGTTTCCGCCAATTAGAAGCTAGCAAGGTAAAATAACAATAATAATAATGAGGATTTCCTCGGTGCTCTGTTTCTTTTCATTCTCACCTCTTGAACAAATCAGACAACGACGGAACTTGCACCCAAAAGCCTCGCTTACATAAGCCACTGCGTTTCCAACTTATCTTTCGGTACTCAGAAAGAGTCGGCAAGTCGGTGGTTGAACGCGTCGGACACCGGAGGCCAAAATCGCCGCTCGAACCCAATTCTGTATACTACCTACCATTCCGTCGCCCAAGCAGCGGCAACCAAAAAAGAGAGAGAGAGACAGGCTGTTGGGTGTTGGTTGGAAACAGCCTATACCAGAACCGAACAGCTTCTCTGGTTCCGAATCGCGGGAAGGGGAGAGTAGAGAGAAGAGAGAGAGAGAGAGTGTGTGTGTGTGTGTGGTGTGTGTGTGTCTTTATTCTCTTCCTTCTTCCTTCTTCTAGTTCTTCTTCTGACCTCCTCCGTTGTGTGTGTCTTTTGCCTCCCTTTTTTATATGGACCTCGATCCACGGCTGCGGCCTGGAGATGGGGAGGCAGCCGGGGTGAGCAACTCGACTCCGAGCCCGGCCGGCTTGGTCTCGAGCGCCTCGTTGCGCGGGCGAGACAATGCCGACACGCCGTCGTCGTCAACGGTGGGCAGCGGCACGCCGCAGTATCACCACCAGCTGGGCGCCGCAGCCGGAGCCGGAGCCGGAGTCGAAGAAGCTGGCGTTGCACCAGGAGCGTCATCGTCATCAGCAGCAGCAGCTTCAGCAGGAGGAGGAGGAGGAGGGGCTGCTGCTGCGGGCGAGGGAGATGCGAAAAAGTCGAGGGCGTGCGAGGCCTGCCGCGGGCTCAAGGTGCGCTGCGAGCCGGACGCCGTCGAGGGCGAGCCCTGCAAGCGCTGCCGCAAGGCCGGCCGCAGCTGCGTCGTCACGGCGCCCACGCGCAAGCGGCAGAAGAAGACGGACAGCCGCGTGTCGGAGCTGGAGAAGAAGATTGACGCCCTGACGGCCAGCTTGCACGCCCGAGCTGGCGGCGTCGTCGTGCCGGGTCTGATGAGTAGCAACAACAACCCGCCGGTTGGGCAGCCTCATCACCCCCAGCCTCAGCATCATCAACATCCTCCACCTCATCACCCTCATCAGCCTCAGGCGCGGCATCAGTCGGATATGTCCTCGTCTGGCGGAGGATATCCAATGTTCGCAGCATCGACGGGAGTCGGAGTAGGAGGGGGCCCAGGAGGAACAGCAACGGGATCAGCGAGGCCATGGACTGGAGGAGGCATGGAGGCGTCGCCAATGACGCAGTCAGCACAGACGCCGCCCACGCGGACACCGCAGGACGACGTATCGGCGTTTCAACCGCCCATCGTCATGGCTGGCCAGAAGAGAAAGGCGCACGATCGCGAGGGGCCGAGCGGCGACGACCACAAGGCCATGACGCCGTCGACCAGCTGGTCGGGCTTCTCCAGGCCCACCGAGGGCGACATCGTCGACCGGGGGCTCGTCACCATGGAGCACGCTACGGGCCTGTTCAACAAGTACAAGGAGCACATGGTGCGGCATCTGCCGGCCGTCGTGTTCCCTCCCAGCACGACGGTCATGGAGCTGCGCAAGACGAAGCCAACGCTGTTCTTGGCCATCATGGCCGCCGCCACGGGCGAGAACCACTCGCTGCAGCGCGTCCTGCAGCGCGAGCTGATGCAGCTGTTCGCCGAAAAGGTGATTGTCACGGGCGAGAAGAACCTGGAGCTGGTGCAGGCCTTGCACGTCGCCGTCATCTGGTACTGGCCGCCCGAGCACTTTGAGGAGCTCAAGTTCTACCAGCTCGTCCACATCGCCGCCGTCATGGCCATCGACATTGGCCTCGGCCGCAAAGGGGGCTCGAGGCGTGGCCCGCCGCCTTTCCGTCGCAACCCGCCGCCCGATCCCTGCAGCATCGAGTGTCGCCGCACCTGGCTGACGTGCTTCTTCCTGGCCCTCAACACGTCCATGTCGCTGCACCGCCCGAACCTGATCCGTTGGACGCCCTTCATGACGGAGTGTCTCGAGATTCTCGAGTCGTCGCCCGACGCGGCGCCCACGGACAAGTACTTTTGCCACCTCGTATGGACGCATCGCCTGGCCGAGGAGGTTGGCTCGCAGTTTTCGCTCGACGACCCGTCGACGGTGGTCAATATCACCGATGCTCGGACGCAGTACGCGCTGAGGGCCCTGGAGAGGGACCTCGACAAGTACATTGCGTCGATTCCTAAGAATATGATGCAGCGTAAGTCCTCCTTTTTTCTTCTTGTGTGAGAGTGTTGTGCTGTACTAACGAAGATGACTGGAAAAGACACCCTTCGTCTCAACTTCAACGTTGTCAACCTCTACATGCATGAGATGGCCCTTCATTCCGACTCGACGGGGGACAATTGGCGGCCGCCCTTCAACACAGAAGCTCTCAAAGATGGCATCGTCAACTCCGAGCCCCTATCTGCCGCCCACATCAACGCGCTTTCAGCCTGCCTAACGGCCATTGATGGCATCTTCAACACCTTTCTGTCCATGGACGTCACGAGCATCCGCTGCCTGCCCGTCTTCAACTTCATGAGAGTCGCGTACGGAGTCGTCATCCTCATCAAGATGTACTTTTCCGCCTCGAGTCCCGGCTCGGAAATGGGCAAGGTGATTCACAAGGACAACATGCGAGTCGAGTACTATCTCGAGGCCCTGCTCGACAAGTTCCGGGCCACGGCCGCCGACAACAAGTGTCGCCCTGCCGCCAAGTTCCTGGTCGTGCTGGCTATGCTGCGCAGCTGGTTCTTCAAGCAGGGCAAGGGGGAAGGGGGCGGATCAGCGGCTTCTGACGATGGCGGTGCTTCGTCATCTTCATCACAGCAGCAGAGGCCATATGCATCCCAGGGAACAACACAGCAGCAGCAGCAGCATATTCAGCAACAATTACAACAGCAGCAGCAACAAATACATCAAACGCATCAAGCTCAACACATGCAGCAACAACAACAACAACAACAACAACAACAACAACAACAACAACAACACTCGCGCCAACCAAACGTCAACACTCCTCTCCAGCTCCTCTCCGAAGTCGCAACAACAGGCCGAGACGGCGGCACCGCATCCCGCCTCTTTGCCAGCCTCAACGGCGCCCACCAGCACCACCCCCAGCCCTTCTTCCACGACTCCGTCTCCTCAACCACCGACTCGGCTCCCGCTCCCGCCTCCGTCTCCAACACAAACAACAACACCAACCCCTCCTCCGCCGCCACCATGCCTCCTCAGCAAATGCCCGGCCCATCACCCTCCTCCACAGACCTCGACTCCGCCATGGCCCCCGCCTTCCCGCCCTGGATGTCCGCCGCCCAGCCCATGCTGCCCGCCGACCTCGACGTCGTGGCCGGCGCCCTGCCGACCAACTTTGACATTGAGGGCTTGAACCTCGCGGCCTCCGACCTCCAGGACATGTACGAGAGCGGGGCCAAGATTGTCATGAACGAGCCCTGGTTCACGGATGCGTTCCAGGGGCTGCCCGATCCGAATCTGTTTCCCTTTTGATCTTTGCACACACTTCAAGCACTGCAAAAAGGGGAAGAATGGCGGAATTGAACCATGTGACGAAGATCTTTCGAGGAGAATGTCTTGAAATGGTTGTGTATAGCTTGCACATGTATTACATGTATGACGTCGTGGACTGGGAAGAATAGGGGATCTTACCAATGTAACCCCTTGAAGATACCTACCTTACTAGGTGTCTGTCTTTTGTTGTTGTTGGGCTCCTATCTATTCCCTGCGCCTCACTTTTGGCTGCTAGTAGGCGGTCCGGTGCTTCTTGTTGCATCTCGACTGGACTGGACTGGACTGGACTGAACTGGGTCCTTCAGCTAACAACTGACCCCCTCGATTGGGGGAGTTTAGTATTTACATCCAACCCATGGGGGGAGCTTGTACACTCCTCCTTTTCTTGTTTCATCGTTCAAAATACCCATTGTTGTGCCTGTCTATTCTATTTATAAGCAACGTGCGCGTCCATGCAAATTGTCTGACATGTCAACGAATTTACGGAGAAGTTTCATTTGTATAAAGAAATCAGCTCATGACGGAATCGAAATCTGTGTCAATCAGGTATACATGACACATCAAAGCAATCTTCAGTCGATGCGTGCTCAACTCAGGAGATGTACAATCAATTTTTATGAAAGCGTCGGCTGCTTCAATACAAACTCAAACACAAGGTAAAAGCAATCTTCCCTCTTTGAAACCTCGCAATCAATACATGTCCCTCCAGTTGCAGCCTCTCGTCGTTTCGAGATGCTAACCAGCGACGCCGACGCCAACATTGTCTTCCCCTGTCCCTCCTTGCCCCGCAAGTCATGCTTCATTCCTCAGACCCTGTCCGCCTACATCAACCACCACAGACGCTGCTAGTTATACACGAGTTGAAAACTAAACCTCACGGCATCCTTGCGTATCTCTTCCACTGCTATCATAGTTGATGAATGAGTCGTCAAGACCGCGCCGCTGCGATCCCCCAGAATCTTCACACACATCGACATGATCGTGGATGTGCCCATAAGATCCCCCACCCCCTGCTAACGTCGAACGAAGTGTCCATTTCATGACAACAAGCCTTTGCCTTCCTTTGGTTGTTCGTTCCCGTCCCCGTCAATGTCAAGTGCAGTGCATAAAGTATGCGACTGCTTCGTAAGAGAATATCTGTGTAAGAAGTCTCAAATCGTACAAAGAAAAACTTGGCGATCGTACGCCAGCAAACAATCGAGCCCTCATAAATCCGTTGGTGCCGCTAACCAAAAGCTGAATGACGCAAGATGCCATCATAAAAGAAGATAAAACGCAATGCAATCATGAACATCGCCAGCTCAGCCTTGATGCCGAGGCAGCCATAATCTGTAGAAGATTTGCAGGCAGATGGCGAGTGTGGGAAAACCGTAAACAGAAAAGAGAAAGAAATGAACACAGTGAACAGGCCGAACGATGAAATCGTCTGCTCAGATGGGTGAACCTTGATCGTGTCAAGCAGCTTTGGTCGTCATGACGTAACCACGGTCTGACACATCGGTATGCAGCGATTGTCGTATTTAATCCATGTAAAAGTCGCCCTTGAGAATTCTTTCCTGGAAAGCATCCGGCTTTGGGCGTTCATGTTGCTTGGGAGGCTTGACAGAAGATGCCTGCGCGGGAGGCTGCGGCATGTCGGAGATGGACTTTGAACGGTCGTGGGTGGGCACTGCCCTCGGGGGAGAGTGGGAGCCGGCGCCCTGGAAGGAAAAGGAAGGGCGGGCCCCGGTAACGGAGCTTTCGGCGCGAGTTCTAAGCTGTTCGGACCAATTGAAGCCAAACTGGTCTGCTCGAGAAGGGGGATTGTCAGAAGAGGCTCTCGGATGCTGAATGTTGCTTGCCTGAGAAGATAAGGGGGGCACATGAAGGCTGGACCGGCGTCCAATAGCGGGCCAGGCGGCAGATATGGAAACCTGACGCTGGTGCGGCTGGGACTGGGAGAGTAACGGGAGCCACTGATCCGCCTGACCGCCCTGGTTGCGTCCGAGTGATGACGGGGGAGGGGACTTTGGGGATTTACCATTTCCGGGGCTGCTTCCTGTGCGCAAGTTTCTCATGGCAGAGTTGCCTCCGAAACTCATGTGCCGGGCAAAGGGCGTAGTCGGGGCCGTTCTAGGGCCAACGAAAGCATCCTCGTCTTCAATGGCATTCTCTTCAAACGAGTCCGAATTGGAGTTGGTGGACATGCTGCCACGCCGCATGAAGGAGGAGGTGTTTGTGGGCGAAGTGCCAGAGAGGCCGATGGTGGTGATTGATAAGCGGCGCCTCTGCGAGTCTGCACTGCCATTGCCGCCGTTAAAGGACGACCCATTTGGTACATTCGAGGGGCCTCGCTGAAAGAGGTTCGACAGGGCCGCCTGAGTGATTGAGCTGCGGCGGTGGGGGCCAGGCCCGGGGCCGGAACCGTTTGGAGACGTATCAGACATTGTTCTAGGCGGAGGGGCGGAAAGCAGAGATAGAGTCTGCGAGGAGAGAAAGATAAACAGTGACGGTATGAAGGAGGCGCGACGAAGTGAAGAAGTAACAGGCAACGAAGCAGACGAGACACACGAAGGCCCTGGCGATGGCGGTTTGCCGGGCACAGGGAGCCTAGGGTGGTGAAGCTGCGAGTCGTTTGCGCGCGGCGTGCCTTGATGATCCGTGGCGGGCGACCGGAGGGCGAGATTCGAGTGGACGCAGAGGCCTTGTCGGGGGCTCCGTGTGCAACAGAGTGAGAAGAGGGGAAACCACTGTCGTAGACAGCAGAGACAGTCGAGTGAGTTGGTGAGAGGAGAAGAAGAGAGAGAGTTAGAGAGGCAGGTGGGGGGGAGACTAGAGAACAAGAAGAGCGCGAGGAAGAAACTCGATGAGTAATGCAGAGGGCAAGACTATCGTTCTCTGTCCCTGTGCTCTCCTCTGGCTCTGTTCTGCTCTGGCTTGCCCTACTGACTGCGCTTTCCTTGCAGGCAGAGGCGCGAAGAAACGGTATCGCCGGCAAGCAGCTGTGAAGTAGCGTCGCCGCCGGGTCGAGAGGGGGGGAAAGGCCGGGCTTTTGTTATTGTGCGAAGAGTGCGAAGAGGATTCGAGTGACAAGGATAAGAGAAGAAGAGGAGAGGGGAGAGTTCAACGTAGTGCTGGAAGTGCTAGAGGAGAGGTGCTGGAAGCGATGAGAAGGAGAGGAAAAGAGACGGAGCGACAGGTAGCGCGATCAGCATCTGGATATGAATGGCCAGCAGGAGCGAATGGCTGCAAATGGGTGCAGAAGGTGCAGCCGGCGAGTGGTGTGAGCAGCGTAGGGAGGTGGCGTGCACTTGCGTAATGCGGGGCGTGCGTGGAGTGACCGCCGACCGCCGACCGTGTAAAGTACCTTGGGGTTCGTACCATCAATGGCGCCATGCCATGGCAGCGAGACGGGGAAGTCGCGATGGACGATTCACGGCACTGCACGAGGGGCGCCAAGCAGGGTTCAGGCGTGGGTTGAGGTACCCACAGGTATCTGGGAGCCAGAGCTGGATAAGCTGCAGCGACGGGTACGCGACGCTAGCCATGTATTGATGTCTCTTTGCGACTGCCTGTGTTAAAATGGCTAGTAGTGGCGCAAGCTAAAACACTAGCAGGAGCTACTCAGGCGCAGGTGTGGCCAGAGGTATCTCGGTGAGGGGGCTGCCTTGGCAGTGGGCCGACTCGAGGTCAGCGATACCGGGCGAGACTGCGATGCCCGAGAACGGAGATCAGCTCAGCAGTACCGGAAGCAGCGCCGTTGAGCGCCTCCCTGGCTGGATGATTGGAGAAAAGGAGGTGCAAAGAGAGTGAAGGAAGAGGAAAGAAGATGGAGATAAGAAGATGTCATGGAGCAAGAGGCCGCAAATCTTCGGGTCTTGAAGTAGTATTACCTACTCTTGTTCGACTTCGACGTACAAAGACCGTACGCGCCTGTAAACGTGTGAGCACTCATTGATGACTGAGGGCAAAGTACGAGACACAAAGTAAGCGCGAATGCATCGCGATTCTTCCAAAGGCTGATATTATTACATATTACTCCGGCTCCCTCCTGCACAGGCGTCTCTTTGCAGTAGTGCCAAAGCGTGCCAAGGCATATATTGAGACGGCATTGGCCACGGCGGAATACCGCGCGCTTTGATACAGACAGGCGAGGCGGGGTGACGACTTGTTGCATGTCGCTGCAGCATCACGGAGCACGGAGCACTCCGCCCTTTTGCTGCTGCTGCTGTTGCTGGAATCTCCGTCCAAGCACATGTCTGCAGCAGGGTGCAGAGAACGTGTCTGGAACCGCTGACAAGATGCACAAGCAAGGGGGGGACCATCAGCAACGGATGCCGCTCCGGAAGGGAGAATCTCTGGCAACGAGATACTAGCATCTACGAAGCGTGTCGTTAGACCAAAGAGAGCATGTCAGCAGCTATGCAGGTCTGGGGCACACTGTTCGCTCCCTACCTCCGCTCAAGATGAAGCATGCATGTTGTCACCAGAAGGTAGCATGTAATCTTGGGAGACGCCGAATCAACCTACTACATAGATGAGCAAGGCCCCAGAGCCGTCTCATCTCGGATGCGTATCGCCAGGTGGCCCGGCTGGGCGGGTTGGCCAAACCGACGCTGGACCAACCACAAACGTGGCCAAGAGATGCAGTGGGCGTGGCCCAGGAGATTTCCAACCTAGCTGCCGTCGTCAATGGAAGCGCTACTATCCTGTGGCTCGCTAAGAAAGGCACCGTCGACATGGCAGGGAAGCCGGACAAGAACCAACCGGCGAGAAGCCTCCAGGCTCGTCTGGACCAACCATCATCTGGCGATTAGCCTGCTTGGTGACGTGCCAATCCAGCAAGCAGCCGGTCATTGACCGAATCAGTTGCTTGATCCTCTTGCTCGCGATCGGTGGGGTTTGCGGAGACCGGCGGCCTCGATCTGACAGCGTGGGTCGCGTTTGTCTTTCAATCCTTGGGGACGTTGCCCTTTTGGACCCTGAGATGCTGCGATAGATTGTGCTCCCTTGCTCTCTGTCTAGCATTGCTCCTTGTGTTGTAGGGACTGTCCGATAATACTCTTGTTAGCACATAGTTTTTGCTGGCGAGGGGCTGCTGCCTTGTTTCGAGCAGGTGTGTCATTACTACCTAGCTCAGTCATCACAGACCTGGTCTTTTTTTGGTTCTGAAGCGGGCTACGAGTACTAATACTACTGACCTCACTCTCGTCCCTCAGGGTGGCAAGATGTGGAAATAGCTTGGCGACGATCCCCAAGCTTCTTTTCACACCAAGTGCGGGGAGCTGGGTCGTCCATCAATCTCACACGCAGCATTTGTTCCTGGTGCCATCATCGTACCATTTACGTTGCTTTGCACAATCCCTCGGCGGATGGATCGTGTCTCTCTGCTCTTCGACCTGCTCTGAGACCTGCTCTTCGACCCCTGCTTCTCTGAGACGCTGAAGGCGCTGCGAGCGGGCGTATAAAGCGAGGGGTTGCAGCACACGCGTCCGTACCGTTGCGATACCCGGAACTACTGTCTCTACTAATGACATTTCGGAGTAGCAGGTAGTCAAGGTAGAGTACTCATAGGTGAGTAACAGGTAGGTAGGTAGGTAGTAGTACCGTGTGTGCGGAGTGTTGCTCGCACAAGCACCGCCCAGTGCATTCTAGCGCAGCACAAGTGGGTGTGGACTGGCATCTTGGCTCGCGCTTCGTGCTGTTGGTCGTCGTCGTCAGAGCCGATGGGCATTAGATGGACACGCTCGTAGGTTCTCCGCAACACTTCGCCCGTTCCATCTCTGCCAGGTCAGGTAAGCTAGGTAGGTAGGTAATACTGGTACTCGTAAATGTGTAAGTACTAGTCTTGCAGGAGCTGCGTACATAGGTAGAAGGCCTCGACCGACCATTGTCCCCTCAGCGCTTGTCCGGCAGCTGGCCAGGCGGCAGACGCCGCACGTGCGTATGGAAATGTGAAAAGCTGGGGAAACGAACGCCTCAAGACATAACGGTCGGTGCCTACCCAGTACCTAGTATGGAGGAGTCGCCCGCCCTAGCGCTAGAAACTCCGTAGTAGTAATAGTATCGTATCCCCCGGACACACACACACACACACACACACACACACCTTTGGACTCGACCGTTCCTCAGATGGGTGGTGAATCCGACGCAAGCGACGATGAAAAAGGTGTGAATGTCATTTGCGCTTCGGACACGATAGAGCATGAAGCATGAAGCATGAAGCATGCGTGCCCAACGCAGCGCCCAGCGAAGCCCGCCGGCCATGCAGCCTTTTGAGAAGCAATAAGCACCTTCACCGACTGATTGCATCCGATGTCTTGGATGTCTTTTGCGTGAGCCAGTAGACCTGTGCAGTAGATAGGAGGTGTAACTGCACGAAGATGTCAAGTTGCAGATGGGACGGGGCGGCACTAACCTTGGGAGAGAACCAAAGAGATCTCGCAGCTTGGCATCAGATTCACCGAAACGTCCTATGTACGTATGTATGTACCTTCCCACTCCCTGTCTCAAGAGCTCTATGCCGCTTATCGTTTGCTGGCCCATTACCGAATCAATTCCAGTAATAAGAGACACCTGTACATATTGTACATGCATAATGCGCATCTCACTCATGTTCCTTCCCCTTATTTTCCCCTTTGTCTCTCTTTGCTTTTTAAAACCCCCACCCATTTTCGCAACAACTTTTTGTCAATTCCCATTTCACAAGAATATTATATAAAACATCCAGCCCGAGAAGCCAATCAACTGTCCTCCAGCCAGGGCGAAAAGGTCCTTTCCCCCCTCCAGCTTCCTCTCCCTCCCCCACCCCCAAGGCTAAAATCTACCGGCCACGGCCCGCTGCCCAATCAGCAAGCTATGTAGCTTGAGGGGGGAAGGGGAAGGGGGGGTGGAGGGCTACGCCCAGAGGGAAAAAAGAGCAGCCCACTAAAGGTGCCACCCAGCGTTTTGCGGGGTAACTGTCGCGCTAACGCCTTGACGCAGCGACGCATGGGCAAGGTGTTAAGGCGCACTCCCCCTCCCCCCCTTATACTTCCTTTGGTCTAACCGCATTTGGCTGTGTTGCACGCCCCCCCCCCTCTCTCTCACGCTTTTTGTATTATGCGGTATCATCGAGAAGGAGCAATTGCTCGAGTTGCTGCTTTTTCTACTTTACAGTACGGTGTACGAGTACACAGGTGGTGAGATGTGTAGCCTGATTGGCCATGAGGAGTACCTGAGTGCTCCTTCTACTGTGCTGCGGTAGCAGAGAGGCAGGGCACGGTGCAACTGCATTGACAAGTACGCCCGGATAGGTTCTTCAAGACGCAGTAATCAACTGTTGTTTAAGAGAATTACAACTTCATTGCGACTCTATCAGTCTGTTACAGTGACAGTTCATTTCAAATCTCATTCAATGGGAAAGGGATCTAACACCATCAAGCCCGGTTTCACCAGATGGGACCCTAGGGCGCTTCTGCAAGATGAAGCACGGCAGCAAGTGATGCTCATCTCACCACCTCGGTCAGCAGCGGCAGCACGTGACTCGACGGCACTCTCGAGTCTTGCGGTCCCTCTGCGGACAGCGATAATACAAGTACGTAAAAGAGGTCGAGGCCCGTATTGACATCCGTCGTGCTGCGCAATTGCGCTCGCGTGAGTCCTCTCCATTCTCGGCGCATGTGATATACGACGAGATGAATGTACGTCAGGTAGCACAGAGAGGCAACATGATGTGACCTGTCTGTGCAAAACAATCGAGTATTGCCTTGTACGACGGGATTCTCTCCTGACTTCGTACGAGAATTCCGTATGTTTTGATCCGGTCTCCTCAGGTCATTCGTTGTATTACCGTGGAGTAATGCCATCGAGCCACGAACAGCTCCAGTCGGGACGAATGGGTGTTTGTCTCCCACAACTCATCGTGTAGTCCTCTTGTAGCCGCAATAGGCTATCCATGTTTAGAAATCTGACTGCGGTCTCAATTTCACTGCAAACTCCCGTCTCTCGCCACAGCCACTGAGCGACATGACAGCTCGTGCCGCGTGCAAGCGCCGGTTTGCTTGGCTTCAGCACGGGCAAATAAGCTGATGGTGGCGCCATCCTCCGCTGCCAGCAGCATCAAGAGCAAACCTCGAGAATGGCCTCGACCTCGTCGCCTCGCACAGTCTGGCGTTCGATACAAGAAGCATCATCCCTGCGGGAAAACGCATATCTTAGAGCAAGGGTCGGGGCTAAAACGCTGGGCCGCCCGGGCGTCTCTCGTCATGCAAGATTATCTCTGCCTCTCGAGCTTCTGACCCAAAGGATGCACTAGCACGGCTAGCAGGGCGTTAGCCATGCGAATTGTCAAAGAAGCCATTCTGCGGGGGAAGTGGCCTGGATGGCCCGTTTAACCTCTGGCGTTAGCAGCCGTATGTGTAGGTAGTGTACTGTAGGTATTACCACGATGCTGAGCTTTGAGCCAACTCAAAGCACGTGGACTCGTGTGACGAGACGGGTTGGGAGCTTGATCATAGTGTTCCTTTGGTGCCGTGACCTTGTTGGTTGGCTCAGCACTATCCTCACGGATGGCATGCTGATGGGGAGAGATTGACCATTGAATCCGCAGATCGTTTCCGGGGTGAAACAGCTCATCGTTTGAAGCAAGAAACGATCGTGTTTGAAAGCGGCGATCATCTGGAAGACGATGATGACGATGATGATGATGTGCCGCGTGTGACGAGCCTCTATCCAACCTCCTCCAATCAACTGAAATTCCGCGTGTTTGTCCGTGACGGAGAAGCAGCTGTGCTGTAGGCCCAAAGCCTTCAAGTACATGTTTGCATTGCTCTGATGCACAATGACGATTAGCTGTGGCGAGGGGACTTGCGCGCGCTTTCTTGCATCCCAATGGTTTGTTATAGTCGAGAGGAAAACAATTTGCCACCAACCCCTGACCGACGGCAAGGATCCTTTTGCTTGAGAGGTACAGTACAAAATCAGTTGATATGTATGTGTCTTACGGCAGCAGAGATCTTCGCGATCATCAGCCAGCAGGGTGTTAATCGCTACAACGAACGAAATCAGTGGGCGCGGTCACTCTCATCAGCCGCGCCTCTGCCCACACAAACCACAGACTCCGCAGTCCTGGGAATTCACATACGCCGTGTCTCTGCAGGATGCGCTGTCGCAACGCCAGCCTGGCGTAGCAGGATGGAGGACATTGGCGCATGCACCACATGTCACGGCGGCTTTGGGATTTTCATAGGAGCACACTGAGCAGGATGACGAGGAGGTTGTTTTTGCTGCTGCCGTGACAGTCGTGGTAGTCGGTTGAGCTGTCGAGGATGTCGAGGTCGTCGAGATCGTCTCGCGGTACGGATGGTCACTGCTTCCGTTTTTGGATGCTGCCGGATTGATGGGCGTGCCATTTTCGAGCTTGATATGGGGGATAGACGAGAGCGAGGTTGGTGATGAAATGCCGTCATCTGTAACCTCTGCCTTGATCGATGATGCCGCCCTCTCCCGCTTTACTGCCTGTTCCCGACTGGTGGGACTCCTCTCGGACGAGCGTAGGTTGGCATTTCCGCCACCTGGTTCTCGCTTGATCTCTCGCCTCTTGAAGAGACCGTGAAGCTGGTTCAGTTCGTTCCTCGCGTCGGCATCATCTGCGTCTTCGTCTTCGCACACCTTGACCATGCCATCGCCATTCTTGTCCACCATCCGAGTGCCATCCACATCAACAGCGGGCTTAGAATCCACACTTGCATCTTCGTAGTCGCTGGAGTCTTCGTCCCAGTTCCTGATATCTTCCTCCTCTTCCTCCTTCTTCTTGCCGTCGTCTTTGTTCTGCTCAAACCGGGCCAGGGCGGCGGCTGCACGGAGTTCGCGGCCTCGCAAGCTGCCTGCCACCCTGGGCTTCGCCTGCACTCGCTTGCCCTTTTCCAGCTTCACCTTTTCCTCCTCATCTGCGCCCAGTACGACGCCGTTTTTGCCGAATTTCTTGAGAATTCTCCTCTCCTTTCGCTCCTGGTACGTCAAGACAGGCTTGGCCTTTCTTTTCCTCCCCCGTGACCGATACGTCCCGCCACAAAGATGCTCGGGGAGCACCTCATCAGCCAGGACGCTGTTCTTTTCCCACTCTCCGGTCCCCAGCGTTGCTCCCCTCCCCCATAACCCATCGCCTTTGTAGCCTTCTGCCCACAGGGCTTGCATCTGTTCGGCATACTGGTTTCGCACTGCCCAAAAGGCCCTCGAGTGATTCATCTGCGCGCAGTGCGCCAGCTCATGCATCATGACCATCTGGACGTAGTTGAAGGGAAGCCACCGGCCGCTGCCAGGCGCCTTGAGGACCAGCTGAATCACCTCCCCGGCGTTGAAGTTGCGGCCCACAAACTCTCTGTTAGGGGGGAACTCCTCTAGCGACATGACGTGGATATGGTGCTTGCGCATCACGGGAACTGTGAGCATGGTTTAGCAATGAGGGTCTCAAGGCTCGCTGGAGGGGGTCAAAACGTACGGCATTGCGCTGCGATCCTCTCCAAGAAGTCCTGCGCAATTCTCTCATCTCTCCCCTTGAGTGGTTTGATGAAGACGATGTGAGGATTTGGCTGCGATGTTTTCGCGTTGAGACGCTGTATGCCGATTGGCATGATGAAGGGGCAGACCGGTCTATGATGTAAGATCTAGTAGGTGAGGTAGATCGTGAAGAAGAAGATAAAAAAGTATACGCCAAACGCGGAGCCCAGCAGAATTCTACGATGAAATAATCAGCTGTAACAAACAAGAACAATTCAAGGTAATCCAAACGAATTTCCGGCTATGTTGCTGATGAGGTGAAGGTTGGCAAAAGTCTTTGACGAGTCGTGTTCCAATTCACGCGCCATTCTCGCACGAGATCAGGTGACCTGTGGCAACTTCCTCACATCTACAGTAAGCTGCGAAGAAGTCACCAATCAGCGAACACCTTACCTTAGGTACTTTCAAAGATATTGAAAGTTTCATTACCTTACCTATAATCAGGAAAAGATATATAGACCACGTTCTCTAATGGTTTGGTAGTGTACCGATCGAATGAGTTGGTGGAGTTTTCTAATCTCTAACCAGTCTGAACTCGAAGAAAAGGGGGGAGGTTATATCACCTTCCCTCCAACTGGCAACGGTGGCTTAAACAACGAGAGAGTATCTTGGCTACATTATACTTGTAAAACTAAGCTATAAGTCTATCCCTCATCGACTTCAAAGCTCGCGATTCCTAGGTACTACGGTGAGCGTTTGCGAGTCTCCCCTGAACCAACAATGGCTGATTCAGTCCTCGAACACTCTTTCAGTAGAACTGGCCATTGAAGCAATCAAGCCCTCGTAGTACGCCGTACGCCGTGTGCTTCGCTACCTATATGACAACCCGTCTTGGCTTCACCTCTTGTCACAAGCTGCTCTCCGCCTCCAGTCTGGCTTCCACATTAGCTATGGCGCTCTGTACTGCGCTTGTCAGGTCTACATGGAATAGGGGATAGGCTGGACCGCTAATAACAGCCCCCTTCCGCCTATGCGCAGGCTTAGGAGACTCTCCCAGCTTTTCTGCCGGACTGCCAGGCATCGGTGCTCCATCCCCCTCCTCCCAGCTCTCGACAGTGGCGACGGCCTGTACCGCTTCTTCATCTCCTGGCCTATACTCCATCACCAACGGTTTCTGCTTCATAGTGTTTGCTTCGGCAACCGCCGCAGCGGAGTCTTTCCCACCAATCTCTGCAACGCTGAAGATGGACTTCCATCTGTGCGGAACGCCGGCTCGGGGCGGCGTGGGAGTGCCAAACCCGCCAGCAGCGAGCGCTCTCTTGGTCCATCGGTTGTTGATGCATGCAAAGTGCCAGTCCACGACGTCGGGGGCTGCGTAGACATCAAGCACGTTTCGCACATCGATAAGGCGCTGGACAGAGGTGATGTCGGCGTTGTTCACAGAGCTAAAATCCAAAATAATGGCTTTCAATGTGGGCTTTGGTTCATGACACGACTCCGCCCTTGACTTGCCAGATGTTTGTTGCCCTGGACTACTCCATGGCCTGTCGCCCTTGCGTTCAAACGTCTCTGGGGTTGTTCGACCTGTGTGCGAATAGATGTAGCTGGTCAAGTACTCCAGGGCAAAGTTGGCACTTGGATAGTTCAAGCCCTCCGAGAAACGGTAGATGAAGATACCGGGGTAAGGGTTGCCCAGCTCCACCTCTGGGTTTGAGCCATCGTCATGGTCAAGTGGTAGGAATATATTCCTGGCAGCAATCTCGGCCGTTTCTTCAAACGTGCCATACCGTCCCACTAGTTGTCGGTGGTTGTCACCGAGGACGTGATCCCCAAGGACAGAGTGGACCTTGACCTGGCCCAAGAACCGTCCACGCGACTTCAAGATGCGATATAAGAGGACAAGAGCCGATATGCCAACGGTCGCATACAGACCGTCCTCGATTTGCGAAAAGATGCTGAGGAATACGCCTATAAAAAAGATGAAGACTTCAAGGGGGGAGACTCTCCAAAACTGGCGAATGGTGCTTGGCGGCGTGATCAAGTCACCAACGGCGTGAATGATGACCGCGGCGAGAACTGCGTTGGGGATGTAGAAGAAGACGGCTGTCAAAAAGTAGGTGGCCAGAAGCACGACCGTTGCACTAACGAGTCCCGAGGCAGGAGTCCTGACGCCCGCTTTGGATTGAATGGCTGTTCGGCTGAATGATCCGGTAGAGGAATAGGCGCCGAAGAATGTGCCCAGCAGGTTGGCCATGCCTATAGCAACCATTTCCTGGGATGGATCCACGGTGTAGTTGTTCACCCGGCCGAAAGACTTGGAGATGGCAATATGCTCAACAATCATGACAATGACAGCAGCCGGAAGGTGGGAACAGAGTCTTGAGAAAATAGACGAGGGTATTTTCGGAACGCCGATGCACTCGAAGCCTGAGAAACAAAACGTCAGACACATAAGACACCGGTGTGTCCGAGTTGTATGCTCAGGAGGTTTCGACAACTTACCTCTTGGGACGACACCCAGAACACGAATGGCCGGCTGCTCCGTTCGATCCTTGTTGATCACCCAACTCACCATGGTGAAGATAATAATGACAAACACTGTCCGCATAGTATTTAGGAAGAAGATGACACGCTTATGGCTCGGCCATCTCGCGGCAGCTTTGGTCAAAGTGTATCGTATGAGATAAAGAAAGGAGAGAGCCGTCAGACCAACAATGGCGTCAAGCTTGGCTTCGCGTAAGTGCCTCAATGTGTTGACAGTGACTCTGTATGCTGCCTCTCTGTTGGAAAAGCTCGTGATGCCCAACAGGGACGGGAGCTGGCTGGCGCCAATAGTGATGGCGGATCCCGTCATGAAAGCAGACAACGAGGTGATGGAAATCAGATCGACCAACCAGCCCAGCCGCAAAATACCAATAACGAGAACGAGGCTGCCGGCAATAACTGCAAACCCCGTAGCAACCACGTTGGGTGGAATGTCGCCATTGGATACACCCATATCAGCTACTACAGTTCCCACAACAGTCGACAGGACGGCTACTGGGCCGAGGGAAATGTCTTTAGATGTGCCGAATATCCAATAAGTGAGGGGTCCCACAAAGGATGAGTACAAGCCGTATTGAGGTGGAAGGTTTGCCAGCAAGGCATAAGCCATCCCTTGGGGTACTAGGACGGCCCCGGCAGTGACACCAGCCACAACATCACCAGCTAGCCACTGGAAGTTGTAATGAGGGAGCCATGATATACAGGGGAATAGCGATTTGAGATAGTCTACGGCCTCGACCTGCGAAGGTAGCTGATCTTGAAGCCATTCCGGAGCAGTTGGTAGCCTATCGAGAGAATTGTGGCTGGTGATGTGGGAGCAGGCGGATTGGCTCCCAGTGAACGGTTCTTCGTGCTGGCGAGCGTCTTCATCTCCATCCTGGAATTTGTTACCCAAAACACTGGCCAGTGTATACCCAACAGTAGTCGACGTTCCGCTGGATGTGCCACTCATTGCCGCCACGATGCCGCCACTGTAGGGAACGAGGCCCAACTCGTCGAGGCACGAGGATGGACAAGTTGAAGAGAGGGCAAAAGTGATGGCTCTCGCTTTCAGGCTCCCATGCTCGATATCCCTAGCTTATGATGTATTGATAACATCAATCTGCTCCGCAAAAAAAGATTTGACAACGATGTCCAGCTCGGCTTGATGTCGGCGGCGGTACTGATGCGCAAACTGCAGTTTCAAAGCATCAGCCGAGACGATCCAGATATCGAACTTTTAAGATGCGAAAGCCCTTATATGAGCTATTTGAATCAACTAGATATCGAGAAATTGATGCTTGGTCTGAGGAAGGCGGTCGGTGCTGCGCGATCTCGGCCTCGAGAGCTGACTGGTGCAGCTAGATCGTGAAGTAGACAAGGACGGCTCACCTTGTTGACGACCAGGGGGGACTGGCAGACGAAGAAAATGAACGGCACAGCACAGAGACGAACACAGGTAACGGAAGAAACGATACAGTACTGTCAGATGGAGGTGGATGTAGAGGAATAAAGAGGCAGAGGGTTTGAGGGCAATCTAGGTAGGTAGCAAACTCCTATGTCGATCGGAGTATCATATATCCTGTTCTTGCCTCTGAAACGTAAGGTACATGTAGTCGATGGCAGTTGCCGAAGGCCCGTTACGGGCAGTCGGGAGGCTTGCCGCTTATAACGAACGGATCCATCCGACTGATATGAGGGAATAGAAGCCCACAAAGAGAGGATCGGATGCCGAATGATCGTAAAGCCTCTCGTCTCGAGCGTCACGTTCTCCGTTGTAGGCCTGTTGTAAGTGGTATAAGCGCCAAATCTGGCTGCTGAGACGCACGAGCAGTGAGCGGGAGCGGATAACATCATTGGATCGTGGGAGACACCATGGGGGCGAGCATGGCTTCAGCGGAATCTCCCCACAAAGCACCCAAATGTCGCAATCGCGTCTAGGCCGTTTCCGTTATAGAGCAGACAGGCACTCGAGATGTTGACTTGATCCTCCTGCAGGGTGTTGTCATGATGGCCAAAGTCGAGTCAGGAACTGTTGCTGATGTTCGATGATAGTGGGTGGTTGCATCTTTGCGAAAGAGGACATGAAGCAGATGATCAGCCAGCTCTATGTATTATACAACAAGGATGCCTATCAGCGGCGTCTCATGCTGTTACATGGTATTTTTCAGTGCCGTGGTTCGTCAAATCAGCGTATCACAGCTTGCTGAGACTATTCGACTCTCTTGGGCTGAGGAGCCTCCTTCGCATAGAAGCACGAGATGCTCCAGATTGAGACTCGTGGATGGCCCAAGCAGGTCTCAGCCGTGTCATGTGTCCCGATGAGGGGGGCTGGATCGTCGGCTGGGGGGGCGAGGTCAGCGTCTGCTATCTCTATCCGAAGCTGAAGGTGGTGCCAAAGGTGCTTGAGCCGTGAGCTGCATGGGGCGCAGTGATAGAGCTGAAGTCGAGGATATTGTTCACGTTGCAGTAAGTCGGAGTGAAGCTCGATGCGATGAGGAGACGAGATCGGGACTTGGCGCACCCGATGTGCCGAAGCCGCCTGTAATTCTCGGGTACGGGCTAAGGTAGTGGTTTCAGCGGTCTGACCCCGCTGAAGACCGCCAGTCTTGGGCGCTGAACAGGGCCAGAGCGGCGTCTATCCAGGTGCCCAGGTGCATACCTAAGGTACATACGCGCTGGATAGGCGCTCTCCGTAGAACAAGCGCACTCGACGTCATCTCTCCAAGTCGATGCTGCATATCAGCATCAAGTCGGCACTGATATCAGATCTGGCCCTGACCACGATGGCTCCCCGAGAGCTGCGCTTGTTCCAGGCTCTCTCTTCATCTCTATCATATTGCCATGAGCCCTACTTACGTTTTCTGCGGGAACGAGACAGAATGAAGGATATGAGACGCCTTCCCGCTGCTCACGGTGGCACGGCAGCGCTCATCCTCTGGCACATGCAGCCGTCTGGTCAGATCTCGAGCTCTCGGCTGTGCTAAACCACCCCTCGCCAACAACAATAACAACAACAACAACAACAAACGCTCTTGTCACGTCTTCCACCATCAGCCTCTCGACCTGCTTCAGGCATCAAGCATGTCTGGCCCTCCCGCCCAAGAGGCCCCTGCCGCGCTCTCGATCCAGCCACTCCAGCCGCCGCCGTCTCCCCAGACTCATCGTGCCTTGCGACGGCTTCAGTCTGCTCACGCCCTGGGAGCCCGAGCTGCCCAGCAGGCGACGCTGAGCTCGCAGCAGCGCCGGGAGCGCCCTCTGTCGCCGACCCGGAACGCGGCCGATGCCATCAATGCTATCGCGAACGCTGCGGGCAGTTCCAATCCCAGCCACGTCGCCAACGCGCATCTAGACGTCGGCACACACGCGACGGTGCGGCCTCGAGGTCGTGCCAACAGCGATGCCACGCCCCCGCCGCCGTATCAGGCTGCCGCTACTGCCAACCCTCGCCGGACGGGCGTCAAGAAGCCCGTCTTTTCACATGGCCACCTGTCTTTGCAGCAAATCATTCGCGAAGGCCCCAACAATGGCGACTTTATCGGCGCCTTGGAGAGCGCGAGGTGGAAGGTCATTGACGAGGGCGTCAAGGCAGCCGAGGATGGAATGGTGCGCGCGACAGTCTGGTTCCTATGGCAGATGTAGAGAACGAAGCTTGGCTGACTTGTGTCTTCTTGTTTGTCGGTTTTGCCGTTGACATAGTCTCCATTGAGGATATACGTCTGGCTCGTCTTGCTTGACGCCCCGATCATGTCCACGGACGAGTACCTCGCCCTCATCCACCGCGGCGCCTCGCCCGCCTACGCAAAGATTCGCAACGACACGTTTCGCACCTTGACCACCGATCCTCTCTTCCGACGCCGTGTGAGCGAAGCCAGCCTGATCAGACTGTTGAACGCCATTGCCTGGCGGCTTCACGATTCAAAGGAAGACGAGCGCCAGAGCCGTCCGAGTAGTAGTCATTCGTCTCTGCCTGCGCGGGAGGCCATTGGAGGCAGTCATTCCGGCCAGTCCCAAGCCAGTAGGTGTTGACAACGAAAGACCTCAGCTAACTTGACTGCCTGGTGCATGCATGACCACTTGTGCTAACGCCTTCGTTTCGCGTATAGGGTCTGGCGCAGTGCTTGAGCCGGGCGTCTATGTGCAGGGCATGAATGTCCTGGCGGCCCCCTTTCTCTACGCCGCGCGAAGCGAAGCCGAAGCGTTTGTGGCCTTCCACTCCCTGCTCACGCGCGAGTGCCCCGGCTACATACGAGGCGCCATGGACGGCGTCCACCGCGGGCTCGCCCTGGTGGACAAGGTGCTGGCGATTGTCGATCCCAAGCTCAGCATGTATCTGACGGCAAAGGGGCTGTCGGCCGAGATATATGCCTTTCCCTCCGTGCTGACTCTGTGTGCATGTACGCCGCCCTTGCCCGAGGTGCTGCGGCTCTGGGATTTCCTCTTTGCCTACGGGCCGCACCTCAACATTGTCTGCATCGTGGCGCAGCTTACCATTATGCGGTCGCAGATTCTCCAATCTCAAAGGTATCTTCCCCCGAAATTCTTTCCCTCGGAAAGAGAGTCATGGGCACATCTCCCTAATCTTCTTAACCCTCCTATTAGTCCAAACAAGCTTCTACGATCCTTTCCACAGATCAACGCCGATCTTGTCAAGAGCATTACCATTAGCATTATCAAGAAGATACCAGACGACCTATATGAAGAAATCGCCACGCACGCCATGTAATGAAGGTTGGTCATTTATACGAAGAAACTCGAGCAAACGGCGTATGTCTTTCTCTTTCCTTACGCTTCTTTGTCTGTCTAAGGTTGTCACGGGTGTTATGAGTTTACATGTCATGGAATACGATATCACAAGGAGGCGTGTTTTGCGTTGTGCTTTTCTATAGTTTGGTCAACATTTAACAGCCCATCTAAAAAATGCCTAGAAATGGAGAGACAATATCAGTACCATTTTGTTTTGCAAGCAGTCGAGAATTAAATGAGCGATGTTCTGATACATCTCCTATTACCACTTACGAACATATTAATTACCACTTACGATGTCGTCGAGTTTTCTCAAGTAGACTATCGAATCATTTCACGAGGTAGCAGATGGATGTTCTGGATGAATTACATGTAATATACATATATATGTGCACTATTCTAAACAGCAAAAGTCTCGTGCAGGATCCAAGTGCTTTGTAAAAGATCTTGAAAGCTCGAAGATTTGTCCATGGTCGTGTATCGTGTAGCAACCCAAAAACGCTCTTGAGATACTGGAGAAACCTGAAAAAATGCTTGTTTTGGCATAAACAATGAAATGAAGAAAACAAGCAAACGCCAGCTGTATCCATGCAAAAAACATGATATGAAAATGTGTATACACAAGAATCGAATCGAAGCCTGATGATGCCCTAGTTGGGCATGGGCGCTGAGCCGCTCGTACGTGTATGTTGTGCTTTTTGTCCAAATCCAACTTACAAAATGATTCGACATGTAAGGAAGAAATCGACCTTGTGAGAGCCGCTGTTTCCTCTCAAAGAACGAGCAAAATCAAGAAGACAGCAAACGGGAGGCGAGCCAAGTCTACCTTCCATCTCTTTCTCTGTCGTTTATGGGCCGTCTCCGTCTAATAAGCGGGACAGCCCCCTTCGGCCCGGCTGAAAGCATTGGCAAAGAACTCTTGCATGGCTGTGTAGTGGAAGAGAATGCCGCCCAGGACGGCCGCGTGCCAGAGATTGTGGCTGCCTCCAATGTAGTCGAAGCAACCGGGGAACCATCGCTCGGGGACCTTGCTGGCGTAGACGATGGCGCCGCTCAGGTAGACGAGGAGGGACTTGCTGATGGGCGAGTAGAAATTGTAGACAAACTCGGGCCCGTGGGAGAAGTAGAGCTGCAGGATGGGCATGAAGCCCGTCAAGGCAAGGCCGACGAAGAAGCCGACTCGGGCCCAGGCCATGTCGGCACCGTTGAACTTGGGGTGCCACGGCAGGATGACGCCTCCGATACCGAGCATGGCTGTCAGACACATGTACGTCCACCGGCTGATGGGGTCGCAGTAAAAGGCCGTGTACTCGGTCGTGATGATGGAGGCGGCAATGAGCAGCGAGATGCCCGTGTAGTCCACGCATGCAAACATGGAGACGGCGTTGGCGTCTGCCACGGCATTCATGGTATGCCAGATGGTGGAGCACACCAGCGTTAGGCAGGCCATCATGAAGAAGATGGCGGCTACGACAACATCCGTCTTGGTGCTGAGGTAGAAGTTGGCGCTGCTGGGGTAGAAATATAGAGCAACGGCCAGCACCAGGATCAGACCCAGGGCATGGGACCATATGTTGATGAACTCGTTGGACATGTTGAAAACGGACGTGATGCATTCAATCTTTGTCTCACGGAAGCGATAGCCCTTCAAGATGTGAGGGTTGTTCCGCCACGGCGTGGGCAGTTCGTCGTACAGGAGCAGTCCTCGATCCCGCGCCAGCAACACGGCCTGTTGGATATGTTCCTCCAGAGACAGAGCAGCCCGGACTGCACGCTCGATACCCTCGTCGACGACCGACTTTGCTCGCTCGATGCTCTCGTTTGCCACCCTGCGGCCCTCGTCCATGAATGCCTCGGCGGCAGTGGCAGCATTGGCAAAGCCCTGCTCGCGCAGCTTGTACGCGCGGCTCTCAAACTCGGATAACATGCCTTCCAGCAGCTCGATGCCCAGCACGGCCTTGTCATGCAGTGTTTCTGTCGCCTCCAACGTCTCCTGGTACCGGGTCTCGAGGGTTTCGACCATGATGTGAAGCCGGCGTCGGCCGGCGCCGATGACCTCCTCGGACGCTTGCGAGCATCTCGTCCGGACGGCCTGAAGAGTCGAGAATGCGCGGGATATACTCGAGTCTTTGCTGAGGTCAACGTAGTTTTCGATAAACTCCAGGCGGCGCTCCAGCTCGGTCAGGAACAGATCGACCTTGAGCAGCAGGTTCTCCTCGCCCTCCATAATATGGCCAACGATGGATTTCCGCCGGGGAATGAAGAAGGAGTGTCGCCGTCGTCTTGCTTGTTGAGCCTCGCGGCGCGGATCGGAGCCACTGGTGGCGGTTGAAGAAGCGGCGTCGCTGTCGTGACTGAAGCCGCACGCGGACGTGAGGGCAGTGGTGACGCCCGCCATTTTTATGGTCGAGAGAGGCGGGATTAAGTGAGGGCGGACAATATCATACCAGTTGAAGCGTCGAGAGGATCAGGATGTCTTGGATCTGAGCCAGATGGGCAGCTGAGAGAGGCACGAGCCCCGAGAAGTGCGGATGATTGGCTCAAGCCCCAAGGAGGCGAAGTCTGAGCGTTCGGAAGACGATCGAAACACACGTGAAGAGAGGAAGAGAAGCGAGATCTTGCAGCAAAGTTGGCTGTAAGGCGCAGGGCGACAATCCTGCTGATCGGAAGAAGCGGGACGAAGCGGTTTTGATGGGAGATTCCGGCAGTGATTGGCCCCAAGGCTTTTAAACTGCCCCAAAGTCTGTTTGTTGAAGGTCCGGTTCGTCTTGATGCGGGTCGAAGAGCCTATTTGGGGGGATGTGCGGCGCCAGGAGGACGCGCGATTGGCTGGAGAGGACCGGGGGAATCTGCAGAAGGGAAATGCGAGGGGAAAAAGAGCGCTGGCGCTGACTGCAAGTGTGAGGATATGTAAATAAAGGAAGAGTTGCTTCTGTGTTTTGGTGGTGGTGGTGAGGGAAGTTGAGAAGGAAAAGGGAAGAAGAGAAGTGCAGTTTGAGGTCAGCGGCAACAAAGAAAGACCTGGCAGTACCTTGGGGGTACTTTGCACATGTTCCAGTTGAGGCAGGAGAAGCATTGCAGGTACCTCCAGGCGGTGTTTAGGGGCGCTGGTACCTCTGGCTTGGCACGGAGCCGGCGTGCACGGCCTCTCTGAGGTAGACGAATCAGATCGAAGGGCGAGAGAAAGTCAATCGGCTCCAGAGACGGGCAATCCGAACGGAATGCGACAAGCATCGTATGTGCCTCTAGTATTGTGTAGTTCTGCTTGATTTTTGTGCGAGTACGCAGTGAAGCAGCCATGCTCAGCCGTCGTGGATCAACAGACTGTACCTGGTTGCTTAGCACACATAAAGTAAGGTACCTAGGTAGCCTCGATTCGTTCCCGCAGATCGGACAGATGTTTCGCCCTTATCCAGGCCCAGAACCCACAACAGAACTACATGTACTCAAGGTACTAACATCAGTCCTCATGTCAAGTATTAGGCGGTTGACATCCGTAGATGAAAGGACGAGCCAGTCTGAATTGATGAGAGATTATTCACTGTATCTTCCTCCGACATGTAAATATTGCACAGTCTGTAATGATATATGAGCACTTCGTATCGCTACTACTACTCCCTTGTCGTGACGCTCTCAACTCCGCCAAAACGGCCCTGACAGCTGCAGGTACAGGGACCAGGTCCGAGAAGCGCCAGTTGATTCGACACCGGCATCGCCTTTTTTTTGTTCCTCCACACTCTCCTATTGCACACAAGAGAGGGCAGGCAATTTCCCGCCTTTCCGGCAGCCGAGACGCGCGCCTTGCAATGCCAGGATGAGCATCCCTTTGTTTAGCACTAAGCAGTGCATCTGACTTGATAAACCTAACATGTACTTGGGAACACAGGCCTTACGGGACCTCGGATGTCGTGGGTCCGTGTTTTATTCCCGACTTGTCACAGCCTTGCACTAACGCGACAGAAACACCAACCACCAAGACCCATCACTTCTCTCAGCCTTGCTTCGTTACATACACTCAATCATTGTCGATCCACCACCATCATCATCTTCATCAGCATCATCCGCCCATCTCCATCTGATCCTTTGGTCCAGCGTCACGTGAATCTCTTTACTCTGCTCATCAATCGGTTAATCGATCAATCGATTCGCCAATCAAACAGTTGATTCGACAGTAATTTAGAGAATCAGCCTGCCTCTTCTTCTACTTCTTCCCACACCATCCTCCAACACAAACCACAGCCATGGCCGTTGAGAAAATCGTCACAGAGCCCTCCCTCGCCGCCGTCCTCCAAATCTCCGACCAGGCCCGCGACCAGGCCCACGCCCTTCTCCAGCTCGCCGACCGCGCCAGCGACGGCCGCGCCTCCGCCGAGGCCCAGGCCGAGATCGCCAAGCAGCAGAAGCAGCTCTTCACAAACATCTCCCACCTGCGCGGCCTGCACCGCAGCGCCTGCCTATCCGCGCGCGACACCAAGGCCCAGACCGCCGAGGCGCGACAGGAGGTCGATCGCTTACATCTGCAGCTGCAGAACCTGTATTACGAGCAGCGCCATCTTCAAGGCGAGATTACGGGCTGCGAGTCGTACGAGTATGTCTTCTCTTCTACACGCTTTTACGTTCTCTTTCTGTCCTTTTTTTTTCTTTCTCTTCAACAAAGTTGTATGGGGCTAGGCTGACTTGACTCTTTTCTTTGTCTAGCCACAAATACCAGCAGCTGCCTCTCATCCCCCTCGAAGAATTCCTCGCCCTCAAACCAGAGTACAAAGACTCCACCGACGACGAGCGCATGTTTGCCCGCATCGAGCACGAGCGAGAAGAGCGCGAGATCCTCGAGCAGCGCCGCCAGGAGCTCCTCAAGCGCAAGCAGAAGCTCATTGCCGAGAACAAGCGGAGAAAAGACGACCTGGCCAACCTGGACCAGGACTTGGAAAAATTCATTGATGTATGTGTTGTTTCTTCCTTTGGCGTCTTGCAACATCTTGCCACGCGTGTCTCTGTGGGCTGTGTATGCTGATTATTTGTCTGCGTCTAGGCTGCGAAACCGATCCTGGAATTGTTCGAAAAGGCACCTTGAAAGGCAGCATCATTTGACTTTCTTGTTGATTCGTTTCTATAAACTTAATGACGGCCATCGACGGCCACTTATGATACCATGATTACATGCGGTTTCAGTCGCGTCTTAAGCGCATGACGCCACACCGTCAGAAACTAGGTTGGAGAGAAATTGGACAAGGGCTGTATCGGATCCGGAGAGTTGATATATCAAAGCCTCAATCTGATGGACTTACGAACCCTGTACCACTCCGACTGGATTGAGCAACAGTCCACTCTTATCACTAGAATACTACAGAGGAATCGCCTCGCCCAATCTACAGGGAGATAATCATGTAGCCAATTCCAATTACTCTCAAAAAATATCCTTTGCTATCGTGTAAACTAACTACCCTAAGCCTAATGTACAAGGTTGCTCGGGTTGAGTTGCCGCGAGCCCCAAATTTGATATAGAGCGATTTCCTCAGTATGGAGGACTGGCTTATAACAGTCCCCTTGAAAATCTGCATATAATCTCTCAGAACAGAGGGAAAAGACAAAGAAAGGAGAAAGGAAGAGGCAGATAAAGAAAAGATGAGAAGAAATGACTGTCTGATCTAGACCCTGCCAGGACATGGCCCATTCTTCTCCATCGCGTTGGACAGCGAGGTGGCTGGAGCTAGTAGTTGAGCTCGCCGCCTCCGCTTCCATTGCCGGACACCTGGTCAAGGTCTTCGTAGCTCTTCAAGCTGCGGCCTTGCACGGCTTCTCGGGGGGCGGCAGCAGCAGCGCCGGCTCCGTCTCCCCATCGGGATCCCCCGTTGCGGTTGCGGCCGCCGGCTCCGTCCCAGCGATTGCCTCCACGACGATCGTAGGGACCGGAACGGTATCCACCTCGCCCGCCAGACATTCCGCCTCGGCGAATCGGCCCTCCTGAGCGGTCATCGCCCATAGAGTTCCAACTATTGGCCTGCATGCCGGCGAACAACGAGGGGAAGTTGCCGGGGTTCATGGGGAATCCCGGCATGCCCATGACGTTGTTCATGGAGAAGTTCTGCAGGTTGAAGCCGCGAGGGGTACCAGACGCCGACTGGCCATTGGTGGGTGGGAAGTGGCCGTTCGAGTTTGCATCGGTGCGCGAGGGGGCAATGTGTGCTGGGTCGGACACGTATGCGTTGATGAGCTCGAACTGAGGTTCACAAGTCAGTACAAAACATCGAGCCGAACAGATAGAAAGTAATGGAGGGAAACACTGATTGACAGTCATCGCCAAGGGGGGCTTCCACATACCTCTTGCTTCAAGCCCTCCAGCCACTCCGTATGTCTCTTCTCCACATGCTTCCTCCAGAAGTGGTCTTCTTTGAAGAGCTTGGTGCATTCTGGAACCTTGCATCTCCACTTGTGCTCGTCCTCCTGCTTGACATACTTGGTCAATTCCTCGTCAATGGCTTCATCAACAGGCTTACCGCCAAGCTTGCGAATGTCAATGGACTCGGGCTCCAGGATCTGCATCAGCTTGTCCTCAAACGTCTTCACCCAGTTGTAGGCGCGCAGAAGCTGCTGCTCAGACTTGGAAGTCGTGTTGCGAAACTTCTTTTCTCCTTCGGCAACCTCCCCGTCGACGTCGTTGTCAGCTTCGTTGCGTTTCTTGTCTGGGAAAGGCTCCCCGTTTGCGCTAGCCCTGGCAACGGCCCTAGCGGACGACGAGAGTGTGCTCTGAGGGCGGCGCAGATGTCCTCCTGCACACTTGCGTGTGAGCTCGTGCACAGAGTCGCTCTCGAACACGCAGAAGAAACAGAAGTGGAAGACCCTGCGCAAATACTCGATCAGCAAGTCAAGCTGCTTCTTCTTCACCAGAAGGTCCTCATCATCGACTTCCTCATCTTCCACGGCGCCTTCTTCTTCTTCCTCTTCTTCTCCATCCTCGTCCATCGCCTCGTCCATGCCAGGTTCTCGAGTCTTGGTCTTCTTCGTTGTTGTAGGCGGGATGGCAGGCTGTAGCCGGCCGGCGTTCTTCAAGTCCTCGACCTTTTCTTCGATTTTCGGGATGGCCTGGAAATCGGACCCATACTCTTCTTCGAGTTTGTTGACTAGCCGCTGGACCAGACGGAGATCTTTTTCAATCCGTTCCGGCGCGGAGAACAAGTCCCAGAGAGCCTTCTTCCGCGGATGATGAGGTGGGTTGTGGACTCCAACGTGGCAGACAAAGTCACCCCTGGACTCGTCCTTGACGGTCTTGCCATTGATAGCCTCAAGGGCCTTCTCCGCGGCAGAAACGGGAGGTGGCGGCGTCTTGACCGTCTCGTCACCATCTTCGTCCTTGGGGTTTGCCCGATCCATCGGCGGCGCGCTTTCCGAAGAGGGATGAAGCATAACCCATCCAATGCGGTGATATCTCTTGCTCGGGTTCGGGTCGGACAGGGACAGCCACTTGAACCCGCCCTCTTCCTCACCCAGATTCTCCTTGCAGAAAGCTTCCAGATTTTGGCGGCTGACATGAGGAGCAATGGTCTTGATAAGCAGAGTGGGCTGGAATTGGTTCTCATCGCGAATATCAGCGCCGTTTACGGGAACCAAATCGCCGACTCCCAGGATCTCGTTGGCGGCCGTCGCCTCGCCCTCTTCTTTTTCGATTACACCGCCAGCCCCGTTGCTCTCGCTCTTGGGGATACCCTCGAGAGAAAACTCATCAAAGGTGCCAGATTCCAAATCCTGCTCCCACTGACTGTAAGCCGCTCGTCGGAAATCTTGGAGCTTGGCCTTGAACTCGTCCCTGATTTCAGGGACATAACGTTCCCTGAACCACTGCTCCTTCTTATGCTCCGCAACAAAGGCCCTGGCCATCTTTGCTTGAAGCTCTTCCTTGTATGCATCGTATGCCACTTGGATCTTGGCTTTCTCTTTCTCTCGCTCCTCCTGAGCCTCTCGAGCGCCTCTGGGCCTCTCTGGCTCTCGTCTCCGCCCAGTCCGCGCGCGCTCTTTCTCTTCCTTGATCTTTTCGTTCATTCTCCACCATTCGCCAAAGTAGGAGAAGCCGACTTGGTACGGAAGTTTGGCTGGATCCTGCAGAGGGTTGACAGCAAGGCCAGATGATCCGCTATCCTGTCCAGGCACGTAGCGATCGATATTCGCCGGCGGGGAAGTGATACGACGCCGATCATCTCTGTCTCTGTCTCTGTCATCTCGGCCGTCTCGGCCATCTCGACGAGGTCGCGGCTCGTATCGATCAACGGGAGGAGGGGAACGCGAACGTCGTCGGTCTCGGCGCTCATTGCCTGGATTCAGCAGCAGTCAGCAAGCAGTCACAACACTCAATGGTACTGATTCAATAGGACGAACCTGGAGACCTTGCGCGATAGAAGCCATCGTTTCTATCATCCCTAGTTCGAGAATCGTCACGACCCCACGTCCTTTCGGTTGGGGATCGGCCAGAGCCATCGCGGTAGGATGAGTAGGAGTCCATCGTTGCTGCTCACTTGGCTGAGGACAAATCGACCACTGAATTGGAGAATTGTTCCCAGAATCGGATATCAATCAGGCGTCGTCAAAGTATCAGAGGCATTGACATTGACGGCCCCTAGGGAGGAATCAACTGCAGGAGCTCCCTACTGGAAGGCGGTAACTTGGCAGTTAGAAAAGACATTCTGACCCAGTAGTGGATGGATAGACACGAAGAAAGAGAGAAAAGAGATAGAGAGGGGGTATTAGAAGAGAGGAGTAGAAGAGGAAGATGAGAAAGATAAGAAAGATGACAGCAGAGGAGCGGACGCCAACTGATAGCAAGAAGGGAGGGCTCGGCACGTAGGGTTCTTTAGAAGACGAGAAGAGAGGCACAGAGAGACGAGGAAGAGAGAAGAAAAGAGGCAGATAATGGCCAGTTGCCGAGAGCTTGGTCAAGGGACGGCAAGAGAGAGGACGATGTAGGAGAGGAAACGAAGGGGGGGGCAGGGACGAGAATTGAGGCATAACAAGAAAGGGAAGACGAACTGAATTGATAAGCGCGGCTGAGGCTGGCGATGACGCGACGGCGTTGATGCGCCTGGAGAATCGCGAACTGAGTTGAAGAGGATGAGGTTGCAGGTCGGAAGAGGCTGGAGGCCATCCTCAAACAGGTGGAGCCGAAGACGGCCGCGACGCGCGCTCTGGATGGAGCGGCACTGTGCAGCGGGCGCCTAACGGCTGCGATCGGGTCGGCCAAATGGCGCTATGTGGCGGCGTCTTGTTCCGCTGCATCGCTGGGCAATAGGCGGTCGGTAGGCGATAGCACAGTGTATACGCTTATCGCTCGACACGGCTTCTCTCCGCTGGCGACACGTGTGGCCACTCACGCCTTATCTAATCAGGCCGAAGCTCCCCCAGAAGCTGGAGAGTGGCGATCTCCGACCCCGATCGCTGACTGTCACCGTCACTAACAGATTGACGACAGACTAATGTATGGGGTATGTGCATGTGCCCAACATCTCCCTGGCTTCACAGGCGTCATCCTTGCTTACTACCCGTAGGTCTGCATATCTTTATACCTCCAATCGGCTGGCTACATGTACAACTATATATATCTGACTCGCCTTCTCTTCGTCCCCTCTTCCCTACCATTGTGCCTCGACAGCCGCTCGCGTGCCCGTATGATGCAGCAATTGGAGCCATCATATCCATATTCGGCCGTGGGAATCAGTTGTCAAACGGGCTGACGCGAGACAAACTGCCAAGATGGAGCTGGAGCGATACCGGTACAACAGCGCGGTTGAAGCCTTCCGCGACGAGGAATATCCAATGCTACAGGGTAAGCAAGCATTGAAGATGGCATAACTTGATGCCATAGACATCTCTAACATGTGTCCATCTCTGCCTAGACTCCGTATACCTTGATCATGCTGGGTCTACGCTGTGTTCAAAGTCTCTTATGGACGCCTTCGCCAAAGAGATGACCTCGGTCTTATACGGGAACCCCCATTCAGGATCATCACCATCACAGCACTCTTCGTCACGAATTGACCAAGTACGAATCCGCCTTCTAGACTTTTTCAGGGCCGATCCTGAGCAATACGATCTGGTCTTTGTGGCAAATGCAACTGCCGGCGTGAAGCTGGTAGTTGAGGGCATGAGGTCCTTGCCTGAGGGCTACGTACTCGCCTACCATCAAGCCTGTCACACGAGCGTGGTGGGGGCACGAGAAGAAGCAAACGAAAGTATCTGCCTTGACGACACCGGAGTGCAGTCCTGGCTGGGCGGAAAGAACCCATTCAAGCCTAAGACTTGCGGCCCTCCCGCAACGCTGTTCGCCTATTCTGCCCAGTCTCATATGGATGGGAGGCGATATCCGCTGTCATGGACCGAGCAACTGAAGCAGTGCGAGGCTCAATCTTCATCTCGGACGTTGGTCTTGTTGGATGCGGCGTCGCTCAGTGCCACCTCCCAGCTAGACCTTTCGGACCCTCGATTTGCTGCCGATTTTGTTGTCACAAGCTTATACAAGATATTCGGATTCCCTGACCTGGGCGTTCTGCTGGTCCGTCGCTCTGCTGAGCCTGTATTTGACCGACGAAGGTATTTCGGAGGCGGCACGGTAGACGTCGTGCTATGCGGCGACGAGCAGTGGCATGCTCCAAAGTCCTACTCTCTTCACGAGCGCCTGGAGGACGGGACCCTCCCTTTCCACAGCATCATCGCCGCCGACATGGCAATATCGACTCACCAACGATTGTTCGGCTCGATGGATCGGATCAGCGCTCACACGGCCTATCTCAGCCGCGAGCTATGTCGAGGCCTGCATAGCTTACGGCACGCAAATGGGAGCCCTGTTTGCCACATCTATTCCGATATACCAGACGATGCGGCCCCTGTCGAAGCTGGTCCAGTCGTCTGTTTTAACCTCAGGGATAGTCGTGGCTTGTGGCTTGGCCTTGGTGAATTTGAGAAGCTGGCTATCCTCAGGAAGATGCATGTCAGAACAGGAGGCGTGTGCAGCCCCGCGGCGCTTGCATCTGCTCTTGAGCTGCAGCCTTGGGAGTTGAAGCGAAACCTCTCAGCTGGCATTCGATGTGGTGAGGATAGCGGCCGGTTCACCAACAAGCCCACCGGAATCATACGTGCTAGTCTGGGGGCAATGAATACTCAGTCAGACGTCTCTCGCTTCCTTGCCTTTGTTCAGGAATTCTTCGTCGAAGAGACCCTCAGAGTACCTGCTCAGGCAACTCCTACATTGAAATCGAGATTTCTCGATAACGCATCGGAGATGCAGGTCAAGAGCATCACTGTGTACCCGATCAAGAGCTGCAGTGGCTTCACGATCCCGCCTGGAGTCTGCTGGGAGGTTCGGCCAGAGGGGCTTGCCTGGGATCGTGAATGGTGTCTGGTCCACCGAGGATCAGGCCAAGCGCTCAGCCAGAAACGATATCCTCTAATGGCCCTCCTCCAGCCCTTGCTGCTTCTCAACGAGAACGTGCTACGTGTGAGATACCGCGGCAGCACCCCCAAGGGGCAACCTACGCAAGTGGACATATCGCTCTCCAACAATCCTTCTGACTTTGACGTCGGCTTTCGACAAACAAGCTCCAGGGTTTGCGGCGAGAACATCTCTGCGCAGTCGTATCTCTCCGAAGAGATCAACAACTTCTTCAGCGAGTCCCTAGGGGTCCCGTGCATGCTGGCAAGATTTCCGGCGGGAGGTCGCGGAGCCAGCAGCAGGCTCTCGAAGGCTCGATTGCAGAAGCACCAGAAGACCGAAAAGCCCCCGAGCGGACAGCCGTCCCCCTTCCCCGGCGTCCCATCTCCGCCCGAATCGGATTCCGAACAGCAAGTTCAGCCGGGCAAGATCTTACTTTCCAATGAGAGTCCGATCCTCATGATAAGCGCATCTAGTGTTAAGATGCTGAACCAAGCCATCACCGAATCTGGAGCTCCTGCCGTAGAAGAGTCCGCGTTTCGAGCCAATGTCGTCATTGAGGCCGTTCCAGGGCAGTGCAGTCCGCCGCCTTATTCGGAGGACTCGTGGAGGAGGATCCGCATCGGAAGTCATGGCTTCAAGCTGTTGGGGGCCTGTCAGCGATGCCAGATGGTCTGCGTTGACCAAACGACTGGGGAGAGGAAACAAGAGCCGTTTGTCACTCTGGCGAAGACAAGGCGGCTGAATGGCAAGGTCTTCTTTGGAACACATATGCGACATGAGCAGTTGGACCAGAGCGCAGGATCGGTTGCCCTGCGGCCCATGATACAGGTTGGGGATGTAGTAGTGGTGGATGACCAGGAGGAGGAGGAGGAGGATGGAGTGAGAGAACAAGAGAACGCGGAGGGGACAACACTTAACATGGATTAAGAGGGATGACAGCCCGGATGCGATTTCGATCAGAGACACTTCGCAATGTTACACGGACACTTTCAAGGAGCAACATCGGGCATGGCTACGCTCGCGGAGATTCTGTCTTGCATTAAAGTTTTCACTGCGAAGAGACTTGCTCGCCATGGCGCCGCACCAATGGAAGGATGGGTAAGCCATTGAAGAGAGCAGATGCTTACCGCCGAGTGGCTTCGCTTACCTGCTGCCCTCCCTTCATACCCACTCCCGTGTCGCGGGTTCTTTCAGATTACTACCCGCAGCAGCTTGGAACATTCCATTCCGGGCCCCCTTTTCTCTGGCTGAGGTAAAATGTCTCACCCGAGCTTCAGCCTCGTCTGGACCCGAAAGCAGTGGTGTCTTGAATTCGCGGATTGCAGCTGGTGGCTGGAGGCCAACGATAGAACTGCATGCGTGGCGTAGTCATTATCATGACCTGGAATAGACCGGGTCACCGCCATCGATGCTTCGGTTGACAGTTGGTCTCCACCGGGAACATTTGGAACCTTTGTCTTAATACACCGAGGCCGAGATTCTTGACTGTTCCGGTCGCGCGGCTTCGTCCTCTGTGCGCAATCAAATGGTGGTGTTGACCTTCTGTTCTTTTGAGGCCACACGCGAGCATAATCCCAACCATTGTGTTTTCACAAATGTCTCCTTTGGCGATGGCTCGATGGCGCTTTCGTCGAAAGCTTCCGTGATGGCACCGAGTCTACAGCAATTCACGGAAAGGTTGAATGACACCGGCCCTATCTACAGTTTACGCCCATACTGTTGGATAATGTCTCTGGTTGGGCTGGGCATGGCACTAAGGACTGGCCTTGGTGGTCCTCCTCAGGTATAAGAGAGGCGGTTGCCCCCCCGTCGAAAGGGATTCTGTCTCTTCATTCTTCACACACAAACCTGCCAACTCAACATTGCTTCATCCACACAAAGCGCAATGTTCAGACTCCTTTGCATTGGTTTGCCCCTGTTGGCGAGAGTGGCGGTGGCTGTCCCGGCTACACTCAGTGAACGATGTGATGCTCCGAACCCACCGGCGTCGTCACTCACTGAGTCGGTGGCAGCCATCTCGAGCGGTCCTCTCCCGTTCGACACAGAGATGGGCGATGTCGAAACCGTCCACCGAGAGCCTTTCGATGCGGTGCCAGTCGGCCCTGAGCCAGCCAGCTCAGGGGTCAGCATCGAGCACGGACACGGCTCCGAGGTGGTGGGATTCGGTCCCACATCGCGAAAGAAAAACGTCGTCTACTATGCTGACTGGTGAGTCGTTTGCACTTCCGTGTTGGTGGTGACCTTGGTTCAGATGGGAATTGCTAACAAAGGCACACAGGAGCATCTACGACGCAGCTTTCCTGCCTCAGCAGCTCCCAGCAGAGGACATCACGCACTTGCTTTACGCATTTGCGGGGATCGAAGACGATGGATCTGTGTATGTGTCATCCGGCTATGTTTCAATTATTCGGAGAGTGACGTCTTACTGACAGACATTCAACAGCGTCTCGATGGATCCTTGGGCAGATGAAGAGAAGATGCTCTCCGTTCCGGGCGGTCCTGGAAGAAACGATACCCAGGGCCTCAACGACGTCCACGGGGCGGTGGAGCAGGTCTTCTTGCTCAAGAAGAGGCATCGTCATATGAAGACGTTGCTGTCCATTGGCGGCTGGAACATGTCGCAATCGGGCAAATTCGCTCCTGTCCTCAACACGAACGAGGGCAGGATACGCTTCGCCAAGACGGCGGTCAACCTGCTCGCCAACTGGGGACTCGACGGCATCGACATTGACTACGAGTACCCCATCAACGAGCGCGAAGCCGTGGGATTCGTCGACCTGCTGCGGGAGTGTCGAAAGGCCTTGGACGAGTACGCGAGCCTCCACAACCAGCGGTACCACTACCTCCTTACCGCTGCAGTGTCTGCCGCGCAGCAGCACTACAAGTGGCTCGACATGCCCGCCATCGACCGGTATCTCGATGCGTGGCACCTCATGGCCTACGACTACGCCGGCAGCTGGGACGACCTGTCCGGGGACCAGTCCAACGTCTTCCACGACGCCACGAACCCACACAGGACCAGGGCCAACTCGGACCAGGCAGTCAACGACTACGTCGCCGCGGGCGTCAACCCCGAAAAGATCATCCTCGGCATCCCCCTCTACGGCCGCTCGTTCATGAACACGGACGGGCCTGGCAAGCCGTACGAAGGCGTCGGGAAGGGGTCGATCGAGAAGGGCGTCTGGCTCTACCGCGACCTGCCGCGGCCCGGCTCCGTCGTCAACCTCAACCGGGACATCATTGCCGCCTACAGCTACGACAACGCCACCAGGGAGCTCGTCACGTACGACAACATGGAGACGACGACGCTCAAGGCGGAGTACCTCGGCAAGAAGGGTCTCGGCGGCGCAGTCTTTTGGGAGGCGTCGGGCGATCGCAGCGGCGACGAGAGCCTTATCAAGGCGGTGGCTCGGAAGATGGCCCTCCTCGACATTTCCATGAACATGCTGAGCTATCCTCAGAGCCAGTTCAGCAACATTCGGAATGCGACGAGGTGGTGATTCTTCTTCTAGCCCTTGTTCTGGCTTGGCGTGAGGGATGGTCTTTTGTTCGGTTGGTCGTTTGTTCGGTTGGCTTTTGTCCGGTCTTGCGAGGCGTTGTTTTTCTCTCAGCTCATGGAGGTTTGTGGCTCGGATGACTCATAGAAGGGCCTGTTTGATTTTGGCGATGCATCGTTTAGAGCGGTCGAGCGGTGATTCGTGAAGCGACGATACCCGATCATTTATTTTGGATCAAGTTTTGGATTCCTATCTAGGCGTAATCAATTCTGTAATCAAGTCATATTCATGCTCACTGGTTCTGCTCAACTTGCTTCTGGTGTCTCAACCCAGCAAGCCAACACATTACTATTACCAGGTAGTCAACTTTGGCGGCGACTTGTTCTCTCATGAGCTTTGACCCAAGTTCTGCGCAGGCGTCTACCCTGTTCTGCTACACATCACGATATTTCTTTGAACCTCTTGTCGCATAAAAGAACAGAGGGGGGAGAATAACATAAACTATCTGCTGCAATCAAATCGAGCATCAATCACTCATAAACTGAACGACGCATCCAAGCAGAGGGTTTCACGGCTCAAAATCACAAGCCTCCCCCCCCCTTTCACCTTATAAACATACATAGCACATCCCACCCCCTCCTGTACGCAAGAGAAAGCACTGGCATCAGCAGCCATATCATCGTGTGTGTAAAACCAACAGAGCACGAGTATATCTAGGTATAACTCCTTTTTGTTTTCTCTTCCCGAGTTCCTACCTAATCAAGACAAGATTACAAACGCACACACACACACACACACCCATGCTCTTTAGAATATTACATGCCATCCTGATTCTGTCCATCGCCGGGGGTATGAGAAGCGTCAACGCCGTGAAAGGCATCTCCAAACGCCGAGTCCTCCATGTCCATCTGCAGATCCAGGCCGTCGCCAAGCCCGCCTGCCGACCCGTCCAGCTCCGGGGCGTCGTATCCCGCCAGGGCATCGCCCGCCGTGTCCAGGTCGCCGAGGGAGCTAAAGTCGTTTTGGTCAAAGGACACGGAACCTCCCTCCGTGACCGCGGGAGTGGCCGCTGCTGAGGGCGCTTTGTTAGTCGCCGCCGGCGTTGATGCTTTGCCTTCGTCGCCCTCTGTAGCAGGGGCGGGAGCGGCAGCGGTAGCAGGAGGCGCAGCAGCAGCAGCAGCAGCAGCAGCAGGAGAAGCAGTGGAAGCAGCTGCGCCGGTCGGAGCATCATTGGGAGGTTGAGTCGTGGTCGTTGCTGTTGTGGTCGTCTGAGCCGCATCGTTAGCCGTTGCCTTGTCGTCATCCTTGGGAACCACAACCCAGTCTCCGCTACCAGTGCCATGATCCGGCGTTGTTCGTACCTCGTTCTCGGCAGCAGTGTCAGTCCCGCCCATCTCTACGTCTCCCGAAGGCTGCGGCGGAGCAGCAGCAGCTGCTGCGGGTGCTGAAGGTGCTGAAGGTGCTGGTGCTGATGCGGGCGCGGAAGCAGAGGCAGAAGCCGATGCTGCTGGCGCTGGCGCTGGCGCTGGCGAGGCGGCATTTGCAGCCTGTGATGGAGTGGCTGCGCCGGACGGACCGGCGGACGCATGGGCCTGAGGGGTCGGGAAGTTGTTGACCGGCGTCGACGCTGCAGAGAAGCCGGTGTGCATCTGGTCCAGCAGTCCGGACGCCGTGTCACCCATGTCCATGTCGGTCTCGCCCAGCATGGCGCCGCTTGCCTGAGAGCCCGCCCGCGACGGCTGCCGCGAGAGCTCCGCTGTTGAGCCCGGCGCGGGAGGCTCAGGGGCCGGGGCTTGGTAGCCGCCATCTTGGATGCGCTTGGACAGCGGCAGGCCGACAATCTTCCGACCCAGCGATGCCTCGACCTCGTGCACGATTTGATCGATGGAGTGCTTGGAAACATGGCGGCCAGCGGGCTCATCCTCGGATTGGTGCATTCCGTGTACCACCGCGGGCCCGTCATGAATGGCCCTCAGCTCCCTCTCCTTTGTCTTCAGCAATGAGTGCTCCCTCAACGCGGCCATTGCCTTATGATGCTCCTCTTCCATTCTTCGCATTTCGGCCTGGGTCGAGCTGACATAGTTGTCGACGCGCTTGCGGAACTCATCCGCCTGTCCAGGGTCCAGACGCCCGACATATGCCTTTTCGGGAGCCTGGCTGTATGCCTCGCCGCCCTGAGCAGTGAAGATGCCCTCTGTGAGGGACGCCAGCTCGCCCTTGAGGCCCAGGCCCAGGTCTGCTGGCGTGATCTGACCTATCCTGTACGCAGAGGAGAGAATCTCCTCCATCCACTCGTGGTTCTGCTGGTAGCGGCTCATTGAGATTTCTCTCGGTGTCAAGTGATCAAACATGTCTCCCCTCGAAATGTCCTCCTCGTCGTCGAAGGCGGCATCGACGGGTGGCATCCCCGGTGGTAGCCCGGCGGCTTGCTGAGCCTGGGCCTGGGCCTGGGCTTGAGCCTGAGCCTGGCTTTGGCGAGCCCTCTTTGTGGGAGGACCAGGGGCCGGTGGCTGAGCAGGATACGCCATTTGCTGAGGCACGCCTCGAGGATTCATCTGGGGGCCCATCTGCTGGCGGGTAAGCTCTGGCAGCGAGGGCCAGTTGACCCTGTCGGACAGCATGAACTCCTTGCGGCGGATCTGGCCCGCTCTCTGAAGGAAGTGGCGCTGCTGCATGATCTGATTCACTCGGTCGTCATACGGGATCATGGCAACGGGGATGCGATCGTTCATCTCCGCGGGGCCGTAGTGCACAATGAACAAGTTGGGGTCTGGCTGCGGGGGGTTGGGGTGTCCGGGGACGGGAACAAGTCGAAATCGTCTTCGGGCGTGGAGGGCGAACTGCTCGCCAGGGATATATCCTGCCTTGAGATAGTATATCTCAAGCATCTGCAATCAGTTGTCAGCCAGTGTCCAACGTTATTCAACCATGGCTCAATGTTCTCGAAGGAAGAGAGCGAGGGGGGGCAAAGAGACTGACCAGTCCATTGCCCAGGTCGTGCTTGTAAATCTGCTCGGGCGGCGCCCAGACGAAACCATCCGTGGCAAAGTTGGTCCCCAGCCGCGAGAGGGGCTGCCATGTCAACAGAATGGTGCCGTCGGCGGGCTTGTCGAGATACGTCCAGAAGAAAGGCGCCTGGTCTCTGGCGATCTGGGGCGCAGCCATGAGCCACTTGGCAACCTCATTGAAGTCGAGCCGGGGGATCGCAGGGTATCGGTACGACGAGATGAGGTGGACATGTGGCATCTTTTTTTTTTCCAGTTGTGTTAGCAGCAGCAGAACCAAGGTGGCATGGCGACGGCTTGCAGAAGTCGCATAGCGAGGGGACTCACAAGGTCCTGGGGGACGCTGTTGCTGGGATTCGGTTGCGCCATGTTTGCTGCAGTCGATTGCTCTGATTCCTTTTCGCTGTTGTATTAGGAGGCGAGGGTGTTGGCGACGAGGAATTCGCGTCCAGCTACTCTATTGCAGCTCAAGGCATCCAAGAGGTAATAGGACGATACGTCGATTGAAGGGGAAAAGAATGGTAATGAATATGCTCCCGCGAGAGGCTATCGCAAGCTGCAATATGGCTGTAATTCGGCCGGTCAATCCGGTGCAATGTCCAATGCGCGCCGCAGGACACGTCAGAGTGTGACGCCTAAGGAGTCCGGGGAGGCGAAGTCGGCGACGCAGATGCAGCGGGCGAGGCTGCGAAGATTCGGAGATGGCACAGGCGTGAAGTTATGCGAGACGTGCGGCTGTCGTTTGAAGTCGCGCGAAACCCGAATTTGTCGCGACGAGGCTGGACAAAGGGCGAGGGCCAATGACAAGATCGCTTTGGGTACAAGAGTGGGTCCACCTCTCGGTGAGATTCTGAGGTACTGGACGAGTACACACAAGGCTCGAAGTAGGACAGACACGGTACGAATTCGTACTATAACGAAATACTATCCCTTCCATATCACTGGAACATGGCAACTTTGCGATACTCTGTTCATTACAGTGTCTGATACCTCACATAGCAGCTTTTCTCAGACGGCATCGGATATGCTCGACATGAGCTCTTGGCGTCAATAAGATATGCCCCTCTCCCTCATCTCATGTCAACTCCTTGCTATCGCCGTGTACCTATCCTATAGAGCACGAAACATACCTACATAAGGTACCTACCAGGCGGGCCCAGTTTTTTATCAGAGATTTGGCAAGAGGTAGGCGCTGGCAAGAGCTTCAGTAGTCATTTCCTCGACAGATAAGACTTACCAGAAGCCCAAATCTATTATAGGACCTCTGACGAGCGTCGCTCTCTTCTCAAATCTCTTACCAAAAACACCCCCGGCCTCCTAGGTAGGTACTATATAGAGAGCGACCTACCTAGTTGCAGTTTCCAAGACACCTCACACATCACTCGTATTTGGGTCGGAGCCCGCCGATAATTTTTACTGCTTTTTTGAATTCGCACTATAGACTAATTATCCCTTTTTATGTAACATTATCATTGCTATTCATACCCAACTTTGACTGATTCTCCTCCGACCTTTTCTAGCCAAGCAGCTTTATGCCTGGTACGTTGAGGCGGAGACGTTACCGCCACGGCCGGTCCAGTTGACGTGGATGTCCTTGCCCTCGGGGTACTTGTCTGAGGCAAACTCGGGCTTGATGTGGAAAGTGTGGGCGCCAAAGTAGTCACGCTGGGCCTGCAGCAGGTTGGCGGGGAGGTCCTTGGTGCGGTAGCCGTCGAACCACGACAGGGCGGTGCTGAAGGCGGGAGTGGGGATACCCAGCTCGGCGGCCTGGGCGACGACGGCTCTCCAGCCGGGCTGGGCCTTGTGGATGGCGTCGTTGAAGAAGTTGTCGAAGAGCAGGTTCTTCAGCTCGGGCTCGTTGCGGTAAGCAGAGGTGATGTCCTTGAGGAAGACGGAGCGGATGATGCAGCCACCGCGCCACATGAGGGCGATGGAGGGCTTGTTGAGCTTCCAGTTGAACTCGCGGGCAGCCTGTGAGAAATTATGGGTTAGCTCTCG